AAATATATTCTAAAGTAATAAGTAAACACACAACATCCTTAGTGGACAATATTGAGAGATATGGTTAGATAAGGTTAGTTCACAACAGAAAAGAAAATTTTTAACTTTAAAAATACAAGTCATTTATATGCCTGTTAAGTAGGGTAACCCAATACTCAGCTTATGTAAATTGTAGGTTAAATATAAAGTTGACTGAACCTGAGACCCTGCTGCTGAAATAAAAAATGAATATAATTCAGATATATTTGCAGAATTCCATTAAGTTATTATTTACTGAAACTACTGAAAGTTTTACTGAGGTTAGAAATATACTAAATGTTCTTTTCCTTAATGGTTATCTTAAATTAATGTTTCACAGCATATGTATAATTTCCGAGCTAATAAGAGTTAGATTAAAACATCAAAGAATTATTACACATGCTGAAACCGGTTTGGCTCAGTGGATAGAGCGTCGGTCTGCAGACTGAAAGGTCCCGGTTCGATTCCAGTCAAGGGCATGTACATTGGTTGCGGGGACATCCCCAGTAAGGGGTGTGCAAGAGGCAGCTGGTCGATGTTTCTCTCTCATCGATGTTTCTAGCTCTCTATCCCTCTCCCTTCCTCTCTGTAAAATATCAATAATATATATATATATATATATATATATATATATATATATATATATATATAGAATTATTACACATTATTCTGCATTTTAAAAGCACACCAGTTTTATTTACATTAAAATCTAGTGATCATTAGCTCTAAAATCTACTTTAATTTATAAAATTTAACCTCCATTAAATGGTTGTCTACAAACTCCTATTGACTTGATAGAACTAGCAGGGAGCAGTTGTGTTTGTGTGTGTGTGAAAGGAATCAAGGAAATGAGAGATGAGAGAGAAATAAAGAGTGACCTCCAAGTTCCTGGCTTACATCATAAACACCCAAGTTTACCTTGGTATTGTTAGTGTAGAGCAACCTGTAGAAAGCATCTTCTAGTTGGGAGATATGCCCAAGACACCTAGAGTGGAGCCTTAGATCATCTAGATTATCTACACTCTTATTATACAAACTAGTGGCCCAGTGCCCGAGGGTCCTAAGGTCTGGTTGGTAGGGTGACTGCAGGGCAATCTAGGGTGCCCCCTCTGGCACCGGCCTTGGCTGGCCTGGTGCCGCCCACTTGCTGTCCCTGACCCCTGCTGCCGGTGGTTGCCTCCCTCTGTGGGGCGACCAGCAGGGTGATTAGAGGGCCTCTGCTTGCACCTCTGCCATGGATAGCCTGGGGCCTGCAGGCTGGGGGCAGCTCCTGAGTTGAGAATCTGCCCCCTAGTGGTCAGCACGCATCATAGTGACTGGTCGTTCCATCATTTGGTTGATTTGCATATTAGGCTTTTATCATATAGAATGGAAAGATGAAGGAACAGAAAAGTTACACATTATTCATAGAGAGTTGCAAGCCAGGCCTAGAACCTGGCATCCTAACTCCAAGGTCACGTGATATTTCTATTATTATCTAAACTACCACTTTTAAAAACTTGTTGTCGTCTACTAAAACAAGAATGAAGTTGTTGAGTTAAAGATTTTAATCTAAGATAAACACATACCTGAACCCAGAACATTACTTTGACCTGTGTGTGGCCTTTCCTCTCTCTGTCTTAACTATATGCATTAAAAACCTGTATTTTTGTGATTCATCTAATATCTTACACTGATGCCTCGATTTTTTCTGTTTGTGGAATTTTAGGAACATTCCTCTTCTGGTAACATGTTTTAATTAAAAACAAATGCTTTGGGATTACTCTGTGCCATTTGCTCTAAAACCACGATTGGAAATCACTGATGGTGACAAATGATCAAGAAAGTGATAGCTTTTTGAAAAAAATTATAATTCTGTAGCAAGTAAGCTAAGGAACTATAAAATATTTTCAGAACTAAAATTTTTGTCAAAAGAACTTATTAATTTCCTCCTTTCTTGTAGTCTTGGGGAATCCTCGAGAGCAATGAACGAAGAGTGTGACATCGCTTAGAAGACAGAAGAGGGACATCTACCATATTTTTCGGACCATAAGACGCACTTTTTTCCCCCCAGAAGTGGGGGGAAAAAGTCCCTGCGTCCTATGGTCCAAATATAGCCTACACATATACCGGTACTTTAAAAAAAAAAGTTTTTTTACTTGCCTGGCTCTGTGTGGTCTCTGTGTGCTTGCCCGGCTCTAAAATGGTTCTAAATGCTGCTGTTTACTTTACAGGGTTGATTACATGTGTTTATGACTGTGATGTTGGGTTTTAATGCACATAAAATATTTTAGGACACTATTTGTTTCAGAATCTCTTTTTCTTCATTTCCCTTCTCTAAAAACTGGTGCGTCTTATGGTCCGGAGCATCTTATGGTCCGAAAAATACGGTACTCTGCTCATCTCTTCCTTGCCTGCCTGAGGGCTGTGTCTCTACCCAGTTATCTCCCTAACCCCAAGCCTTCAGAAGCCTACGGAACACAACGTTTTAATGCGTCTGTCTAGTTAAAATAATCTTCAAAAAGGGACCCTCTTAAAAAAGAAGTGCTTTGTGGTTGAGGCAAGCAGGAACAATCACTACATTCACCACGCCAGCACAGTATTTGTGCAGCGCCAAAAAAATGATATGCAAATTAAAAAGCTGGAAGGCTGGCCCAGGTGAGGCCAGGCCCAGGGAAGCCAGAAGCTGGCCAAGAGTGAGGAAAGGCGCGATTGCGGAATGCTGCGGGCTTCTGTGAGGATGAGTTCTAGAGAAGTCCTGACCTCATTTGGGTCCCAGACCCAGACGTGCGTCTGTTTTCCTGCGGCTGCGAGAGGCCAGGGGCCCGGGCAGCACGGAGGGGAGCAGCACGCAGGGCAGTGAGTCAGAGAGAAGCTGCCATCGGAGGGACGTGCGCCTGAGCGGTTCAGGCAGCAGCAGTGCTACGTGACCTGGGTCAAGCAGGGAAGCCGAGCACGCAAACGTCATCAGAGGAGTATCGTTCTGCGTGGTAATGCGACTGCATCAGAGTCTTTCTCTAAGCGTGACATGCTTTCTCCTCTCCAGTCACACGTAAATGATGGATGTGTGTGAGGGGAGACAATTGAGAAATGCTAGTTTGAATTCGCAGATGTAAGCGAAAGCAAAAAGGAAGACGATGGCTCTCCCAACCTCTGCCCAAATCTTCCTTGTTGCCTGAGGCACAGTTAAGAGCAGGATGGGTAATGGAGTCTCGTGCCGTCCTGATTTCTGCGTGTGCAGCTTGCTAGGACACGCGCATAACAAGAGCTGGAGCAGCCTGAGTGGTTTGCCAATGAAGAGGCTTACAGGATAAGAGCATGATGAAAGCTAAAAAGAAATCTTTTAGCAAAGTTGCCTTTTATCTGTATTTCTCATTTTTCTTGCACCTGTGGTATCATCTTGTTAAAATTTCAAGAGACACGCAACTCTGAAGAAGTGCATTTTTTAATAATAAGAGGAAAATTAGTCCCTAGCAGCTTATAGTCACACTCAGAATGTTAAACGGCCAAATAAGCCCACTCAGAATCCCCTTCCAGTGAGCAAGAACCACTGCTCAGATGCTGTAATGCTTTAGTAAAGAGATGCTCCCTAACGATGGAATGAAAGTCTCTGGAAGTTTATAAGCCACGTTTACAAGTGCAACGAACTTTTAAAGAGGAAAGTAAGTGTTATTATTGTGATTTATTAAACAATACTTTATGCTTAGTGCCTTAGTACCAGATACAAGGAATTTCTGAACTTGTATTTGCAAAATTTCAGGTAAGCATGCTGAACCTAGGGGCAAAGGAGAGTTGATGAAGTAATCTTAATATTTATTGTGGGAAGCTCACTCTTTTGAGTCTTTATGCCAGACAGAAAGAGCCAGCCCATTGCTATAATTTCACATGAGTTTCTTGTTAGCAAACCAAAAAAGTACTTTAAATATTCTGCATTGTCTTTAGATGTCCTGGTTAATAGGCATCTACTATGATGCGTCACAATTTATTAATGCAAACGTATGTGTATATATAGGTACATATGTTTGTATGTAGATAGGCCTGTCAAGCTTACTTGGGAAAATATCCCAGTGTCAACTGGGCTCACCTATTGAGGCGTTTTGTTTGTTGGCTTCTTTTTTTTTTGGTAAGAGACACAAAAGGAAGGTAACTGAAAGATCATCTTCCTGCCCCCAGAAGTGTTTACAAGCCTGACTTGACCAGGATGCACAAGTTTAGGGCAGCGCAAGTTCACAGAGGCTGTGGATGCAAATGACTGGAAGAGACTCCTGATGATAAACCATTTAGAAAATACAGCCCGGAGGGTAGGTTTAGGTACTGAGATGTAGCCAGGAGGAGAAAAGGATAAGAATCCATGATGCACCAAAGGACAGCATTAGAGTCAGCAGTCCATTACCCCAGGGTATAATGAAGATAGAAATTCCTTGTAGCTCATCCACTATTTGCTGTGTACAGAATTTTCTCCCTCTGGCTTTAAAAACAGAAACACTAATGTCTCATGAGGAAGAGAAAGTAGAGCCTACCTTGGAATCAAAGAATAAACCTAAATGACATTTTAAAGTTCAGAATTCTCATCATTTGCAGCAACCTGGATAGAACTGGAGAGCATCATGCTGAGTGAAATAAGCCAATCAATGAAAGAGAAACACCACATGACCTCACTCATTTATGGATAATAAAGAACATTATAAACTGATGAACCAAAAGATAGATATAGAGACAGTAAAGCAACAAGCAGACTGTCAATTTACAGTGGGGAGGGGAGGGAGATCTGGGGGAGATAATAGATCAACCAAAGGACTTGTATACATGCATATAAGTACAATCAATGGACATAAAACTCTGGGGAGGGAGGGTATATATGGGAGGGAAGGGGGAGGGCAAAAAAAAATCAATAAAATATATTAAAATATATATATAAATAAATAAAAAATAAGGTTCCCTTCCCACACCAATATGAAAACCCAATAAAACAGCAGCGTTACTCAACAATCCTGGTAACAATAAGCGAGGATTACAATGCAGGAATACAATGTCATTTCTCACACGAACAGCAGCAAGGCAAGCTATTTGCTATTGCTCTAAGACATTATGAGGTCAGCTGAAGCAAGATGGTGTATGCAAATCTTGTTCAGAAATCAAAGTATGAGCCCGCAAATTCTCAATATAAATTTTTCCTCAGGAGGGGCTGCTCTGATGAGACTGAAAATATCTCCTCCATATGGGCAGTTTCAGACTTTATAACATTTTAAGACAATGTTCTAAGAGATAAAGCTGGCATATGGAAAGCCTGGGCAGAGGAATCAGTAATGATCAGAGCAAAAACAATTCTAGAAGGCATCTTCATTTTCATATGGCTCATTTGCATTTGAAACATTGAGAATTCCTATCTCTCTTGTACAAAAATGTGTACATATTAAATTACTTTCCACTTGAAAGAACATTTCCCTAAATGTTTGGAAGATGATCAAATTGTAACTGGAGGCCTTGTTTTCTTCCATCAGGTGTGGGGGAGGTGTGGCTTCCTGGTATGAGAGGCAACAGGTGATTCTAATAGCAGAACGAGACAAAAATAAGAAGGTCAATTGAACAATTCCTACTTGTACAGTTTGATGATGTAAAGGTAGCAAAAAAAGGACACAGGTGGTACAAAGATGTCAAAAGACATAAACTTAAAAATTAAATAGAGAACCTTTCTAACTTTTGAAAATTAGATTCCAATACCTATTCTAGGCTTCTTATGAAATTTTATCCAATTTATTTCAATACACAAATTTCGAAGTATCTAGTCAGTGTTTAAAAGGTACACGCTCATGAAATGATAATTCCCGGGGCCTACTTGTGCCCATCTCAAATTTTAAATTTTAGGATATTAATGTTAGGATGTTGGTGGGACAGCAAAGATGAAGAACTACTGTCAACTTTAAACAATATTTAGTCCTAATGAATTTCTTGGTCATCCCTCAGAGAGCTAGAAGTTGGTATGGAAGTAGAAATCTGAACGCACAAAAGGAAACCAGACTGAATAAAAAGATCTTTCTGCATTTTTTCCCCCTGATACGGCAGAAGTCTAGGAAAGAGGTGTGTCCTCAAACAGAAAGCCAGGACTTGAAAGCAATCCCTGTTTATCCTGGCCCTGCGCTCCGGAGACTTCCTGGGGTGGAGAGATGCTGTAAGTCTCCTGCTGAGAACTGGAGGCTGAGAGGTGGAGCTTGTCCCCACCCCAGGTGAGGACGGTGTGGCAGAACTGGAGTTGGGGACCAAGAGGCAGGCTGGAGCACTGTTGCTGTTCACCTCCCAGGCCAGTGGTCGGCAAACTCATTAGTCAACAGAGCCAAATATGAACAGTAGAATGATTGAAGTTAATTTTGAGAGCCAAGTTTTTTAAACTTAAACTTCTTCTAATGCCACTTCTTCAAAATAGACTCGCCCAGGCCGTGGTCTTTTGTGGAAGAGCCACACTTAAGGGGCCAAAGAGCCGCATGTGGCTTGCGAACCTCAGTATGCCGACCACTGTCCCAGGCCATACGTAAGGAATCTAGTGAGATGTTTTGAAGGGAATAGTGTTTTTACACAAAGTCACACCGTATTTCATACTGCTGCCTCAGACTTCCTTGAACAAACCCTAAACTTCTGGTTAACTAAACTGTATTGGGCTTAACTTGCATACATGTAACTTTAACAGTAAAATGATCTCAGCAATACAAATTTGGAGATCTAGAGGTTTTGGATTCAGAGAAATCACCATAATAGTCCTCCTTATTGATTACTTTACTCTCTCCCCCAACAAACTTCTATTTTAACTATCAAATAGTTGAAAAAAAGACTGCTCTCTTCCTTTATTGGGACATGCTAGGGAGAAGATAAACGACCAAAACGCAGATCAAAGGAGGAAGATTAAGCAAACGAAAATGGGATGATTGTTAGTCTCTAATAAATTAAAAAATTACCATCTTGTCTTATTAATAACCATTGCTCATCTATTTAGTTATTTGGATCATAGCTATATGACAAAATACTATTTTAGGTGCTGGGGATATAAAATGGGGGAGGAGAGCCCCAAACAAACTTACTTCTATGAATTTATGTTTTAACTCCAAAGCTTTCTGAAAGCAAGTACATAGTGGTTGCCTAATGAACTGCAAATCAACGTTTGCTGCCATATTGACCCTGTTTCTATGTAATACGGGCACATTTGAGAATAGCGTTTGGTTCCCAGATACCTGAGTTTCATCCTTCTGCATCTGGCCAGAACTGTCCTTGTTTTGGAGGGAAAAAAAATCTAGGAAAGGCAGACTTACGTGCCCTTGGGGTGAAAAGATGACAGAGTCGTGTCCTGTACTGCACGTCTGGAGGCTGCGGAAAGGTACTGGGATTCCGCTGCATGCGGGTTTCAACTCAGTCCTGCTGTATGGGGCATTACTGTAGGAAGCTGCTGTGTTTTGGGTACACGTTCCGGTGGGTGGGATAGCCAATCGGTGTAACAAAAGAATTGTGCAATAATTTGATGTGTCACTTGGAAGAAGACTTTGTAACAATTTGGGTATTTCATAGCTTTCTGATTTTATTACATCAACCAGTATTTATTAGGTAAACAAATACAACTACACCAGTGCAAAAATAAGGTCTTGGTGTCCACCCAGTCTCACTTTGAAATGTAGGAAAAGGAAAAAAAAATCTTTTTAATAGCACTTTAACTGTTGAATGGAGGTACCTGCTGATGTTTTCTGCTTCTTCCTTCATTATGTGCTTTTCTTTTAATTGGGTCTTCTCGGAGAGAATCAAAGTAGGGGTTCTCCAGGAGCTGGGCGCAGGATAATCTGTCGTCTGGATTCATCTTCAGACACTCCTTTGGATGAAAAGCAAAGATGACATTAAAAGAGGGGCCTATGTTGTTACTGTGCCCCAAATTCTGAATAGTAATTGGATAGAGCATATATGACTGAGAAAAATCAAGTCTGTATTTTACAGCTTGCTATATATAATAACTGTGGTCCCCTCTACTTCTCCATCACTTCACTCTGGCTTCTGCCTCAATTCCACTCTCAAGTGGCTCTTGCTACTCAGACCTATGACCTCTACTTCCCTATCCTTAAATCTATTTCCATATTTTGTGTTCTCCTCTCAATACCTGGGTAATGCTTTTGCAGTGACCAGCACTGGCACAAAGGCTGGTCTACAAGGTCAACTCCAGGTCATCCAGATGGCTCCACCTTCCAGATCATATGAGTCTTCAACTGGGCTGCTTAGCATAATCACCCAGGGGGGTATTTAATGGTATAAATGATAAGGTCCTATATATAGAGATTCTGCTTCTGGAATCCAAGGTTAGATACTGGAATGTGTGCTTTTAAAAAGCTCCCAGGTCATTCTGATGAACAGCAGGGAAACCACTGCTATAAATAGAACGTAATTGGTTGTTAAAGACAGATACTTTTACTGGTAGCTCCATCCCTGTCTCCTCAGGTTTTTCAGTAGGCACTTTGATGATGGAAGAGTCCTATCTAGCATGCCCTCAGTTGGTCAAGCATGAATAGCAGCCTGGTCAGAGGTGAATTTCTTCTACTTTTTTTTTTTTTTTTTTTTTACTAGAATCGGTCCTTTGCTTGACTATCTCTTTTAGGCCCCATGCAGAGGCCATTTACGGTGTCTATATGACTCTGACTTGGCTGGGTCTTCTATTAATGTTTTAAAAATAATTAAAAATTTTACTTAACTCAATATATCTAAAATCTTCAACATGTAATTAATATTTTAAAATTTAATGAAATATTTTATATTTTTAATAGTAATTTTTAATAGAAACCTAGTATATCTCAATTCAAATAGACCATGTTTAAGTGCTCAATAGTAACACACAATGCCTGCCATCCTGGACTGTGCTGTTCTCGACCTTCAACATCCTCATAAACTTCCATAGTCTGAATAGACTAACTTAATATTCACATTTCTAGTGAATGCAAAAGAAGTAATGGTGTTCACCAGAGCAAACTCCAATCATACTAATTAAAATTTTTTTTTTAATCCTCACCCAAAGACATGTTCTTTATATTGACTTTAGAGAGAGGAAGGGAGAGAGAAACATCACTCCGTTGCCTCCTATATGCACCAACAGTGGGGAATGAACCCAAAACCTCCGTAGGTGCCGTAAGCAGGAATCAAACCCGCAACTTTTGGTGTACAGGATGATCTCCAACTCACTGAGCCACCCAGCCAGGGCCATCTCTTAGAAAGAGCATTGCTTGTGCCACTGATGTTCCTTTAACTGTAACGATTTTACAGGTTTTTATCATTTTCAATGACTACCTCCTACTTTGGCATTATTTGTACCGCTGCCCACTCTGCCCAGAGTTACCAGCTTCAATCATTATAATTTGTGGTCAATAACAATTATAAGTGATTCTAAAGTACCTTCATAAAGTTCAAAGCCATGGGATGAGCACCTGAGAATTTTTCTTCAAGAGTTTCCTAGGATATAAAGTAAAAACTTTTAACATTACATAAAAACAACGTAATGTATGTATTAATGTGTTAATAATAAGAACACTTTGAAGACTCCCTTAGTAGGTTAGATAATTTCTTTTAATACAATCATATTTTTACATAATGCTACACTATAGTGTAAATACTTGAGAGACAAAAAAATTGGAGTTATTTTTTAAATTTCACAATGTCTCACAATTGATGTTTGATAAATGTGGGTTCCAAATGTCCTCTTCTGAAATACTGCTACAGTCCTATAATACCTGCCTGATCTACTCACAGAAAGGCTTTGAGCGTCAGTGAAAATTACATCGACCTACATGTGTAAGAGCAATACAGAAAGCAATGGAATGATGAACATAAACTCAGAATAGTGAGGCGGGAGGAGGATGGAATTAAGGGGAAGAATTCAGGAAGGAGGAAGTTTCGAAGATAGTGGTAATATTCTTAATGTGTATTTGTTGCTTTATTCTTTAAATTGCATATCCTTTTGTAATTCAACCTCTAGCCTTATAATTCAACTTTTAACATTTCATTATCCTACCTAATAAAGAAGGAATATACTAAAAGACCCTCACATAGTCAAAAAGATGGCGGTGCCCACAGCCAATAAGGAGGGAATATGCTAATTGACTGCCTGCCCTCAAAGATGGCAGTGCCCACAGCCACAAGATGGCGGTACCCAGTCTCCTCAGCCCTACCAGGGCAGCAGGCACATGGCAAGGCCAGGCCTTGCCGCACTGCCTCTATAGTTCCTCAGTCCCCTATGCTCCCCAGCAGCCCAGGGCCGGCCTGAGACACAGGAAAGCCTCGGATGTTGGCTGCCCAGCTGCCCAGGGCCGGCCGAGGCTCAGGTAACCAGGGCCGGCAGAGGTTGGGTCACCTCCCGCCCCTGAGGGCTCCTGGATTGTGATAAGGGGTTAGGCCGGGCTAAGGGAACCTGCAGGGAGTAGTTATAGGGTTAAGCCTCGGACTGACCTGTTGGCAAAGCCACAAACAAGTCCCAGCTTAGAGGGCACAGCCCTCTTAGCATAATTAAGCTTGACCTTATGACACTCCCTAGATCCTTCCTGGGTAGCTAATGGGCTGTGGGAGGTGCAGCAAGTGCTGCCAAAACAAGTGAAACTCACAAGAACATTGAAACTATGGTGACCACTACCTTGTTTACCTCTGACTATAAAATAAAGCATCAGGTCTTTTTCTGTGGATCTTTTTCTGTGGCCTTAGCCAGGCAGAGAAGATCCACCTAGACCTAGCTTATCCTCTTTGTCTGTCTTTTCTTCATCCTTTGCCACCCTGCCTCAGGCTCACCGAACCCTTGTCTGTGCTGACATGGCACAGGAACCCCCCTCCAGTGCGTGAATTTTCATGCATCGGGCCTCTAGTATTTAATAAAAGAGAGCCAGTATATAAATCAAGGTATTATATAAAACACATTTAAAACACAGATGGTATCTAGAGATAGCTGGGAAGTCTTAAACCTCTATTGTTCTTCTGGGCCGTAAATCATGATCTGGCTTTACTGACACTTTCCCCCTCCCTGCACCCCTCTGACTTCAACCTAGGCAGATGGGACACATGCCTGTGGACAGTCCATTCTATAGGCAGAATCTAGACGATATGGAGTTTTAAAGATCACAGCCTTAACTTGGGTATCACAAACAGGACATCAACGTGTGCAGAATGTAAGAGTGGTCAGGTAGGAGGCGATACATTCCCAGAGAAAGACAGAGCCCACAGCGAGAGTGTGGCGGTGAGCATGGCAGTCTGGAGTTCTGACGTGGACACAGTGAGGGTCATTTTGCAGAATGGCCTTCTATGTGAAAATAAACACTGAAAAAAATGGTTTCTACTGATTTGAGCTTTGTTCCACATGTTGAAAAAGAGAGAATGCATTTTTTTTTTTTCCAAATAAAGAAGTACTACAGCCGAAACCGGTTTGGCTCAGTGGTAGAGCATCGGTCTGCGGACTGAGGGGTCCTGGGTTCGATTCCAGTCAGGGGCATGTACGTTGGTTGGCAGCTGGTCGATGTTTCTCTCTCATCGACGTTTCTAGCTCTCTCTCTCTCTCCCTTCCTCTCTGTAAAAAATCAATAAAAATATTAATAAAAAAAAAAAAGTACTCCAGTATTGTTTATGAGATAATTATTATTTCAGGAAAAGGTACCTGAGTGTTTTGACTAAAAGGATCAGATATTTGTGTAAGGAACTAGACTTTCACTTCAAGGCCAATATTAAATTAACTTTCGGATTGGGCAAGTAAGCTTTATAAGCATTCTCCTGATTAGTTCATACAGTTTTTATATAGTTTCTTTGATCTGTGTTAGTGTGGCATAAGGAAAACAGGAGCTAAAGGCATACAAATTAAAAGACGCGCAACAAAAAACAACTGTCCCTTTAAAGAAAGTGGCAACACAAATAATAAGACATCCAAAAATCAAGCAGTTACCATGTCTTCTGGTTCAGGAATACTGATGCCATGGAAAAAATGGTTGCTTTTAAAGATGGACTGATGCCTCGGGATTAGTTTGCCTATAAAATACAAACCACGTAGTTTAAGTTCAGTCTACAAAAGTAATACCTTGTTTAAAATGTTAACTTCTGAGGTCCAGATGCGAAAGAAAGACCGGTCCTGGCCGAGACCGGTTTGGCTCAATGGATAGAGCGTCGGCTTGGGGACTGAAAGGTCCTGGGTTCGATTCCGGTCAAGGGCATGTACCTTGGTTGCGGGCACATCCCCAGTAGGGGGTGTGCAAGAGGTGGCTGATCGATGACTCTCTCTCATCGATGTTTCTAACTCTCTATCTCTCTCCCTTCCCCTCTGTACAAAATCAATAAAAAAAATATATTTAAAAAAAAAAAAAAAAGAAAGAAAGACCGGTCCTGGCTGTGGCCTCCAGGTTTGGAAGGAAGAGGTCACTGCCTGGACACACCTGCTCAGGTGAGGCCAGCTCGCCCCGCCGCTCTGCCACAGAAAGTTCGTCCGCCACACAGTCCCCACCAGGGAGGAGGCGGGGTGGAGGCCTGCACCCGTGACCTTCCTTAACCTCATACAATCTGACAACGGTCGCCACTTTCAACCTCCACTGTGTCTATGAGAAGGAGGCTCAGCGTTTAGTAACCTGTCTAAAGTCACATGGTCATTTAATGACAGACATGATTTCAAATGCAGGCCTGTCTAATAATATGTAAATGTCCACAATCCTTTCCGGAAATCAATCAAACAACCTGCACTAGAGAAGCGCCCTGTGGTGATCCTCTCCCCCACATTTTTTCAAGCTGCAGAACTGTCCAGAAGCAGATGTCGGAACCAGCCTGGACAGCAGTAATTCCCGTGCCCGGCACCCACGCTGCCAGGAGAAGGAATTAATAAATATTCGTCCCGTGTGTGCAGATGTATCTTGGCAGCCGTGGTGCCAGAGTAAAGCTGCAGGTGACCTTCTGGGTTATATTCCCTTCCAGCCAGGAGGCAGACCACTGCTGAGGATGCTGACCACGAGGAAAGAGATTCTCGCGTTCCATTCCTAGTCTGCTCTTTAGGCCAATCACGGAAGCCCCCTGAGCCACAGTTTCTCATTTCTCAAAAGGCATCGCAAAAAATGTTGCCATGTAAAAGGCAAACCCTAGCCCTAGCTGGTTTGGCTCAGTGGATAGAGTAGGGGTGTCGAACTCAATCAGAGAAGGGGCTAAAATCTAAAATCCAGCCTAAATCGCGGGCCGAATGGTTTACTGAACAGTCATAAACTGTCATTGTGATGGAAACGCAGTGGAGTGCGGTGATGACAGCGCGGTGCAGGCCACATTGCAAGGCCTGGCGGGACGGATTTGGCCCGCGGGCCTTGTGTTTGACACATGTGGGATAGAGCGTCAACTTGTGGACTGAAGGGTCCCTGGTTCAATTCCCGTCAAGGGCACATGCCCAGGTTGCAAGCTCGATTCCCAGTGTGGGGCATGCAGGAGGCAGCCCAATCAATGATTCTCTCTCATCATTAATGTTTCTATCTCTCTCTCCCTCTCCCTCCCTCTCTGAAATCAATAAAAATATATATTTAGCCCTAACTGGTTTGGTTCATTGGATAGAGCGTCGGCCTGTGGACTGAAGGGTCCCAGGTTCGATTCTGGTCAAGGGCATGTACCTTGGTTGCAGGCTCATCCCCAGTAGGGGGTGTGCAGGAGGCAGCTGATCGATGTTTGTCTCTCATCGATGTTTCTAACTCTCTATTTCTCTCCCTTCCTCACTGTGAAAAATCAATAAAATATAATTTAAATATATATATATATATATATATATATTTAAAAATAAATAAATAAAAAGCAAACCCTCTCTTACAGTGGACAGAAATGGCATTTGGCCTAATACCGCCTAAGAGCAGAGTCTGTACAGCTGACGCATACCCTTGGCTGTAGAGGCCAGCCCAGAAAGCAGATGTGCAGTTTATCTCCTGGCTAAGTGGCTGACTTGGAAAGGATCTGAAAACTCCTCAGCGAGGGACTAATGGCTCCACAGACTGAGGGAAGGGCTGGGTTTTGGCTACAACCCAGGACCCACCCTCCTGAGTAGCAGAGAGAGAGAGAGAGAGAGAGAGAGAGAGAGAGAGAGAGAGAGAGAGAGAGAGAGAGAGAGAGGCTCTAAGAAAGCCCTGCAGGGTCATTGCAATGGCACGCCGTTCCCCTAGCAGCAGAGCGGCCCTGCAAGCCACGAAATGCAGCTCCTACCCAGAGTCCTGATGATCAGATAGAGCTGATCCACATCCGACTTCCCGGGCCAGAGCGGCTGGCCGGTCAGGAGCTCCGCGAAGACGCAGCCCGCAGCCCAGACGTCGACGGAAGAGCCGTACTGAGTGTCCCCGACGAGGAGTTCGGGAGCTCGGTACCACCTTGTGGCGACGTAGTCCGTGTAGGCGTCCCCTGGAACTGCAAGCACATCCATCAGAGGCGGAGGGTCCCCCGTTCCCAGCGTGTGAGCTGCCAGGAGGCGCGCCGAGGTGCGGCCACACTCGGCGGCCACACAGGCCCGGCAGTTCACGCAGCGATGCCGGCGGAGGGGCCAGTTACACTGCGCATTCCACACCCACAGGCACCTCTGCTCGTTCACATGTCTGTAATCCCCAACAGCGGGCGGTGTGTCTGAAAATTCCCAGTGCAACGTCAAGTCTACACCAGCTTCCGAATGCACGGTCAAGTCCCCTGCGTGTGGGTACCCGTCAGGACGCTGGTGATGTACACACTGTAGACACCACCCTGCGATGTGTATGTTGCTGCCGGGTGCAGCTGTAGATTTGGGGAGAAATACTGATTTGTCCCCTTATCCCCCGACCGCCACCCCCGTCCTCCCTGTCTGAGATGATTTCCCGTTTCTTAGCCCTGTCTCTGCATTCTCTCTTCAACTGTCGGTTCCCTCTCTGTCTCCCCAGCTCCTGTGAGGTTATCTGCCAACCATGCCTGCCCCCACGGACATCTGTCTCCCTCCAGGGAACCGTCTGCACCTTTGCTTTTGTACTTCCTTGCCAACCACCCTGCATTCTTCTTTTGTTTATCTGACCGGAGACTATAAGAGCATGCAGGGCAGGAATGCGTCTTAGAACCCTTTTCCTCTCCTATGGGACAAAGCATATAAACGTGATGTCCAATACATTCCAGTTGAGCCAAAACCGGTTTGGCTCAGTGGTAGAGCATCGGTCTGCGGACTGAGGGGTCCCGGGTTCGATTCGGTCAAGGGCATGTGCATTTGTTGTGGGCACATCCCCAGTGCGGGGTGTGCGGGAGGTGGCTGGTCGATGTTTCTCTCTCATAGACGTTTCTGGCTCTCTATCTCTCTCTCTTCCTCTCTGTAAAAAATCAATAAAATATATTAATAATAAAAAAAATTCCAGTTGAGTGGAGCGAAGTTGAAGTGCTAATTAATGTAGTGACTAAAGGTGAAAGTGAGATTTTTCCTTTTTGAATAACAACAATAAGACATCTGGCATTCATTCAATATCTAAAGTGGGGTTTTCAACGATATTATTTCATAATCATCTGAGTTGAGCACATTTAGTAAAAAAAGGGGCTACTTACTCAGAATTCGTGCAAATCCAAAGTCACAGATCTTGATTATTCCTTGCTTAGTTATTAGAATATTTTCAGGTTTGACATCCCTGTGAATACACTGTAAGGGGATATTTGATTATTTCTTTGAGCCATCAAGATGACAACGCATAAAAAAACATTACCTCTTACTTTAAATGATAGATAAACATAGTCCGTGAGATAAAAAATAAATATGGTTTTCTCAAAAGAATTTAAATTGGCAATTTTTCACGTACCACACCAAAAGGAAAAAAATGTTACATCAGTGAAGAAATAATTGTTGGATATAAAAACTGACTTTTTTGTGTGGGGAGAGAAGGTAGCATCTTACAATTATTTCTTCCACTTGTTACCGGGTCCTATTTTAACTGTAAGAGCAAAACCCTTGATGCGACTCGGTGTACCTATAATCAGAACTACTCCACCCACGATCACATTCACATTTGAGAAACTGGAAAAACATCCAAGTGATAAACAAAAACTCCCCTTATCATTAGGATGACCATATTGTCATCTAAATGAGAATGTGTGGCCCTGGCCAGTTTGTCTCAGTGGATAGAGCGTCGGCCTGTGGGCTGAGGGGTCTCGGGTTCGATTCCGGTCAAGGGCATGTACCTTGGTTGCGGGCACATCCCCAGTCGGGGGTGTGCAAGAGGCAGCTGGTCGATGTTTCTCTCTCATCGACGTTTCTGGCTATCTCTCTCCCTTCCTCTCTGTAAAAAAAATCAATAAAATATATTTAAAAAAAATTTCTCTTTGCTTCTATAGCAACTGTCTAGGAAGAGAGAGAACATGGCGAATCCTTAATGGATTTTTGGTCACAGAGATCGCATGGGCAATAGAAGAGAGCAGTCTCAAACTAGCCACTGCCAACTGCTGAACCTTTTGAGGCCCCTTAAAAGCCGTAGGCCTTCGCTGTTCATTTAAAGAAATACACTGTTGTAATAGAAACCAACGTCATTTCTGATAGTCTAACCTTTTAGGTAACCCATTTATGAAACCCGGATTAATACTTTGAATCATACAATAGTTGGTGATTTGCTAAGAACAGGTTACGTTTCTCCAATGAGTCTGCATCAAGTTGTAAAATTTCTGGCCCGGTTGGTGTGGCTCAGTGGGACCATCAGACATGGGGTGCCTCGCGATGTTGGTACCATAAAAAAGTGTACAGTGCTATGCATGATCTATTCTTGTGTGAAGAAAAATGAACCTAAAGATGATCAAGCCTCTAGATATAAAATGCCAATTTAAAGGAAAAACGGGGGAAAGACCAAGTTCAGTTAGACACAGGATGCAGTCATTCTGACTTCAGTAACACAGGAGGACTCAAAGTATGGTTCTAGGAACGGCAGCTGCTGTATCAACCAGGGAAATGCAAATTCTCGGGTCCTATCCCAGACCTATAGAATCTGATACTCTGGGGGTGGACCCAGCAAACTGTCTTAGCAAGACCTTCTGGCATTTTGATGCATGCTGGCGTTTGTAGAACTATGGTTATAAAAAAGTAATGATAAAAAAAAAAAACTTAAAGGGAAGGGAAGGGGGACTATTATAGAATAAAAGACTTGAGAGACATAAAAACGAAGTGCCAAAGTAGATTCCACTATTGAGAACTTATTTTAATCCAATTTTAAAATAGTTACAGGAGTCAGTAGTACTGAGGCAAAAAACAGAAACATTAACTTCATACAAACTTTTAAATTCATAAGGAATTAGAAATTTGGTTCTTATAGAAATTGGAAAAGGACCACAAATAATGCATTGTTTTTCCTCATTTTCAGTAACTTTCTTTTGTTTTGCTCTTCTGGTTCTTATTTCCCTTGTTTTTAGTTTTTCAAAGACACCCCCGAGCTACTTAGAAGGAAAGAGTCACCATGAAGAATTAACAAATGCATTAGAAAATGTCACTTACACTATGTTGATGACAGAAATTAAGAGCTTGAAGTGTTTGCCATAATACGCTTTTAATCACTCCATCAGCAACTCTAGGGGAAAAATAAGAGGAAATTAAATAGCACTGGAATGGGGTGACAGGCGCAGAAGCAGGAACAGAGGGGAGTGAGAGGGCTTGTGATGGCGAGCAAACACAGTGCACAGGGGGCCTGGGAAATGTCCTTTAAAGATGTCTGAATGAAAATCGCTTTACTATTTCTTCATTGAGATTTAATGAGTGGGTCCTTCAACTGATTTAATGAGCTCAGATCACTTCTTGAAAATGGAATGAATCATGCAGATGTAGCTGGCCTTCCACGTATATATATACAGTAAAGCTGAGTGATGGGTGTGTTTTTCTTATCTACTAGCAACAAGACATTGCCTTGTGGGGCTGGGGTAAACGCCGAGAAACAGCAACAAGTACGTGCTGGGTCATAGTTATGGCGGTCTGGTGGCAGCCCTTTGACTCCAGCGTCTCTGATTCTCAGCATCAAATCACCTAATTCTCAGTATTAAGCCACCTTCCTTCCCTCTGAAATTCCTGGAGTGGTTTCGGTTTCCTGTACTGAATTCTGACACAGTTTAATGCTCTTCCTTTGCCTAGAGCCAAACCTGAGACAATATTGTCTAAAAATTGTAAGAGTCAGAAAGAATAGTATAGCCATTCTGAGCACTGAGAGAGCTCAAGTCCCAGCGGGGGTGACAACTGATGTCCTTGTCTTGTTGTCCACTTTAATGGTGGTTCCTTTAGCGTTGAGTGTAAAATTAGCTGTTGCTTGGAAGAGGGTCTGTGTAGGGGTGTGTGTGTGTGTGTGTGCTAATAAAGTACCGGTATTTTCATCTTAGTTTGCTAAAGTTTAAACAAATCAGAAAAGGACATTGAATTTATCAACTGCCTTTCAGATTTTACCAACATACAATATATAGTTTTTCTCCTTTAACCTATCAGTGAATTATGTAAATGGACTTCCTGATATTGAACTAGGACTCATTCCCTGAATTCAGATAATCCAATACATAACTTACTTATTTTTTGAATATTTATTCTGGAATTTTTATTTCAATGCATCTTAAAAAAATACACACACACACACACACACACACACACACACACACTGATTTCAGAGAGGAGGGAAAGGAAGAAAGAATCAGAATCATTGATTGGCTGCCTCTTGAATGCCCTGAACTGGGGGATCAAGCCTGAAACTTGTACATGTGCCCTTGACTGGAATCAAACCTGGGACCCTTCAGTCTACAGGCCAACGCTCTATCCACTGAACCAAACCAGCTAGGGCACCAATACAAAATTTGGCCTCAAAATGCACTGTGATTTATTGTATTTGTGTAGGTTTGTCTTCCTAATTATTCCTACTCCAGGTTAATTAATATTCATTTGCCCTCTGAGCACATCCTAACAGCCTGGGGAGGGGGAGGGCCAGCAGGTGTAGGAAAGGAACTGTGGCTCTGACATGAGGTTTACATGAGTTAATTCCACATGGAATGAAGCTGGGACCCCACCGCCCAGAGCTTCCACTGCTAGATGACTTACCCATTTGGGTGTCTTTCCAGCTCATTTAAAAGCGTGTGATCACAGTATTCAAAAACCAAATGTATTTTCCTCTTTCTCCGGAACACCTCAATGAGGTTCACAAGGTTTGGGTGTTTTAATTGCTGCAAAGAAATTGAAATACAAAACTTGGTGACTTGTTCCCTGTAAGAATTTCTCCCTGGGTCCCTTATGATATTAAGGACAGGAGGTCTTGTGGAGAATTTTATTACAGGTACTTACAAGAGAAAACATCCTTATAAGAATTCTTACCTTTTGTAAGACTCAAGCAATCTTAAAGTTGCAAGAAAAATTTAAGAATTTGTCTCATGCACCCATAATATGGTAACTAACCTGAAATCAGTTTGGAGACAACAAATAAAGTACGCACCTTAAAATATAAGCTCTAAAACAACAAACACTTCAGCATTTTGTGGAAATTCTAAATAAGTGCTATAATAAAATAACCTCAATAAAAATGAGGAAATGGAATTATTGTGTAAGACTATAAAACTCATCAATACCCATTTAGCTTACAGATTGCCATGGACTTACTTGTAAATGTCAGCTGGATTTAAACCCAGTCTAGATTTTAGCGTTGGCTCTCAGAAATACAAGATCCTAACCTTCAATCCGATTAAAGTGCCTATTCTAGGAGTCCACGCAGTTAGTCTGTTTTTAACTTGTCATTTTCCAGCTCTGTTCACTGATTTTGTTATCCTCTCTTACTCTTAAATGTTTTATGTGCTAAATTCTCTTCCCAAACTGATGTCACACACCTACCCCCCCCCTCTCCCCCGCCCCCTGGCAGGGCTTGATGGGGGTGGGGCCGGCCAGGTCTGGGTCTGGCATGATTTTGAGGTGCACATGGGTAGGCAGGGACTTGACTCTGGTTCCCGAGGCATGTCCCAGACTCTGACAGGAGGAAGATTTTCATATACATTTTACTAATTTTCTTTCATCTCTGACACTTCTATTATAGAGAAAGGGCAAATAGCAATATTTAAATATTTCCTCCAATTAATTCCCTTTTAATGTGCACAAATTTCGTGCACCGGGTCATTAGTAGATACATAAAATTAACTTACCTTCAACATACGTATTTCTCTTAGTGCTATTTTCTTAATAACAGGATCCTCTTCGGATTCCACAAATTTTTTAATAGCTACCACTTGTCCAGACGTTTTGTTTCTGCATTTGAATACAACTCCATAAGACCCTTCTCCAATCTTAGCTAATTTTTCATACTTTTCCATTATAGTAGCAGCGACTTAAATTGCTGTATTGTTTTAACTGGAGTACAGTGTTGCACCTGGAAAATAAGATGGCTCAGCTTAACCAAGTTATCAAGGATGGCGTTCTTACAGATTATTATATAAAAGCAATTTGCTAAGGATACCAATATGTCCATTGATTAATTTTTAATATACTTAAAATTTTTTGGGTGGTATTTTATAATGAGTTCAGTCCTATGCAGTTTTTCCAGCTACCAAAAAGTCTCATATGCTATTTCTTATAACGGGTCTGTGTTGACTTCAGTGGAATTAAAAGAATTTGGGGAAAGGAACCTTATACAATCAATTGTTTTCATTATCCTCTAGTAAACCATTAAAATGTGATGCTATATAACCCAGCTGAGGGAATAGTTCATACTCTTGAATATGATGTTTATCTTTTCCCTCCTGATTTGAATACGGCCGAGACTAGAAGAACTGAGGTTAAGACTTGGTACAAAGGGCTATACTTCCATCTGGTGGAGAGAATAAAGAAAATGTGGGCTGTTAAACAACGCAGCCATTAAAAACAATAAAATCTTCTTAGAGAATTATTGATTGTGCTTTTATGTGTATGAAGGAACAGGTCCCTAAACTCTTAGCTCCCACAGTAAATAAAACTAAAACTCTAAAAAGAAGGTAGATTTCTCTAATTCTTCATGAATGCTTTTGTATCCATAGTGATTCCTATGGAAATACTGGGTTTAATTCTTCTGTCTTGCATCACCCATTTGAGAATTTTGTGGTGATTAGAGGACATGTTAAATAACAAAGAAGGCCAGCATAATTAAAAGGCAGCCTTAGAATTGAAAATAAAAAATTCTGATTAGTCTTAAAAATCCTACCCCCCCAAAAAAACCCACCTTAGTCAGTAGAATCTTATTAATACACTCTCATAGTAATACTAACAGAACTTGATAACACTTTCTATGCAAGTTATATATAATCTACACAAACATTTCATGAAGTAGGTGTTATTTTCATCCAGTTATACAGATGAGAAAACAGATACAGTGAAGTTAGTATGGAATTCGAACCTAGGCAGTCACATTGCAAAGATCACAATTTGAATCATTACACTGCCTCTTGGTTAATTCAGAAGAATGCACAACTTGAAAAACCACTCTATCCAGGTATTGGTATTAATAAAATGTCAAGTAATGCATTGACTACTTAAAAAAATTTCTCATGTTTCAAATGAGCATCTATTGTTTTTACTTCATTAATGTTCAGTCTTTCTTATCCACAGATTATCTCTATAAAGATATAAATCATGCCGGGACCGGTTTGGCTCAATGGATAGAGCGTCGGCTTGGGGACTGAAGGGTCCCGGGTTCGATTCCGGTCAAGGGCATGTGCCTTGGTTGTGGGCATATCCCCGGTGGGGGGTGTGCAAGAGGCAGCTGATTGATGACTCTCTCTCATCGATGTTTCTGGCTCTCTATCTCTCTCCCTTCCTCTCTGTACAAAATCAATAAAATATATTTAAAAAAAAAGAAAAAAAAAGATATAAATCATGTACTCTCACTAGCCATCATAAAAATATACAACTAGAAAAGTATTTATCTGGATAAATGATGATGACTACTATTAGCATACAATGCTATTTTTTTAATAGATTTTATTCTCCCATATTAAAGGGTGAAAATTCAAGCATATACACTCAAGTAACACATGGCAAATCCACCACAGATTATGTTTAGAAAGCTCTTGCTAGTTATGGGCATGAATGGGAAACCTGAGAAGGCCTAGACAATAGTTACAATGAGGCAGAGTTGAGGACTAACTGATTTTTTTAAAAAAAATTATCTTTATTGTTGAAAGTATTACAGATGTCCCTCTTTGTTCCCAATTGACCGCCTGCACCCATCCCCCTCCCCTCCTCCCCAGCAGGCCTTCACCACACCATGGTCTGTGTCCATGGGTGAAGCGTGTAAGTTCTTTGGTTAATTTCTTCTTCCCCTCCCTTCATTCTGAGATTCCTCAGGAGGACTAACTGAATTTTTAAAAAAATTAAGTATATATAGTTGATGTGTAATCTTATATTGGTTATATTAGCTTCCAGTGTACAATACAGTGACTAGACATTTTTATTCCTTACAATGTGATCACCCCACCGATTCTACTAATCATCTGTCACCATGTCAATGTTTTTGTTTGTTTAATCCTCACCTGAGGACATGCTTAGGGAGAAGAAGTGGGGGCAGGGAGAAGGTAGAGAGAGAATTTATTACATTCCCCTTCACCCTTTTCACTTGTAAACATCCTTTTGGTCTGTTTGTTTGCTTTGTTTTTAGATTCCATGTATAAGTGAAACTATATGTATTTGTCTTTTCTGCCTGACTTATTTCACTTAAATAATACCCTCTAGGTCCACCCAGGCTGTCACAAATGGCAAGATTTCATTCTTTTTTTATTGTTGTAAATATTCCATTGTGTATATAACACATCTTCCTTATCTATTCATCTATTGATGGACATCTAAGTTGCTTCTGTATCTTGGCTGTTGTAAAGAATGCTGCAATGAATTAGTGTTCTCATTTTCTTTGGATAAATACCCAAAGTGGAACCGTTGGATCATATGGTATGTCTATAGGATGGGGCAAAGTAGGTATACAGTTGTTTATATAAGAAATAATACAATAATTAGTTAATAACTAATACAAGAGTAAACTCTGCCTCGTGTATGCACAGTTGTAAACCCACCTTTGCCTCACCCTGTAGTTTTAGTAGTTTTGCGGAATCTCCAAACTGTTTTTCGATGGGGGCTGCACCAGTTTGCAGTCCCACCGACAGTGCACATCCATGCCAACCCATGTTATTTGCTGACTTTGTGATTAGAGCCATTCTGACTGGTATGAGGTGGTACCTCATTGTGGTTTTGGTTTGCAATTTCCCTGATGATGAGTGATGGCGAGCACCTTTTCATATGTCTATTGGCCATCTGTATGTCTTCTCTGGGAAAATGTCTTTGCGTATCCTCTTCCCATTTTCCGATCAGAGTATTTTTTTGTTATTGAGTTGTATGAGTTTCTCATATACTTTGGATATCCATCTCTTATTGGATATATTATTGGTGAATATATTCTCCCAGTTAGTAGGTTGCTTTCAGTTTTGTTGAAGGTTTCCCTGACTGTGCAGAAGCTTTTCATTTTTTTAATGTTGGAAAAAAAATGTTGTAGTAATTTTGTCAACATAAATAAATATTACATACTCTCAACTACAGTCTACTTATTTAAGTCACTACTCCTATCCCGTGCTGGGTGAATGATTAGCACATGATCACACTGGATTATGTGAAGTTTTTGGTTCTGTCTCCTGGTGTAACTCTCTGCAGCAGTTTTAACTCGTGTGCTGAGCCATGCCCCTATCATATGCATTTGTTTACCAAATGGAAATTTTAGAGTAAAAAAAAGAAAACACAAAAAAATCTGAAATGAAAAATTCACTAGGTAGACTCAACAGATTTAAGAGGGCAGAAGAAAGAGTCAATGAATCTAAAGATACACAGAAAAGGACCAATCTGAAAGAGAAAAAAGAATGAAGATAAACAGTCTTGGAGACCTATGCAGGCAACTGGGGAATGCACTATTAGACCTATTTCAGTATATTAATAAATTAAAAAAAAATTTTTTTCTGTAAAAGTAAACTTTTCATACATACTTAATTTTAATTACACAAACTTGTCTACGTAAGTAAAAACAGGTGAAGTAACTAATCTGCCAAATGGTTAACATGTGTTTGGAAAACCTACTTTGTTATATAACGAACTGATTTAGTCTGGATTTTCTTTTTTTAGGTGTTACTGTAATTACATTTTGATTGCTCATACAGTACTTGGGCAGGAAATCAAGATTAAACGGTGATAGAGGTTTATAGGCAGGGAATGGATGCCATTAGTTGAAAATATTCTTGGATACAGGGATTCCTGACTTCAGAATTGACCAAATATCTGACTCTTAAGTGAATGAAGTTTTGTGTACAAAAGCAAAAACAGGTACAGAGTATAGAGACTTGGGCCGATGGGTGAGTACTGGAAGACATACAGAGATATAGACTTGAGTGGGTCATCAGATTCTTTGAAAATGTTCTGTTTAATTACCTGTCTTAAAAAGTTGCAAAAGGATGCAGATAGGAACAGAGGCAACACCTGGAGGCAGATGACGGTCCACAGCTGTGTCACCAGCCGGCTCCTAACACCGGCGCCTAACACCGAGCACACTGAGAAGATGTCTTTCTTAAGAAGGGGAGGAGGAACGGGGTGCGGGAAGTCAGTAACTTCCTAATCTAAACGCTTCTAGTAAACGCATCAACATCAACAGCGGCGGGAGGCGTGAGGCCGGAGCACGAAGGGTTCCACGGGGGACCAGTCACAATCCGCTCCATGGTTACTGTTTCCCGGGCAACCGAGTGCGCTCAGCTCTAATGAGACAGACCAGGAAGAGGGGCTGGAAGCCACCGGCATCGGTTTTATCAAACGGAATGACGGAGCTGCAAGCGCACACACCTACTGACCACCTCTGTCCCGGGGAGAGAACATACAGGTGGGCTGATCGACAGCATCCCCGGAAAACCATAAAACCACGCAATTTACGTCGTCAAGGAAACTTATTTTGTTTAAACATCACGTTTGCCGAAACCGGGTTGGCTCAGTGGATAGAGCATCGATCGGCCTGCGGACTGAAGGGTCCCAGGTTCGATTCCGGTCAAGGGCATGTGCCTTGGTTGCGGGCACATCCCCAGTGGGGGGTGTGCAGGAGGCGGCTGATCGATGTTTCTAACTCTCCCTCTCCCTTCCTCTCTGCAAGAAAAGTCAATAAAATATATATAAAAATAAATAAAAATAAAAACATCACGTTTCGCGTGTACACATCCAGGTGTGAGAGCTCGGCACAACCCCTTTGTTTTCAGGCCACGGAGCTAGTCTCCTTTGCTGGTCGGTCCAAGTTTGTGGCCACGGACAGGTCTCCCCGGCGCAGACGCCCCTCGCTCCCCGCCGGAGACCGGCCCTGCGGCCGGCAGCACCCCCGCCCTCACCCGCCGGTCCCCCGAGGCCCCCGCCCCGCAGGGACCCCCTCCCCGGCGCCCGCTCCGCCCCCCGCCCCGCCGCCGGGCCCCCACTCACGGCGCCCGCCGCCCGGACACGGTGACGCACCCCGAGCAGCCGGGCCGCACCCGCACAGCCGCTGGCAGCGGAACCGCCGCAGCGTCTCCCCGGCAACCGGACGCTCCGGCCGGCGCCCCGCCCACGCGCCCCGCAGGGGAGGCCGCATCCCGCCCGCCCTCTCCATCTCCCCGGGGAGCTCCCGGCGAGCCTGGGGCCGCGGCGCGGGGCTCCCGCCTCTAACGCTCCCCGAAAGCGGCGCTCAGGGAACGCGGCGCTCTCCACGGACGCTGTCACCGTACCAAGTCCCCTTCCTGCCCCAGGCTGCAAAAGCACCCGCATCCACACCTGCAAAAGCACCTGCATCCGCACCTGCAAAAGCACCCGCATCCGCACCTGCAAAAGCAGCCGCATCAGCACCTGCAAAAGCACCCGCATCACCACCTGCAAAAGCACCCGCATCACCACCTGCAAAAGCACCCGCATCATTTGCAGCAACCTGGATGGAATCGGAGAACATCATGCTGAGTGAAATAAGCCAGTCAATGAAAGAGAAACACCGCATGACCTCACTCACTTATGGATAATAAAGAGCATTATAAACTGATGAACAAAAAGATAGACACAGAGACGGTAAAGCAACAAGCAGACTGTCAAATTACAGCGGGGAGGGGAGGGAGATCTGGGGGAGCTAAGAGATCAACCGAAGGACTTGTATGCATGCATATAAGCATAACCAATGGACGAAAAACTCTGGGGAGGGAGGGCATGTATGGGAGTGGGGGGGAGGGCAATGGTAAGATATGTACACATATAATACCTTAATTTAAAAAATGGGGGGGGGGGGGAAGCACACCAGCACTTGCACACGCTGAGCACACGTCCCTTTCCATGCCTGCCTGGGCATAAACCCTCAGTGTGTTAGATTTTATCATCAGTCACTACTCTTCGGTCCTGCTTTATTGCCCGAATAATTGTTCAGCAAACTTTCTGCAGGCTGATGGTATTTCTGCTGTCATTTTCATAAGCCAGGAAGCACGGCACTAGACCTGGGGCTGATTTAGAAGAAGGGACGTGGTTGCCACCCAGTGGGAGGAAGCAAGTCAAGCAAACGGTGTAATGAATGGTCTGCCGAGGTAAATTGGAAAAAATACATTTTTTTTTTTGGGGGGGGGTGTGTTAAAGCTTACCTTCTTGTTCCCAAGATGAGCTTAAAAATACTGCTGTGAATGAGCACGTACATACTTTAACATCAGCAAGGTGCTCTCCAGCATGCTCAGGTTCAGGATGTTCCAGTTTCCATTCTTGCCTCCTTTTCCTCCTCTATCTTCAATTTTCAATTTTCTCCCATTTGCTTAGAAATAGGCTCTAACCTCCTGTCATCTTTAGGGGGGGAAAAACATCAGAAAACAAATATATTTCCACTATACTCAAATTTATATAAACTCACATCTATCTACCCATTTTTACCCTTATCATGTTATAGAAATTTTTCCCTACGGATACAAGTGGTTGCCTGTTTACAACCCAACAGCCTATTCTCCTGTTAATGTTGTAGTTGATCTCTGCGGTTTCCAAAACCGTTGGTTACTTAGAGCTACTTTTCTCCAGAGGGATCTCTTCCCAGTCAGGCCCATCCTTGTTCTCTGCCTCCAGGGCATTACTCTGCGCTATGGTTTAACACACAGCAATTCTGCGTATGTTTTAGTCTAGCGCAGTGGTTGGCAAACTGCGGCTCTTTGGCCCCTTGAGGGTGGCTATTCCACAAAATACCATGTGTGGGCGCGCATGTACAGTGGGATGGAAGGAGTACCCTAATTAAGTTAATAACAATGTACCTCCCTATATAAGTTTAAGTTTAAAAAATTTGGCTCTCAAAAGAAATTTCAATCGTACTGTTGATATTTGGCTCTGTTGACGAATGAGCTTGCTGACCATGGGTCTAGCCTACAGCACCTACTCTGATTTTTCCCTGCACTTGATAAACTATTTTTATTTATTTATTTGTTTTTAAATATATTTTATTTTTTACAGAGAGGAAGAGAGAGGGATAGAGAGCCAGAAACGTCGATGAGAGAGAAACATTGACCAGCCGCCTCCCGCATACCCCCTACCAGGGATGTGCCCGCAACCGACGCACATGCCCCTGACCTGAATCAAACCTGGGACCTTTCAGTCTGCAGACCAACGCTCTATCACTGAACCAAACCGGTTTTGGCTCTTTTCATTTAATAACCCCGTTTGTACTTAACTTTCTATATAAAGGCTTTTCCTTTCCCAAAGCAGAACTAGGCACAACCTTTTGTACCTCTTTAAATTCATCTTTAGTCGCCCACGTGTGCCCCTTGGATACTGGGAATGATGCCTTTTCCATCTTTCCTCCAGTGAAGTAATGCCTGAACACACTGCAAATAATTATTAATAGATGTTGGGTAAATAATTATCTCATAAAAGTAAAAAAAAAAGTCTTTGTAATAAGTTTTAACTAGATTTATTTAATAAGCTTTCACTGTAAACTGATTTTATGCAAATCCTTTGAATAAGGAAAATGCTTTTTAGTAAAGCAAAAAATTAAGACAGTAAGTTAATTTCTCTTATTGCAAAGAGCCAGTGAAATCAGAATTTGAAGTTCAATTCCCAATTGGAGAAAAGAAATCTAATTTCAAAGTAAAACATGCAAGTGTATTTTACAGAGGAGTGGATATACTGCATGTATTCTGTGTGATACATGGTTTAGTACGAGTTAAGTGTTAGTTTTATCACTTACCAACATTCTTAGGCAAGTTGTTTACACTTCCTGAGCCTCAGTTTCGTCATCTGTAAATTGGTATCAATAATACCTACATCACTGGGCTCTTCTGGGCCTCCGTGGGAGAATCTATGTAAAACGTGGCATAGCACCTGCACACAGATACATCTATTGGGTCCATATTGTTACTACATCACATGTCAATACTTTGTCCCATAAGTAATACTTAGTGTGTACCCATTATTTTGGGTAGCGCACACTTTACTCTTTCTTCCAGTCATAGTAAAAAGTGGTGACCTATCTGTCCTTTCTTGGTCTCTGCTGAAATCAGGGGCATACTTGCCAGCTGAATGCCAACAGACCCAGAAACAACTGATCCCCTTCTTCTCAACACCGAGACTTAAGCAAGGAGCGAACAAAATAAGTAACGCAAACCTCAATGAAGACAAAATAGGTTGTTTCTAACATTCGAGTGAATAAAAATCCTTCATCAAGTCACTGGGCGGAGACCCCACATTTGCATTAAGTGTCATTAAAGATGAATTCCCCCCACCCCCCGCCCCCAGGCATGTGATCCTTGGACCGCACTCAAGAAATACTGATTTAAATTCAATGCCGACCCCAGGTTCTCAAGCAAGGTTATACATCAGAATTACTTGTACAAGCCGAAACCGGTTTGGCTCAGTGGTAGAGCGTCGGTCTGCGGACTGAAAGGTCAAGGGCATGTACCTTGGTAGCGAGCACATCCCCAGTAGGGGGCATGCAAGAGGCAGCTGGTCGATGTTATTCTCTCATCGACGTTTCTAGCTCTCTCCCCCTTCCTCTCTGTAAAAAATCAATAAAAAAAAATTACTTGTACAACTTTATAAAAATATAGGCTACTGGGCCTCACCTCCAGAGAATGACTCCAGGGATATATTATTTTAAAAAAGCCCCTGGGTAACATAAAACCATTTGTATCCCATATTTTCTGAAAATATTTATAAGTGATTGACAGTTAAATGTGATTTTTTTTTTTTTTTTTTTTTTAAAGATGTGACCCTTTCTATAACTTGTCAGATTTAGAAACTTGGAAAAACATTGGCCCACAAAAAAGATCAACAACCTTATCAATAAATGCCAAGAGCAGCCAGGACCGGTTTGGCTCAGTGGATAGAGCATCGGCCTGCGGACTGAAAGGTCCTGGGTTCGATTATGGTCAAGGGCATGTGCCTTGGTTGCTGGCACATCCCCAGTGGGGGGTGCGCAAGAGGCAGCTGATCAATGATTCTTTCTCATCGATGTTTCTGACTCTCTGTCCCTCTCAATTCCTCTCTGTGTAAAATCAATAAAATATATTAAAAAAAAAATAAAAAATGCCAAGAGCAGATCTTGATTTCTCAAAAGCATTTTCCATGTGTCTGATTTTCAGCAAATAGATGATGTTACACTAGTAAAGATGTGCTTTTAAGTTATTATTTAGTCATTAATGCTAAGATTGGCCACACTGCATTGTTTGGGAAAAGTGGTAAAGGTACACAACTGCTTTGATCACTAACATCTGTATGATTTAGAAGCTACATTTCTAGTCAAGTAGAGTGTTCTAGAGTCAAGTAAATTATCCAAGGTCACAACAGGCAGTCGCATCAGCAAGAATAGAAAAGGTGCTTTGTGACCTCCAGTCCAATTCTTCCCACCCAACCTTCCCCCTTCCTTACCTCAAAACTGTAATCCCCAACAGTCTCCCTTCCCCTAACCCAGGAGTCAGCAAACTTTTTCCATAAAAGGTTAGGTGGTAAGCATTTTAGGTTCTGTGGGTTATAGTTTTTTGGTTATTTTTTTATTTTATTTTTTTGCAACACTACTCAACTTTGCCACTGTGGTGCCAAAGCCATAGAAACAGTAAATGAGTAGTGTGTTCTAATAAAGCTTTATTTACAAAGTCAGATGGTAAGTGTGAATGGGCTGAGGTATGTCGTCTGACAACACCTGCTTTAACCAAAAGACTATAATTGTTTAATTTTCCCAATCAGGAAGATGAAGATTCTACAAAAGACTTCCTTTTCTCAAATGTGGGAATATTACTCCCTTATGAAATTGAAAGATTAGAAAAAAAAAAAAAAAAAAAAGAGATGATCTGAGGTACCAGAATGAATCCTTAAGGATTGAATGCAGAATATAATTTAAAAACATTTTTTCTCAATATATTTTAGTCTTACTAAATGTAGATGAAGCCAGATAACAAGCTACTGTACAACAGCATGTTAGAAAAAACATGTTTATTTTACACTATGTACAGCCAGGAACATATTTAAAAGCATAGTCAATTAAAATAAGTGAAGACCATAAATCACAATTTAGTTTGTTCTTAGTGTATAATACTCACATCCTATATAATAAAAGGCTACTATGCAAATAGACCGAACCATCGGTTTTGTGGAGTGGAACCGAACAACCGGTCGCTATGACGTGTGCTGACCACCAGAGTGCGAGTGCAGAACATGGCGGGCCCTGGCAGCAGGAGACAGAGCGAGGAACATGGCGGGCATCGGCTATGGTGGGACGGTGGAGCAGGTGAGTGGGGGGCCAGACCAAGGTGAGGTGCTGGTCACTGCCATCAGGGAGAGGCTCTGGTGGCCATTGAAAAGTCTTTGCTCCTGCATGCCGTGGTCCCGCCCGGTGCTCGCACCTGCTGCCAGCACTGGCCCCACTTGCACCTGTGATGGAGCCACCACTTGGACCTGCTGCTGGTGCCCAATACCAGTCCTGATCAGTCGGCGCCATCAGCGGGTGCAGGTGATGGCTGCCGACCCTGATTGCCCTGTGGCTTCTCTATCGCCCCCTGCTCCTGAGAGGCAATTGTGGCAGCAGCTGCTGCTCGCACCTGGTGACGGTGCCAGCCCCAACTGCTCCACGCCATCAGTGTGTGGGAGCAGTGGCAGCGGCGGCGGCAGCAGCAGGGCTGCCGGCAGACAGGGGACCCGGGGCTACGGCGGCAGGGGCCAGGCCAGGGTGCAGAGGATGAGCAGAGACCCGCCCCTGTGCCCAGGGCAGCCTCGCGACCCACAGTTCCTTTCAAGGTGCACAAATTCGCACACTGGGCCCCTAGATAAACCATTAAGACCATATACCAAAAAAGAACCAAGAGTGTGCATTCTGCTAAAACGTGGTATATAGGTATTCCATTGGAAAAAAGCAATAAAAAATGACTTGAACCCAAACTAAGTTCCTGTTATGTGTAGTAACCATTGTACTGATTATATGAGGTAGTAACTAAATTATTTTGGCCATGAGTTAAACTCTAAACGAAAAGAAATAGGAAAACGATCATAAAATAAGGCCAACAAAAGTAAAAATTCCACTAGAAATTTGAACCACTTCACTCTATGGAATGTTACAGTTCTTCAATGTGATTATATGAAATGTTTAGTGTGGACTCTTTAATAATGCTAATTTATTCTTTGTGCATACTGTAATTCAGACAACTGCAGTGTTATATCATGGTACCGCTATTCTGTGACTCAAAATTTTTTCAAAGGTATTGTTTTTAAGCAAAGACAAGCAATTTTACAGATTCTGCTTAAATATAAAAAGACCAGTTACTACAACAGGTGGTTAATTGGTTTGTTTCACATAGAAAACAATCCAAATACATTTAAAAAAAGATGTTGTGGAGCCAAATGCATATTGACGATGTCACAGCTTACTTTTGTGACTTACTACATCACATATCAATACTTTGTGCAAATATAAACACCAGTGTACTTGCATTAAAATTAAAAAACAAGATTATAAAATGATTACAGCCTCCATTATAACTTTAAAAGTTACAAGATTTATATTCATATTACTAAATTACATATAATAAAAATACAATAGTGTTAAGTGTACTGTTTCATTGCCAGCATCCCATTTTGTAATATAGTCACACCAAGAGTATACTAAAGAATTCTTAAAATATTAATCCCAATTGCATTTTCATCAACATTTACATTTGTACAGATAAGACACTTGTACATCTCATAAAAGTACATTATCTACATAAATTCATAGTGTATGTCTTCAGCAATATGAAGTTTTACAGAAAAATACTGCCTATATGTACAAAGATTACATAACAATGAATTAAGCACTTGTGTGGTTCAATATGCTAAATATATCCAGACCACTAAAACAAAAGCTCTCCCCATCTTGTCTCATGCCACAATAAATTACAAGTAACCGCAGCCTCTGTACAGCTTCAAGCTTCCATTAGTGTTGCACCGGTAGTGTTCTTTCTTCATAGTTAACTGTCAAAGCACGTTTCTCAGTAACTGTTTTCGTGTCCCGCCAGGATGTATAAATTGCTATTTGCTGTGGGGTTATCAGTTGGCCTACTTTCCAAAACCACGACCCTAAAAGCAATAAACAAACAAAAAACAGATAACAAGAAATTATTCTTGAAACTAATGCTAACAGAAAAATTTTCCATTGCTTCTTCATTGTATGCCTCTAAGAATGCTGCTTAGTTGATTTTTTTTGGACAGAAATCACTCGTAAATCACTATGATTAAAGAGCCAGTTTAGCTCTGGGAAGTAATTTTGCTATGCACCACTTCCCACCTCTATTAGGAATAATGTCGGAAAACTTTTTATTAAAATTTCTAAAAACAATTTATAGTTCGAAAGTCAGAAAATAAGTCAGACTAAAACCTCAAATCCTATTTGGCATTGAAATAAAGTTTCTGCTTGTTAGCATACTGTATTTCTTCTTTCTTGTGTTATATAGTTTAGATGGTATATTTAAAACAAAACTATTACTGACAGATCTATATATTCCTATTTCTTGGAAGATCAGGCACATTCCCAAAGGCTTTTAAAACTTTGACTTGTGAATTCTAATTGTGTGAAAATATAATGGTGAATATATTACTGCAGAAATTTCTATTCTCTGGAAAAAGAAACCAGTTTCATGCTGGATTTATAAAACAGTATGCTTAATACTATGTAAAAAATACAACCCCTTTCATACCTGTCAGATCCAAGTAGTCTGAAAATCCTTGTGCTATCTGAAATTTCTTGTGTTACCTGTTCAATTAAAATATAAATTTAATTTTTGAAATTAAAGACACGAAGACATAAAAAATGTTCTACAGGCATTTAACTTATTGCACCCTGGGAAAGAAACATTCCTGAGACGGAAGCAGATCCCTGCATGACAGTGAATTTGTCAAGTCGACATATTGGTGCATCAGTTTGTCAGTTTAGGAAAAATTGTGGCTAATTTTGAATTAATCATACAACAGGAGAGTAGGAAAACCATTTCCTGGTTAAATGATGGAACCCAAGGGGAAATTGAGAAGAAAGCACCGTCTGCTGTATGCATCAGGAACGCTGTGTCGGTTGTGTTGACGGCGAGGCTGCTGCAGCAGGAAGCCACTTGGATGTGGTCTTTCTACCTGAACGGCTGCAGAGCGGGCCGAAGGGACAAACTTAGGGCCTGAGTGTGAATCCCAGTTCTCCCACGCACTGGCTGTGACACTGCACAAGGTCAGTAATTTGCTGGAAACAGCTTTGCCTTCTGCAAAGAGGGATAGAAAATATCTACGTGGTAGTAGTAGTTTGCGGTGTTTTTTATATGTGTTAGTAGGTATAATGCCTAGCTAAGGTGTGCTCAATAGATAACCCTCTTTCCATTTCTTCCCCCCCCATATTCTCCAAGAAGTTCTCACCAGTGGGGGAGTTAAGAATAAATCTATAAGAGAAAAAAATCTCCCCCACTAGTTACCGACTGCAAAACATTTCAAATTATGATGAAACTTCTCTCCAAAATTTGGGAGGCTGAGAAACAATTTGATTTTGAAACAAAATTTATTTCCCCAGCACTGCTACCATCAGTTAGTGTGGAAACACCAGGTATTCTTGACTTTGTTTGTATCCCGCACACTTGAAGGATACAGGCTGTAACAGCCTCACTCAGTACAAGCGGCGCATCGTGCCTGATCTTCAAGGGATTTTGGGGTTTGCCTGTTAGGGATTGTGTTCAGTAAGGGATGCTCGTGAAATTTGAAAAAGCCTGCTAGGTGGTTTTTTGGAACCAACTCTTCTTTTTTTTTTTTTTAAACAGCCCTCTTTTATCCTTCCCATGATGCCCTTCTTTCACTGCCGACTGTTCATTAGCTGCTGACTGTTCTCACCACCCTGTTCTGTTCCCTCAGGCGATTTTTAAACATCTCCCAGAGAAGTGGCCCTTTTGCGGACATTGCTACCAGATACTCATTAACAGCAACCTTTCTTGACTATTTACCATAGGCCAGGCATTATGTCAAGCGCAATACATGTTTCCTTTAATTTAACCTTTTTTTAATTAAGTTGTTTTTTTTTTTTTTCCAATTACCCTTGGCATTCAGTTTTATTTTAGTTTCTGGTGTCGAACTTTCATTTAACCTTAACAAACCTAGGAAGTAAGTACTATTTTGTTATCCTCAATTCACAAATGAATAAATATAAAAATGTAAGTGATACACCAAGGCCACAGTTACGAAAGCGCAGAGCATAGACTTGAACTCGTGTTGTGACTCTGACCCAAGCCCACCAGCACCGGGCTGAACTGTCTGCTTTGTTTGAAGACATGCTCTGAGCTGAATGACAATTTAGGACATCAATGGACTCTTTTCTTGCTTGAGACACCTAAGGTTCTCCTTTCCCTCTAATGTTCAAGTAAGAGCTATCCTACCGAGACTGGCTTGGGATACTGGAAGAATTTTTGATGATTTTAACACATCTTGTTCATGTTTATAACCCCAGCATTCTCTGGTGTAAATGCTGGACTGAACTGAATATGTCACATGGCTTGGAGTTCAATTATTCCTGTAATTAAATTAAGGCAGGAAGGACTCAGACTATAGAGCTAATGGTTAATAAAAGAAAAAGGAAAAGGAGCAAAAAATCTTATGTCAAGTGAATAAGGGTAACAGAAACAGGAGGCAAGCTGGCTTCGAGGGAAATGGAGACCCTTAGCTGTTATAGACTGCACTGGGCATCATTTCTGAAAACCAAGGAGAAAGTGGCTCATGACAGAGCCAGCATCAGCACTCTTGTCCCAGGTGACGGTCTGGGAGAGCTGAGAGAAGATCACAGTTGGCTCACTTTTAGCAGTATTAGGAAGTTCTTGTTCTGAATATAAGGGTGACTGACTATCTGGAAGCACATGAACTAGGCACTAAAATTGACTGAGTAAATGGGGAGAGAGGTGGCTGTCGAGCATGTGCTATTACTTTTATCACTACACTGAACACAGTAAATATTAATAAAGTTAGCAAATCACGTATTCCCTGTACCAGAGACATTTCCTAATATTAAATAAAATGGTTTGATGTAGAATTTGATAATGCCTATTTAATGACTATTTAATGGGTACCATTTTTAAGATGACTTACCTCATTAGATCTAAAACTTCTACCTTGCATTCCATGTTTCCAGAAAGCTAGCACACTGTCTTGTAGGCAAACTAGCGGGCAAGAACAGCTCAGTTACTGTTAATAGCACAAAGTTCAACTGGTAAGCATCATTTCCCCCCTCTGCCTTGCATAGCAATATTTCAATTAATAACTAATGTCAATCACTCCATATTTATATGGCATCTTTACCTTTGAGATAAAAAATACTATATAGAATCTAGTTATCTTTTTTTTTTTTTTAAATATATATTTTATTGATTTTTCAGAGAGGAAGAGAGAGGGATAGAGAGTCAGAAACATTGATGAGAGAGAATCATCAATCAGCTGCCTCTTACACACACCCCCATGGGGGACGTGCCCGCAACCAAGGCACATGCCCTTCACCGGAATCGAACCCAGGACCTTTCAGTCCCCAGGCCAATGCCTATCCACTGAGCCAAACTGGCCTCAGCTGAATCTAGTTATCTTTTGACAAGAAAAAAATTTACCAAAAATATTTGTTAAAAAAATGATAAAAAAAAAAAGGTTTATTTTTATTTTTATTTTTTTTAAACTCTGGCTGTGTTTTTAAATATGGATTACATGTTAACATTTTGAGCAGATGTTCCTTAAAATTGACTTCTTATCATCAGCAATTGCTTTTGGGAGAGATGTTCTAGTTGAAGGAAAGAGTAAAAATAGAACCAGGAAGAAGACAAATGAAGTATCTGTTCTTGGCCCTAACTTCTACCAACAGACGTACATGCAAATGTCTTTATCTTACTGCTTAAGGTCACCAGAGAAATTGTGTTTAGTTAAACAATGAATTATCCTTCATTCATTTTCCCTAGCACTATCTCATATATAATAATTTCACCTTATTTTCCCGGAATGTAATCATTTTAGAATACTAATTATGTAAGAAATCCCTTCTCAGAAAAAAAATTCTTGTCAAACAAAATGTAGGAAGGAAATTCTATATACTACTTAAAACTTTCTGATCTGCAGATATAAGCCAAAAATACAATAGAGTATATTAACTAAAATCTAAAGTACTTATAGGAAAATTAGAAGAAACAAATTCAAAACTTTATAAGAAATAATTATTTCTCTTGAAAAGTATAAAATCTGTAAAGGAGATAATATTATTTGGGTTGTATCATGGTTATTAAGCTATTTTAGAAAATGTATGAAAGTGAAGACTGATATTGACTATTATATCCTATATTTTAAAAAATAAGTCCTTAGTAATATATTTTTATAATTTTGGGTAATTAGCAAATAGATTATTTTAAGTGACTAATAATGCAATTAAACAAAAATCCAAAACCGTGACTTGCCTATTGATTCAATCTGGAAATCAAAGGTGAGTTCTGATGATAATTTTCTGCTAGATTTTAATCTTCCTTGGAGATTTACTATTTTTATACAACCTAGAGAGAGAGAAAAAGTCACTGAGAAACTACGGTAAGAGAAATGTTATTAAAATAAGATGTACATAAATAAAAACTTACAGTCCATGCACACAAGAATGGTATCTCTCTCCAGTTGGGTTACATGACTAACACTTGTCTGTGGAGTATCTGTAAACAAACAAACTCAATCAACTTACAGAAAAAAGGAATTATTAGAACACAGGACATTAAAAATAAAAGAATTCTGAACATCACTGAATTTGAAATGGTTATACATTTTTAGCTAAACATAGTGGCTGAGCTAGGTTGCTTGTGTTCAGACTGTGATGCCAAGAGCTAAATTATGTGAGTGTTCAGTGGAGTATAACTACTGTCATACTATTGGCGATAGGATTATTTTTATTCATCTGCGAAATCAGAGTCTAATCTTCTGCATTATTGTTATAACTAATTTTTATTTTAAGCTCAGGAGGCCAGGGACTATGCTTTGTATATCATTTTATGGCAGTGCCTAGCACATGCAATAAATATTTATTGAATGAATGAGTCAGTGAGTGGAACAAATTACTTTGAGCACAACTGAGTTTAAAAAAGCAAGTATTTTGAAAAGTATGATGCATTACCAAAATGCAAAGAAGCATTGTTTTTGTTATAATAATTTCTCAAACTTCTTACAAACTGAAAATGTCAAATGACTTGATTTTCCATTAAGTAAAATGTAGAATATCCCAAGCTTTGAATGAACATCAAAACTGAAATTGCTGAGTACACTCAAGTTTGGGAACCACTGGTTATATTTTATTTCTTATTTTTAAGAGAATGTCTCACAAAACAGAATACACCTCTGAAGACAGGAGGCAAAATAACGCTAGCTCTGTGAACTCTCTCTCTCTCTCTCTCTCGTGCGAATCCACAAACTGCCACAGAGCGACAGAAAGGAACTCACTGAGAAGACGGAACCACTGGTTATGTCTTAAAAGTGTCAAACAAATGACCGTCTCAAATCAAGTCATCTTCCTTTTGCCAGTTTAATAAGTTACTCAAGATTCGGTTTTTATGTACTAATGAGATATATAATTCATTTATTTTGCCTAATAAGAAATATTAAACTTATTACTTATAAATTTAGTGTAGGTATTGGCCTTACTAAATCAATAAACAATCACAAACCTGATTCTGTAAACCACGAAGAGGTAGAATTTGGATTGACTGTTTCAAACCGAACCACCTGGTTGAAGTCTCTCCCTTTACTGACACCAACACAAACTAGTGGGTACTCCTGTTCAGGAACTACCAGCATTTCAAACATCCTAAGTGGACAGGGTATAGGAAAATCTATGTGCTAGAGAGAGAAAGAAACAAAAATATGTTAAACAAAGGAAAACAAAAGCCAAATAATTTCACGAGAACCCCACTAAGAATTTTTATTTTTATGAAATATACAAAACAGATCTCTATTATAAATACTATTTCTTGTCACAAAAACTTGGGGTATGCAGACAAATCCAAATTATGAAGTACCTTTATGAAGATTTTAAATTTAGCACTACAAAATTTTTAAAGTTAAAAATTACTTAATTTTAGGACATTAGGCCTGGAGGGGAACTGATAAATCACTCTCCATCCCTCTCTTTTCAGAGTTGAAAACTGAGACCCAGAAACCGGGTGACTGGCCCATGGCCCCTCCAGCCCTTTGTGGGAGAGCCCCGTCTCCCAACTCAATGCTGCTTCAGTAACACCCCCGCCTTCTTAGCCAGCTGAGCAAATGGATCAGAGGACAGGAATGCAAGTTAGCAAGACACTCCTCTGTGTGTGTGGTCAGAAAAACACATACACGAGAAACTGAGTCCCATATGTGATCATTTCATGTATTTCATAAATTAACTTAGTTATAATGCAGCCGTTTTAATTTTACATAACGTTTAAAACGATTTCTATATTGCTATAAAGAGGTTCAATGAGATCATATTTTCAAAGTCTGGAAAACACTAATTTCATTAATAACCATCAGGGAATGAAACCATGAGGTACCATACATTCCTACCAGAATGGCTAAACTCAAAAAGAACAACAATCACAAGCATCATCAGGGGAGCAAACAAATGCTCATACCCTGAGGGTGCGAGTACACATTGTAACTGACCACGCTGAGGAATGAGATTATTTGTTGATGGTGTGCACTCCTTAGGATCTGCAGTAACACTCCTAGTGATACGTCCTGGAGAACACGCAGGCGCGTGCAAGCGTGCGCGCGCGCGCACACACACACACACACACACACACACACACACACACACACACACACACACACACGTGTGCAGGGATGTGTGGCTGGGATCTAAAGCTCTATGTGCAATGCTGCTCCCACCTCCCTTCCTGCCCGGTGACAGCTGGAGAGCCTCATCAGCATCTCCAAAACTCTGTCTGGTTCTCCCATGACCTGGGGTATGCTTTGGATACAATCTGTCATATTTTTAAGAAGGTAAGACATTTTTTTTTAAATTATTATTATTTTTAATATATATTTTATTGATTTTTGTACAGAGAGGAAGGGAGAGAGAGAGCCAGAAACATCGATGAGAGCGAGCCATCGATCAGCTGCCTCCTGCACACCCCCCACCGGGGATATGCCTGCAACCAAGGCACATGCCCTTGACTGGAATCGAACCCGGGACCCTTCAGTCCCCAAGCCGATGCTCTATCCATTGAGCCAAACTGATCCTGGCAGAAGGTAAGACATTTTAAATAATTCTCTTTCAAATGTGGTAACAGTAAAGCATCAAGAAAACAATGCTTTTGCTTAATTTTGTCAGCAAGTAAGAAAGCAGACAGATTTTGAACACTTCTGCTTAGCTTCCAATCCTAACGAGGCAATGTGTGGGGTCCCGGACAGAGAGGACGCCTAGGCAACCGTTTTAAATCTGGTTGCTGTTGGGGACGGTTCTTGAAGGCAGTGACTGTATCTTACTCGTCTCTGTCCCTCCAGTTTAACAGCACTGGGCCTGCTTTGCAATAAGAACAAAAATGTTTTTTTGAGAATGTCTTTAATTTCTAAGTTTTACTTATGATAAAAATTTTGTTTAGTGAAGCAAAAGCTTTGTCAGAAATGTCATTAAGAGGCTGGGCCCAGTTTGGCTCAGTGGATAGAGCGTCGGCCTGTGGACTAAAAGGTCCCGGGTTCGATTCTGGTCAAGGGCATGTACCTTGGTTGCGGGCACATCCCCAGTGGGGGGTGTGCAGGAGGTAGCTGGTCGATGATTCTCTCTCATCGATGTTTCTAACTCTCTATCCCTCTCTCTTCCTCTCTGTGAAAAATCAATAAAATATATTAAAAAAAAAAAAGGAAATGTCATTAAGAGGAAGGAAGGATATAGAAAGCATAAGAATCTTTTTGAACATCTGATAAGAGCTGTAGTATAGGAACATCATAAATACTTAGCAAAATAATGTCAAATACAGGAACAAAACATACAAATAGTTTTGAGCAGAGACAGAAAGGAGAGTTGGGCTGAGATGAAAGGGGGGTAGGGAAGGGCCTGAAGCTCAGGGCATAAAAGCGGGAATTCTGAGGAAGTCTTGCAAGTAGAATTGTACTGCCAACAACATTCTTAAAATACTGAGAGATAAAGGCTCTGAAGACATGGGAAGCTTAGAAAGTGCCCACCCCTGTTTTCTCTGAGCCGGGTGGATGACACAAGGAAACATGGCCCTAACGAACGAAGCCAGAGTGAAATGTTTCAAAACTGAATCTGGATAAAGTAGCAAAGAGAAGAGCTTTACAAAATTCATTTGGAATTTCCTTGGTGTGACTAAGCCTGTCCGCCACAGTTTTCCTCAAATTTGTTATAGCTGAGTAATACTAAATATTTTTTAAAATATTCATTAACTACCACTGGCTGGACGTCATCCCCTGCATTGAAGGGTTGACAGTTCAATTCCTGGTAGGGGGCTCAGTCCCCGGTCGGGGGCGTGAGGAGGCAGCTAATCAATGTTCTGCTCTCACACTGATGTCCTCTCTCTCTCTCTCTCTCTCTCTCTGTCTCTTTCCCCCTTCCTTTCTAAAAATTAATAAAAATATTAAACCATATACTCATTAATTCAAGATTCTAGAGAAGACTAGGCACAAAACCAAACCAAACAACCACCCAAGGGAAAGCCTGGGCAAACGACTAGGTAGGCACATAATCAAAATGAGTAATTTGCTCTCGAACGGTATCCCATCCTCATCCCTTGGCCAAACAACAACCTGTAGGTTGATTCTCTACTGTGATGGAGCAGGCCAACGTATTCAAGCATTCCCCTGCTCTTTCAGCACATATCCTGGACCCGATCAGACTAGATACAGATTTGCGACACACTATTTCTAGCTCCTGCTGCCATATCTATCCCTGCACTATTTCCCTCGTGTCTTACAAAACTTTTTTCAGGCCAAGTGAGTTCCTTACAACTGGGCAGATTTCCACTATCTTGCCACATAATCCAAAATCATTAACTTAACTTGAGAATTAACTGGGGGGAAATTTTTTTTTTGAATGAACAGGAAAACGGGCTTAATTCAGCTTTTATATTAAAAATGACTTAGGTTGACGTTCATGCTTACCTTAATTGACATGAATTTCTGCATTGGTTCAACCCATTCCAATAGAATAATGCTGGTCTGAAGCGCCCCGCATAGGTATTTATGGCCTGTGTACGGGTTTCTCACTGTGGAGGAAAGAAATACAGTAAGTTCTCTTAGGATACAAAGTCCTGACAATAATAGTTACATGCTCCAAAAACAAACAAACAAAAGCTGGCTGCCAGGTCAATTCCTTAAACTACAGGATGCAAAAGAAATACTGCCTCAGGGAACAGCATGAAGCTCCCTCGTCAGTTGCATGATTTTTGTTTGTCTGCACAAACGAATTTGCCCGATGTTATGAGACCTGGGGGCCAGAAGAAAGACTTAGGTCTTAAGGTAGCAGAAAGATTTGGGGAGAAGTTGCCAAACTGAGAGGCGATAGCACATTTAGGGACAAGTGACTAAAGGTATTTTCAGTAGTAATGTTCAGAGGCAGTAATGCCAATTTGGTTAAAACAATACGATGACATAAATCACATCTCAAAAATACAGATTTACAACAATAAAACTGAATTGCCTAAGAGTTTTTTAAGGGAAGAAAACTAATTTTTTTTTTTTTTTTTTTGCTTTTGCTATATGCAAATAAAACAGCTAGTTGTTACGGGATGAGTGAGGAATTTCGGATAGAGATATGTAAGTAGGGAAATCTAATCTTCACAGCATAAGGTTTCACACATTAAAGGTATTAAAATACTTGCGCACTGACTCTATTCAGTCTCATAAGCCATTTAAAAGCACAACGGTAAATGGTAAATAATAGGTACTTTGAAAAATAGGGTGTCATGAAATGCTGTAATTAAAAGTAATCCTACTTTCTCTACTTTTCCAGTCAATAAATTATTTGCAAAACAACTGTTTTGTGCAAGGTGGTATATATTAGGTTCAGTTTACATGAAGACAGAATTCAAGACGTTTGTTAGTTGGGGGGTAGGGGGCGGGGAGAAAATCCTATTGCTGGCAGAGGGCCCCGGAGGAGTGCTTTTACACTCGGTTTAAAAATAAGCCCCTTCGTGCTTTCTTGTCCCCTTTGTGAAGCAGAGGAACCATGTATGATTGGACAGTTCACTTACCAACACAGCACTTCTGACACCACTTGGTTTCAGGGATTTTTGCTGATACAGCAAATTTCCTAAATGTAAATGAAAATGAGTATGTAATACATGTAGGTAAAGTGAGTATACGGTAATGAAATATTATAATCAGTGGAGAAGAAATTAGTTTTTCCAAACTGGTGCTGGCATAATATTAAAAACCAGAGGCCTGGTGCACGGATTCATGCCCAGTGGGGTCCCTCAGCCTGGCCTGTGCTCTCTCGCAATCAGGGGCCCTCAGGGATGTCGGACTGCCGGTTTTGGCCCGATCCCCGCAGGCCAGGCAGAGGGACACCACCGGTGCCCGGGCACAGGGCCTCTAGTATTCATATAAGATCTGTGATTAATCTCCTCCTGCCCTCTCCCCTCCCCTCTGAGATTCATCAGTCTGTTCCATGTTTCCAGGCCTGTGCATGGAGCACCTGCCCCCTGGTGGTCAGTGCGTATCATAGCTACCAGTTGAGTGGTTGCTTAGGCGTTTGTATGTATAGATAAGAGTAAATTGGGTCCCTTTCTCAATTCCCCTGTTAATCAATTCTAAATGGATTAAAGTTTAATATGAAAAACAAAACTATCAAATATTTAGATTGTAGAAGATGATCTTGGGATTTCTTAAAAAAAAAAAAAAAAAAGGCAAAGAGGACAAATCATACGGATAATCTTTAATTGATATTTTTCCACAGAGGCATCTCAAGCTACAGGTGGCATTCAATTTGGTGAATGACTTGTTGAATACATTAAGAACTCTGGTTCACAAAAAGTTACCACTGAGAAAGTGAAAGGTAAGTCACAAAGTGGGAAATGATCTTTTTAGCACATATAATAAATTTAGGTTATGTAAAAATTTGTGTTATCACTAAAACAATTTATAAGAATTTTTTATTTAGACATTTTTATTTCTCTACTCAGAAAAAGTAGGATGTAGAATTTCTGCAAAGTTCTTTAGGAGATTTGCAAACATTAAAATTTACTGTGTAAAAATCCATTTAAAATTATATTTTTAAACTACAATTAAAAAAATCAATCAAATATCCTTTATAATAAAAGTTAATACAATAAAATGGCTATATATCTTTTATAATATAAAGTTAATATAATAAATTACAATATAAAAGTTAATATAATATAAAGTTAATATAATAAGTGGTGCAATCCTCAAATTATACTCCTCCATGTCTGTACACATATTTAAACTTTTAAATGTGTAAATGTGTCAGATTAGAGGTCATTACTCTACACTATTTTATTTTATTTTATAAATCATAGTTGTGTTTTGCTGGTAATAAAGTCATACTGGGAAGAATTTTACATTTATCAAGGAATCCAATTTGTGATTGATAAATTATTTAAAAAATGCCTCATTTATACGTGCTGGAGTTTCATACAGTTGAGAGCAAAACAAAAATTCCCCACATCCTTAAGCAAACTGCTTGAACTAAAGTCCTTTTGAGTTTTTAAAAATCTGAACCAAGCTCCAGATAGATTCCAGGGGTATTATAATCTTCCTGGTTCACACCTGTAATCCGCCCCCCCCCCCCAAGGTTAACTCAGGGGTTAGGTTACTGAATCGGTCAAAACCCAGGAGGATTAACTGACTGCCAGAATCTGAAAGACCATAAAGAAGAACACATGTGGAAATACATTACTTCTTATAATTTTTCATTAGACATAATTTCTACTAACCCAAACTGAGTGCTTTTGCAACTTCTATAGTATAACTACTTTAATTAGAGTGACTTAACATGTTATGTTTAAGGATGAAAACGATTAGGTGTCCGGGTACCTTGGCAGTATTCTGTCAGGGAGTTTGTGTGCTGGAATAGAAACAGGCAACTTCTGCATTTGTCTTGCATAATCGAAAAGCCCTGGTAAATTATGGGAATAAAGCTGAGACGCTTTACCTGTAGAGAAAAAGAAACAGCGTAAAAGCTCATAATATAAATAGGAACAATTATAAGGTATTTAAACACTAAAAGACTTACCAGATATTGATAGTAAGCAGTTGTTCATTACATACAACCAGGTACACCTTCGGGGAAATAGCTGATAAAAAAAAAAAGCACAAAGTTTACAAAGGACATTAGGTAACAGTAATGTAATATGTGCATATTAACCTAAGCTGTCATATCAATAGGTCAGTTTCAAAAAAAGAAACTTACTTTGAATAAAAATACATTTTATAAGGCATTTAAAACAAGATGACATACATACATACATACACATATATATGGGAGGGAAAAAATAAATTAGCAGTGCAAAGTCTGAACATGCTATGATTAGCTTAAGTCTGGTTTATGATAAGGACTAGGTAATCCCAAACTCGTAGGAAAAGCAGTTTCAAACAGTATCTGTGCCTTTATTTCGGTTCTAGGGTTAGACAGTTAAGACTCTCTTGTGTACTTCCCCCAAAATGTTCTGCAACCTTTTACTCATGGTCATTAACGGTCCATTTCAAATGTTTCTCCTCACCTTCCCCCCGGAGTTGCTAGTGACTTCTGCCTCTGTGGCCTCTACCTTGTGCTACAGCTCTTAGATTTAATAATCTAACTCTGAGGGGTACAGTTATTCGCTATGTGTGTGTTTCCTCTATTAGATCATGAACTCCTTAAGGATAAGAACTAGTGCTGTGGATGTGTCTTCAGTACCTGTTAAACAGAACATGCTCTATGAAGGTTTTATCAATGAGAGGCAGCAAATCACAGACTTTAAATTATTTACCTAGTGTCTACTTATAATAACTTAAAAATTAATAATAAGAAAAAATACAGAATAACATACCTGTTCCATTGATGTTTCATGAAGTTCATTAAGATTCAAGGTATAAATCCCTTCTTCGGCACCGAATATCAAGTACTGATCTGAGATGACAAAAAGAAGTCACTGATTTTGAGACATACCACTTTAAATTTATAGTCTAAAATTAAGAAAATATGCATTAGAAAAAAATAGCTATGATTTATAAAAATTACACATTTTTTATTTTAATGTGTATAAGTGGTGAGACACTCTAACTTGATGAATTGAATTATATGCACATATTACTACCCTAAAGCAGTGAAGAAACTTATGTAAAAAACATTTTGAAGAGTGGCATGCTGGACTTCGCACTCATCGGAGGGGCTAAGGCCTGGCAGAGAATCTGCAGTTCCTTTTTAAAAATTCCTTAGGATCATGTGCCCCTGACAGAATGTAAATCAAGAACAGCTGATACAGATTCAAAGTTTGTGCAAATGGACTATGACTATTATAAGCACTAATATAAAAAAAGAACTGACTTATTCCCATTTATGAAGTTCACTAAAACTTGGATACTTGCTAGAGTATTTGATATCTTCTAGAAAATACCAGAAATTTGGTCATGGTCCTGTTTGGTCTGTTTTTAACTCCAGGTTAAACAGAAGTACAGAGAACAGCTTAGAATGCGTGAGCACTCCAGCACTGCCCAGGGTTCAGGATTAGTTCTGGTATTTACAGCACAGGCTGTGGTCAGACAACTGAGCTGGCTTAAAGCTGCAGCTATGCCTCTGAATGGCTGGGGCCCTCTGAGCGTCATTCTCTCTGCCTGTGAAATGAAAGTACCCATACCTTGGATTTTTAAGCTTTAGAGAGAGAGTGTGTGTGTGTGTGTGTGTGTTTCTATGTATATCTTACATAATTATTAAGATAGGCATTATATATACAATCTTCAGCGCCTAATGACAGATATTCTTATTATGACCCCTTTTAAGGTGAGAGATCCTCTAACGTGGTCACTAGATCCTGAATCCTCAGTAGTTAAATTCCTTTAGCAATGGCCATGTCTGAAGCACAGATATTGAATGATTGTGCTGCAGAAAGGAAGAAACTTTCCTGGGAGGAAATTAAGGTGGCACAGAGTGCATGGTTTCATTATATTGATATAGTGACTGCATGGCAAAAGTTAAAAAAAAAAAAAAAGACTTTCTATTGATTTTTAGAGAGAGAGAAGAAGGGAAAAGGGGAGAGAGAGAGAGAGAGGGAGGGAGGAAGGGAGGGAGGGAGGGAGAGAGAGAGAGAGAGTCGATGTGAGAGTGAGACATTGATTAGCTGCCTCCTGCATACTCCCTACCAGGGATTAAGCCCAGAACCTGGGCATGTGCCCTGACCAGGAATTGAACTGGTGACCTTGGATGTGTATGGGATGATGCCCAACCGAGTCAGGGATACACGATAAAATTTTAATGTCATGTGTCACCTCAAACACTAAAAGCATAATAAAACATCTACCTTAAAATGTTTTTAACTGTAACAAAAATTTTCTCAGAAAAATCAGAAAATAAATAAAATCAAATGCTTTCATGGCTTTTTTTTTTTTTAAATATATTTTATTGATTTATTCACAGAGAGGAAGAGAGAGGGATAGAGAGTTAGAAACATCGATGAGAGAGAATCATCGGTCAGCTGCCTCTTGCACACCCCTTACTGGGGATGTGCTCACAACCAAGGTACATGCCCTTGCCCGGAATCGACCCCGGGACCTTTCAGTCCACAGGCCGACACTCTATCCACTGAGCCAAACCGGTTCCGGCTCATGGCTTTAAGTTTAAAAAACAATTAGAAAGATAACAGATAAAAATATATAGTATTACCTCTGGTATCGGGGTTTATCCATGATGTTGCACAGTGAATTTTCAAGGGACACCCATTAAAAACCTTTGAAAAACAAGCACCCATCTAGAAAAATGAAGAATAACCGAATTAAGAAACCAAGCCATAGTCCTTGGCCTTACAATGGTACCTCAAAGGGTCCAGGCACAACAGTGAGTGTCAACTGACACAAGATTTTACTTAAAAGAGTTATTTTATTTTTCCTAGCTTCTCAAATAAATGAAGCAGTGATAGCAAGCAATTCTGACCAATAATTTATGCACAGAAATATTACTTACACATCAAGAGCAACATAATATTCCCTGGTAAATAGAAGTTCTATAAAGGTGAAAAATTTTCTTATTTTGGTTCTATAAGCCTAAAGTCAGTGAATTTAATATTACAAAGTAAAGAAGAGGTATGATTGATTTAAAAATTCATATATGTACTTCAATCTCAAAATATACAACTCACTTAAAAAAAGAATCGAGCAATCTAATGATTTTCCCTGGAAGGTTTCAACAGAAAAGCTTTATTCTTTGATGTTGATATTTATTTATTTATTTATTGAGGCCATTTACAAATCTTTCAGAAAGTTCATTTATAATGAAAATCAGTATCACTCATTTTAACTTTTTATCTTCAAAAAGTAAAACATTAATTTTCAGGTAAGAATAAATATAAATAAGAAAGCTTCCTTCCTTAGTCACGTTTACTACCAACGACTTGTGAGAAAAAGAACATACAAACATTTGGTCAGAAGAGCACTGTGCTTCATTTCATATCAGTAATGTTTTCTTTACAAAAGTGGAGATAATCCAGAGTGCGGGAAAAAGGAGGCTTGTAGTTTGCATGCAATGTCATATAATAATTAATAAATAATCACACAGTAATAAACTCTTGTGTTTTGTGTAATCACAACGGTAAACCTACTTTTGCCCCACCCTCTACTCTGAGAAAACACATCACTAGTTGATTTCAATGGATTAAGAATATTAACATAAAATATATAAATCTTAAGATTTCCTTTATCCTCAAAAACGTACCAACCAATATTTTAAAGGCTTTTGTACCAAAAGGAGAATAACAGCCAGGCAATACCATGAGGTGGCAGTATACTGTTAAAAATGTTTTTATGTGATAGGACAGAGATTATATCGCTTTACTAACAAATAATTAAATTACCCATCAAGATAGCTTCCAAAAGTCATGTGCTGAGGTAATGCTAAATCCCCTAAAACTCCTCATGACAAAATGGGCTACAAAACAAAGAGTCTCCACGCAGGCTGCGTGGTCAGGGGGCCCTCTCTGCGCTCCCCATTCATCAGCTCCTCCCCGCGCACGGCACACCTGACCTAGCAGTTTATCTTGTAGCCAGACAGGAAATCTCACCCTCACTGTATACATGAGTCTGCTAGACTTGAGCGCTTTAAATTCAAAGCTTCTTTTTATTTTGTAAAGTAAAATGTAGTTATTTAGATCTTTATACTAATTAAAAAGTAAAGTTAAAAAGTAAAAAACTATGGACATCTAGTGTTACGTACGCAGTTTTGGATTATAGCTTTGTAGAAGTGAAAATGTAGTTCTGTCTGTATTAACCTACAGCCACACTGAGTTAATATATATAATTTTAATCCTAGGAGAGCATGGTCTAATCATCCCCCCCCCCCCCCCCGCACACACACACCTACAGCAGAATCCATTACAGCACATCTAAGATCTAGTTGTTGGTCTTGTTAGAGTTAGGTGAAGTTTTGTGATCTGGATGACTAAGACATTTGGGTCTCAGCTTTACTCTACAATTCAAAGTTTTGATAATTGAAAACACATTAGAACAAGTGTTGTATCTACACCCTGTACTTCCTATTATATCCATGTGCCTTTTTCACATTTCTTCAACAATGTCTTCAAGGAAGATACTAATAAAGTTTGAAATAAAGGAACTTTAAAATGTATAATTTTTTAAAAACTATTTTACAGATGTATTAATATTAAAATTACCAATCTTATAGATTTTTTTCAATAATCATGAAGGTTCTTTCAAATAGGCAAATAATCTAACAATTTAACCAAAGGTACACATATAAGCAATTGCTTGTCACTGTATTGATTTTGAAAACTTTGTGTTTATACTTACATGCACTTTAGGTGTTGGGGGTAGACCGTTACTAATAGGCTTCTAGAAAAAGAACACATGCATGATTACACCTCTCTTGTTGCTGTTTGGTATAACAAACACACTTATTAGAATAAAATAGACAAATACATTCTTTTTTAAAACAAAAACACTGTAGATAAGGCTGAAGTTCCCTATAAATCTCCCCCAGTCCACTTACTCCTAGTACCTGCGCCTCACAAAATCAGTTTATTGTCTATCCTTCCAAAACTTTCTCTAGCCAATCATATGCTAGAGATTACCCATGTATTTGTGTATTGTTCCAGACTTTCTGTATATATTCGTATCAATGCCCTCACAGAAAGAACTTTTTTTGTGTGTGTGTCTAAGAACGATAATAGTTATGCACTAATGTGCAACTTGTTCTTTGCCTTAATACTGACTGATCTTGGATAGCATTTCATACCAGTACATGTACCCAGTTTCCCTGAAAATAAGACAGTGTCTTATATTAATTTTTTCTCCCAAAGTTGCGCTAGGTCTTATTTTCAGGGGATGTCTTATCTTTCCATGCGCTAGGTCTTATTTTCGGGGAAACACGGTAGCTCTGGTGCATTTGTTTTAACTGCAGCATAGGACGGCTATGACATAATTTAGCTATTCCCTAATTGGTATTGAGTAATTAGGTTACTTTCAATTCATTACTGTAACAACAATATGGAAACGATCGCCCTGTGCACATCATTTTGTTTGTTTGTTTTTTAATCTTCACCTGAGGACTTTTTTCTCATTGATTTCCAGAGAGTGGAAGGAAGGGAGGAGGAACAAGAGAAAGAAACATTGATGGGAGAGAGACACAGAGATTGATTTCCTCCCACACTCGCCCCTAAGCAGCTGAGGTATGTATGTGCCCTTTGACCAGGAAGTGAACCCGAGACCCTTTGGCCCCCGGGCCGATGCGTGACTCAGCAAACTGGCCAGAGCCGAGTGAATGTTTTTTTAGGGTATACTGTAAGAAATGAAACTACTGGAACAAGGATCTGTACCTTTTACATTTCAGTGGATACCAACTGCCAAACTGTCTTTCACAATGCCCTCATCACACCAAACCCACCAGTAATACATGAGAGTCCTGGTTCCTTATAGTCTCACGGACACTTAACATTAACAACATTTGTTATCAAACTGTAAAAACTATTTTGTCATTCATGTGCATGCCTCTGATTGCTAGAAGGGTTGAGAATCTTTCTAAAAAAAAAAAAAATGTTTACTGGCTCTCTGTATTTGCTCTTCTGTACATTGTTTTACATATATTTTTTACTAAATTACATTTTTCTTATTTATTAGCTGGAGTTCTTGATATAATTTAGATTTAAATACTTTATTGAACATATATTACAAATGTGTTCTCCTAGTCTGCAGATTATCTTCACTTTTTTTTTTTTTTACAATGTGTTTTATCAATTGAAGTTGTGTATTTTGATTTATTCAAATATACTAACCATTGGCCAGCACATACTGATAATTACAAGAGCAAAAATAGCACATATGCTCATCTACAATATTCCCAAGAATACCAGACATTTTCCCAATGAGCTACATTCCTAGAGTATATGATTTGTCCCCTGGAGAAAGAATCTCTTTGGGAGAAAATACACTTTAAGTATAAATTGTATTAAAGTCTAGACTTCTTTCAAGGTTAACCTTAATAGCTTTTTAAGGAATGACTTGCATTTTTTTTCTCCAGCTGACATAAATCAGAAGAATTATTTAAATGATACAACAAAATTAACTAAAAAGCTGCTGACTTCATATTTTGTGATATGATACAAATAGTCTGTGTAGTGCCACTTATATGAGTAACTATTAGACACTTCTGAAATTGACTATATACAATTTTACTTAGTAGATCTGTTTATGAGAATATACAGTCTGTTAGTGCCACAAATTTCTGATAATATTTTTTCCATTTGGCAAATACTCTACTTATTTTTTTATTTATGTTCCTAAATTACCTTCTATCATCTATTTCGTGAAACATTATTTTTAATTAGAGAGCTCTGAATGTTATAAATGTTCGATTTAAGTACTAACAGAGTTGGCTGTAAATAATTTCAATAAGCTGCACAAATGGAAATCTTGTTTCAGTATAGCGTGGATACTGTTTATCCCATGATACAATCATGAATTTTTTATTTCAGAATTGCTAAGATTGTTAGTTTAACTAGGAGTTACTTAAACTTCTTAAATAAGATAACAGAAAAGCGAGTTAAAAATGCACATATACTACAATGCACACATCTTTTAAAGGACAGGATACTGTTGCAGAGCCATTAAGCGGCGTTTCTGTACTACAGTAGCAGGGCTGCTAAAATTTAAACTGGTGGAAGCAAAAAAGACACTGCTCAGTTGAAAAGACTATTAATCCCATTTCTGAAGGACACTTTACCCTTTTGTTAAAAATGTCATAAATTTCACAAATTACAAATGGACAACCCTAGTCAAATGCCTTAATTGAATTATTAAAAATAGTATGTCATATTCTATCATGAATTCTTTAACAGTTAAACAGCTATAGTACAAAGCCTCAACACTGCTTACTGTGCAAAACCACAGCTATATGCGTATAAACATATTAAAGGTACTATAAATTCCTATAAAATTAACAACAAATATTAGCATACACTAAGACTCAAAAATATTGTCTCATCTCATGATCATATTGGCATCTGCTGAATTGGGGATTTTAAGAATTTTTTGTTGTTTTAAGTTCTATGACAACAGATTTGTCTTCTGATAATGAATAGCAAATTCCTTATAAATGTTAAAAATTTTTAATCTCCCTGATAAATATTAGTTAACTAGAGGTCCAGACCGGCCTGCGTCCTCTTGCAGTCTGTGACCCCTCGGAGGATTGTTCACCTGCTGGCTTAGGCTCCGCTCCCAGGGTGGATTGGGCCTAAGCTGGCAGTCAGACATCTCTCTGGCAGCCCAGGAGCCATCAGTCGGACATCCTTAGTGCTGCCAAGGAGGCGGGAGAGGCTCCTGGCCACAGCCGCTGCACTTGCAGCCATCAGCCCGGCTTGGTGCTGAGTGGAGCTCCCCCTGTGGGTGCACACTGACCACCAGGGGGCAGCTCCTGCATTGAGCATCTGCCTCCTGGTGGACATTGTGCATCATAGCAACCGCTGCTGTTAGGGTCAATTTGCATTTTATCCTTTTATTATATAGGATTATATAGGATGGTTATGTCATGTGTTTTATCTTGCATTTATAACAGATAGCTTCTAGCTAATTTCATCTTTCCTCAAGTGATATCTACTAGAAAACAGTCTTAATTTTTCTTCCTTGTTAGCTATTCCGAGTAAGAGCAGTAATATCACAAACTGCATAATCTACAGTTAGAGAAGTTAATCCTAGGGTAGAAGCTATAGTTTTCCTTATCTGTCTATGTCCTTGTTTCCTAAACTTCCTGACATAATAAAAGGGACTTTTAAAGAACAATGAAAAAAAATAATAGTTATTTTCTGAACAATCACAAGAAGACTGTTTACTTGCATGCAGGACTAAATAATTCAAATAAATTGGCCTAAATAATTCAAACAGAAAGCCATCATTTAAGTTTACTATAGAGCAAAGTTATTTTTTTAAAAAGATTTAAATAATCCATATTATTATAAATATACTAAAATACCAATATAATTAATTATAAAACATACAACTGCTGTAGCTCAGCAATTATAATCGCAAACCTAATAGTGAAAACGAAAACCAATACAAGTAGACTATGAATATAAATACCTACTGGTACATCTTTCTTTTCTTTCCTTGAAAGGTTTGTTCCTCTTTGTTCATTCTGTTGTTGATATAACGATCCATCTCGTTCACCATTTAACTGGAAGGAGCCCACTCCATTTCCTTCAATAAGATGTTGAAATATATTAAAAAGAGGATTAACTTTCACTCAGAAAATGTAAGAAAGAAAAACATCTCTGTGACCGTTTCAGCCTTCATTTGGGATCACCCAATCAGAATACTTAGCAATGATTTAAGAAGTCTTACATGTGTGCTATTCTCCTTATATTTTTACTAGAGGCCCAGTATACAAAATTCATGCATAGGTGGGGGGTCTCCTCAGTCCAGTCTGCACCCTCTCCAATCTGGGACCCCCCAGGGGATGTCCAACTGACGGTTTAGGCCTGATCACCAGGGATTGGGCCTAAATCAGCAGTCAGACATGCCTCTCACAATTTGGGACTGCTGACTCCTAACTGTTCACCTGCCTACCTGTCTGATCGCTCCTAACTGCCCCCCCTGCCAGCCTGATGACTGCTAACTGCCTCTGCTCGCTGGTCTGACAGCCCCTAACCCCCCTCCCCATACCAGCCTGGTCACCCCTAACTGCCCCCCCCCCCCCCAACCCCTGCTGGCCTGGTCACTGCACACAGCCTGCTGTTCAGTTGTTTGGTTGTCCCTCACTAAATCCCTGACAGCCTGGTCACCTCATACAGACTGCTGTTTGGTCATCTGTCTGGTTGTTTCAGTCATGACAGCCCTTGGCTTTTTATATATTAGGATTTCTTTCATATAGGCAAATTTATTTATTTATTATGTTTTAATACTCACTCAAGGATACTTTCCCACTGGTTTTTAGTAAAAGTAGAAGAGAGAGGGAAAGAGAGAGGAGCACCAATATGAGAAACACATTGACTGGTTGCCTCCTGCAGGAGACCCAACCAAGGCCAAGGCTGGGAATGAGCCTGCAACCTTAGGTATATGCCCTTGACCTGAATCGAACCCGGAACCTTGGTCCACAGGCTGATGCTCTATCCTCTGAGCTAAACCGGCTAGGACCATATGGGCAAACTTAAATTCACGTTGTATCATATATTCGTGTTAAGACGACAAAAAAAGAAACACTTTCAGGAAAGGAGCAATTTAGAGTATGTTATCAAAGAAATCTTCGTTGCTCTTTTCTTTACAACTTCTTTTGCATAATTCACAAGAAACTTTATAGTATTAAAACAGCATCCTCTACCATTATTAATTTAAAGCAAATACCCAGCAAATATTGACCATTATTTTTTTAAACAATTAACTAAATAAAACAAAGGAGTTAACCAAATATCCTATTCTTTTACTAAAACAGAAGTACCCTATGATCAATACACATTTTCCTTGTTTAGAGTTTAAATTTTTTTTGTTGCCAAACTACAGATAAATGATGAAATGGACATAAACAATTCTCCGAAAGAGGGAAGGCTAGATAGGAATGATTTAAGAAGTCTTACAAATCTCAAACTAGGCCACAGATAATCCTGTCGTCATAAAACCACTTTAAACCATGAGGCAAAAGGCAGAAAACATCTCTGGAGCCTCAGCCTTCCTTCTTCCCTCCTCAAAGGAATTTCAAATAATTTCTCAAGAGTCCCTCCATTTTTCCCCATACGGTATGAAGACCTATTTCCCTCATTTCACCCTCCCTCCCCCCATTACCTAAAGCAATAGGCTTTTGTGGAGGTAATCTGGGAGGTGGTGGTCGAGGTGGGACTTGGGATGGTCTAGCTGGGCTCTCTGACATGGGACATCTCTTGATTGTTCCTTGATTATCCTCCTCAGTAGAATGACTTTCCTGGGGTATGAATATGGACTTAGGCTGAAATAATACAGAAAAGGAGACCGATGGTTAAAGATGAAATTATTCATGTTTTATTAAACATAAAACATATTAAGAATTTTTCCTGAAGGAAATATTATTATATATCAGAGGCTTTTAAACTGTGTATACTAGCAGAGTTTCAAGGTTATTCAACTATCTGATTCAGATGATCTCAATACAGATTTTACAATTATACACTAAAATGCTTTCTCAGGGGGGAAAAAAAAGAAACCTCTTTCTATTAATTCCTTACAAGCCTTCCCACTTACACTTGCCAAATAAAAATATTCTGGTCTTTCTTATCTCCAATTTAAATGAGTCTCTTTTTATTTTAAACATTCAGGCTATTCAGCTCCTTACAAGACTAATCTAAACTGTCTCTTTTAAATGACTCAATGTCTTTTATGTTAATGCTTAATCTTTTAGACTGGGGTAGAAGAAGGTATCAATTAAAATTTTATCATCATGGAGAATACTAATAAAAGATGCCCGAGAAACTTTCTATTCAGACAATTATGAAACCTCCACCAGCAGGAGGTTTGGAGACTTTATACATTCTTATAAATATGTCCCTTATTAGGAATATTACTTAGCACTTACCTCTTTGAGATTTAGAACTTTATAGCTAAGCTAATACAATACTAAACAAGCAAGCACAGTATTATTTATCTGTGTGAATCATGATTTTCTCAAAAGAAACGAAAACAAATATAGTAATATATTGGATGCCAAGAGTGATCAGACTCTAATTCCCATTTATAACTCATAATTTCAAACCTTATAAAACCAACAGCTCACTTTATAAACAGTTCCCTCTATAATTAAAATATGCTATGCATAAGCTTATAAAATAAATTTATATTAACTCCTTTTATCTAAAAAAAACCCCTCTTATCTGTTGGAATAATCTATTATTTTATGATTCTTTTGTTTGGCAAAAAGGATTTCATTGATAAGAAAATTAAAATTACAGACCTTTTAATTTAAAAGTATTTTCTAAATTTTAAATATCTGGATAAAACACTGTTCTTTACTCATTCTCAGAGGACCAGTTACTAGATTGTACAATAGATTCTGAGGAACAAAATCTTATTTGAAAATGTAAGTTGCCCGGCAGGTGTAGCTCAGTGGTTGAGTGTTGAATTATGAACCAGGAGGTCAAGGTTCGAGTCTCAGAAAAGGGCACATGCCCTGGTTGTGGGCTAATCCCCAATAGGGGGTGTGTGTGAGGCAGACAATCAATCTCTCATCATTGATGTGTCTATCTCTCTTTCTCCCTCTCTGAAATAAAAAATACATATATATATTTTAGAAAAAAAGTAAGTTTCCTAAAAGTGAAATACTACTAATTAATTTATATAATTATTTTCATGTACAAATTCCTAGAACTTATTTAGTATAAACAGTAAGTGGCAAGTTGGATAATGAAAAAAGAGAAACAATCACACAATTATCATGATTAATTAGTTTCATGATGTTTCTTTGTAGGTCCCAAGTGAAAATAAGCTACAGAGTAAATATTAATACAGTATCAAATAATCACACACACACACAAATTCAAATTGAAAAATAAATCTGCCTACCTTTGGTGGCAAAGGAGGTGGAACTTTTGCTTTCATGGTTGAACTATAAAAATATAAAAGTTTAGAATTAGAACTCTTTATTTTATTAAAAAAAATCATTACTAAACTATAATTAATTTTTCAAAGTTATGGAAGAAAGAAATTGTATAACAAGTTCCTTTTTTTCCCCCTAAAACTGGGCATTTTCTAAAATATTTTGTTAAATATTCAAATTATGCTGAATGGGTTATCATTCAGAAGTAACCGAGTAGATAAGCTTTCTTGATTTCAAATTCCATCCAGTAATTATAAGTGGGAAAGATAACTACAATTACAGTTTATATTAATCGAAAGGTAATTAACTTAAATGATAGAGCATAAATTCTCTGATGAGGAAAATGAGACCCAGAGAGGTTAAGGGATCTGATCCATGGTCACAGAGTAGTGAAAGTAGAAAGGAAAACCTACACCTCCAACGACTCAAGTGCGCTTGTCATTGATGTTTCTCTCTCTTTCTCTCCCTTTCCTTTACTCTCTGAAACTATATATATATATATATATATATATATATATATATATGAATAAACTAGAGGCCTGGTGTATGGATTAGTGTACCAGTAGGGTCCGTTGGCCTGGCCTGGGGGATTGGGCTGAAACCAGCTCTCCAACATTCCATATTGTGGTGGAGGCCAGGCCGAGGCACCCCACTGGTGCACAATCAGGGCTGGGGGAGGGCTGCGGGAGGTTGGCCAGCCAGAGAGGGATGGCAGGTGGGCTCCAGGGCATGTCCAGCCCATCTTGTTCAGTCCCAATCAACCTGACCCTAGCAGCAAGTTAACCTACCAGTTGGAGCATCTGCCCCCTGGTGTTCAGTGCACGTCATAGTGACTGGTTGACTGTCTACCCCCTGGTGGTCAGTGCACATCATAGCGAGTGGTTGAGCAGCCTTAGCATATCATTAGCATATTATGCTTTGATTGGTTAAATGGACAACTAGAAATAGCATATCAGGCTTTTATTATATAGGATTTTTTAAAAAAGCAAACCTGGTTATAAGTAGAAAAAAGGAGAGAGCTTGTGAGAAAGCTTCCATCTTCTTACAGAATCTATAATAATAAAAGTGTAATATGCAAATCGACCAAACGGCCAAACAGCAGAACGACCACCTGAACGACCACGCTGTGCTAGACAGTGGCACCAGGCCAGCCATCGGGGCCCAGCCATCGCCCCATGACTGCCCTGCAGAGGGAGGCCCAGGCCACTGGCCCGCAGGGCGATCAATCAAGCAGAAGGCTCCACGATCTTCCCCAAAGCGGGAGGCTCAGGCCACCGGCTGGCGGGGCGATCAGTCAGGGGACTCCATGATCATCCAAAGAGCAAGGCCCAGGCCACTGGGCAGTGGGCTATGGCGGGTGGGTGGGGCTTCCCTCCTCGGAGCACTATCAATGGCCCCAAGGGAGAGGCCCAGGCTACCCTGCGGTGGCGGTGCTGCTGCGGCCGGGTAGGCAGAGCCGCCCTCTTTGGGGCTCTGCGATCGATTGCCCCAAAGCGGGAGGCCCATGCTAACCAGTGGCGCTGAGATGGGTGGGCGGGGCCTCCCACTGTGGCTGTGATCATCGCAGAGCCTCAGCCAGGTAGGCGGGGCCTACTTCTTTGGGGTCTTTAATCTCGGGGCTCCTGGACCATGAGAGGGCGCAGGCCGGGCTGAGGGAACCTCCACGGAGTGCACGAATTTTGTGCACCAGGCCTCTAGTACATAAATAATCATCAACAGAATGTCGTTCAAGCCCACTCTGGTTGGTCTTTAACAAAAATGTTACTGGAAACCGGAGGAAAGCTGATCTCTATTATAGAGTTGGGGAATTTGGCTGAATTACGTTCTGGAGTTTTGTGGAAGGTGAAAATTCACAGTGATGGAATAAGACATTTAGCCGAGATTTCTAAGCAAAGTGCTGAAGGAGTGGCTTGCTTATAATGAAATGAAAGAGATGAACTGAAGAAAAAAAATGTCAAGGAAAGAAAAACTAGCACTTGAAATTTGAAAAATTCTCAGCCTACTCCTCTCCAGCCACAACAAGAGTGTGGCTGGAGTGTCACTCAATACGGAATGTATGGGATTTTACCAGCACAGACACTGGCAGCTTGACCGGAAGGGGATGGAGATGAGACAAATACAAAGGAAGGCTGGGAACTCCTTGGATTTTATAGAACAGGATGGACAGAGGTTTCTGATTGTGCATACTCTTTAAGAAGAGAGAAAAAATAATTCTGAAGGTGATTCATAGATCACTAGATCTAAACTGAACTGATTTATTCTGACTTCAGAGTTGACGCTGGAAAGAGCTAAGACTTTTAGAATGACTATATTTTGCATGTGTTAAGGACATAAATTTGGGGGAATGTGGGGCACAATAGTATGGACTGAATTGTGTCTCCTCAAAATTGAATGTTGAGGTCCTAACTTTGATGTGATTATATCTGGAGATAGTAGTGCTTTTGGGAGATAATGAAAGTTCATTGAGATCCTAAGAGTCAAGTCCTAATCGAATAGGATTAGTGGCTTTCTGAGAAGAGGGAGAGAGAGCTCTCTCTGCCTGTACACACGGAGGAAAGCCCACGTGAGGACATGGTGAGAAGGCAGCTGGCTGCAAGCCCGGAAGAGAGCTCTCACCGGGAATTAAACTGGTCAGCCGCTTGAGCCTAAACTTCCCAGCCTCCAGAACTGTGAGAAATAAATTTTGCTTAAACCACCAGTCTATGGTATTTTATTAAGGATGATGGAACAGAAAAAGGAAAGAAATTGTGCTAGAACCCATAATACTACATCACCAACGACATTAAAATTACTGTCAATATTAGGCTGTCAGACTTATGAAATCAGAGCACACGATACTTTCTCTTTTACTAGAAATCAAAACAGAACGTACTGTTTAGATTCATCATCATCCCCTTCATCATCTTCTAAATGTGCCACATGCCCTCTAAAGATAAAGAAGGATAGTTCCATCATTACTAAGTGAACTTGACCAAAATGGCTTAAGAAGAAATTTCAGAAAACAGAAGGAATTTTACTTCTACATCTTTACAGAGTTAAAACAACAGTAACCACAACAATGATCTTAAAGCCACATGTCAGAGAAGGGAACAAACAGATGACTCAGCTGTGACAAAGTATTTTAAGCTTAATTAAAAAGTAAATTACCACCCTGGCTGGAGTTGCTAAGTGGTTAGAGCGTCGGCCTGTGCACTGGAGGGTCTCAGGTTCAATTCCGGTCAAGGGCATGAACCTGGGTTGCAGGTTCCATCCACACCCCCAATCAGAGTGCACGTGGGAGGCAACCAATTAATGTGTCTCACACGTACATAGTTCTCTCTCTCTCTCTCTCTCTCCCTCTCCCTCTCCCTCCCTCTCTCTCTCTCTCTCTCTCTCTCTCTCTCTCTCTCTCTCTCTCTCTCTCTCTCTCTCTGTCTCCCCTTCCGCTGCCCTTCCGCTCTACTCTCTCTAGAAAAAAACCAACGGAAAGAATATCCTCACTCCTCAGGTGAGGATTAAAAAAACAAAACATAAAGTAAAATTACCGCTGATGTAATTCTTCTTCAACAGACTTCAGAAGACTCCTTAACAGAAAAAAAAACAACAAGCAAGCAATGTGAATTAAGCAAGCAATAAGTATAATCTTTATCATTTTAACCTTATCCACAAAATTACTTTTTTAATATTTACTAGAAATATGCTATGATTATCTCAATACCATAAAACATCAAGTTATATTTAATGAGCTACCTCTATTATCTGTTGCTAATGTCTTTATATATGTATTTTAAATGAACAAAATAAACCCTAATGTTTACTGAAAAATACCAATTCAAACAGAGCACAACCCACCACAAAATGTCACAATAGGACTGACAAAACAGTAATTGCAGGTTATAGTCAGCAGCTTCCAGGATTCAAATTTACCTGGAATATTTACGTGACACCTGACATTACATTTTCTTTTTCTTAAAATATGGAAGGTGACACACTTTAAAAAAAAACATCATGCTCTCAGGCAATCCTACAAAATGGAACTCAACATGTTGGCTCTGTCTGCAGAAGCATGCATGCATGTGATGTGAATACATGAATGTAGTAGCACTCTGCTTCCACAGGACACACTCACTTACCTGAACACCTGCTCTCCAGTGGTGGACCGGCAAACACATTTACACTTTTGGGAGACTAAGCCTGTATCAGACCAGGTGTGAGGGTTTTACCATTAGGAGCAATTTATAAAACCTGCCATTCAGAAGGGTGAGAGAGAACCCATGGCATTTCTGAAGTCCCTTTACTTTTGTCCCTTGCAAGCTCATGCAGCCTATCTCCTGTATTATACTCTCCAAGCATAAAATCTCAATAGCCTCCCCTTAAAACTAATGGAACAGAGAGAAATATGGCGACTAAGGCAAAAGTATTCAATAGAAAATTTACTCTCTCAAAAGCTAGAAGGTAGTACCCTTCTAATAATTTTTCCTTCCTATTATATATATATTGGGGAAAAACTGCCATTAGAATGATCAAAATGTAAGATCAGAGAAACTGAAAGCTGGTATAAGCAATCAATTGAATATATTTTAGCCATCAAATTTTAATGAGGCCAAGCTTAATGATTTAAATTTGAAAAACGACCAAGTTCTAAATCTGGATCCTACTTTGCAGATCAAGGCAGTGAGGTACTTCAGTCAATGTGTTACCTTAGCCACAAAGCTCCTCCTGGCCCACCTCCAGGAAGGCAGGCGCACCTCTGCCCAAAGGCGGGTTAGCAAAACCATGCCGGTTGTGAAGCAAACCCGAGTCTGACGCCTGCCTCGGCCACCAAAGGCTCCAGGGCCTGCAATACGTCCCTCTGACTTCCCTATGTTTCAGTTTCCACAGCAGTGAAATGGGAATTATAACATACACGATGTCAAACGTTCATATAAATGAAGATATAATGCATTAATATGGGTAAAATGCTTAGAAGAGTAATTTAGGACATAGTAAGTACTCAATTAGTGTTTTCTTTTTTATTACTGACTAATCAACATTTCTTTAAACCTGCAATTCTCAAAATGTGGTCTGGGGATCCTGGGAGTCTTAGTCTCCTGTTGACCTGTCTGCAAGGTCAACACTATTTTAATAATACTAAAGTATTTACTTTTTCACTCTTATTCTTTCATTGAAAATGGAACTCTAGTTTTCTAGACTCTCAAGAACACTAGGGGCCGGTGAGGTCCTTCCCAGCTGATCGGGGCCAGCCAGCCGGGGGAGTTTGACTGTGGTCAGTGTGCGTCATAGCTATCAGCTGGTCGTCTGATATAAAGTTTATATATATATATATATATATATATATATATATATATATATATATATATATATATATATATGATATCACAACAGATTAGCAGCAGACATGAGAAACGAGCTGTCTTCTATTAAGCCAGACATTAAGGATATATATATATATATATATATATATATATATATACAATCAATGTATTTTTCTTACTAATATTATTTTATTTCAGAAAAAAGAGCATTCTTCATAAAAAATGTTTAGTTTGTTGTATTACACTGACTGATATAATACCTTCTTGCAATTATTTGTTGCTTCTAACTCCCATGAGAGGAATCGAGTGGTATTAGGAAGGAGGTGCCATAAAGGTGACATGTGAATTGGTCCTAAATAATAACAATGTTATCTATGATAACATGTAATAGGAATAGTACTATTAGAATAAATATCTTTGAAAAGTTCTGTTTACATTTCTATTAATATAAATATTGACAGTTATAGCCTACATTAACAAAAATCTCATTGGAGTCCCCGATAGTATTTTAAGAATGTAAAAGGATTCTGAGACTAAATTTTAAGAAGCGCTGCTTTAAACTATTTTACTAAATTATACGTAATATCTATACAGTGGGCTTTCAGAAGATGTGAAAAGAAAAACATTTTCTTTAGCATGTGACAATATTTTTTGAAGCATTTTCCCCCCCAGTAGGGAATATCAGAATTTGAGAATAATTAAGAGGAGAATTTAAATGTAGTTTATTTTTAGTTACCCTGTATAACTGAACTTATATGGCATTCCACTTTTCTAGGTTCTGTAAGAATAAGAGAAAAAAAGCTGTATAAGAGAACATGAAAAAGTGGCTAATCTGTGGCTATGGACCCATATATATATTTTATTCATTTTCTTATAAATCTCCTACTATGTGTTAAGATGTTTTTGTTAATCAAGTTAAAGATGTCATTAAGTATTAATTTCATAAAGCCTAAAAAGCTTTCATAAAGCTTTTTAGGCTTTATGAAAGAGAAAATAAAACATGGCTAAATTTGCTAAAATGTTAATTTACAGTAAATACTGTATCTGGAGAGCACTGGAGAAAAATGTGATGCTGATTTAGTCATCAAGACTGGGTACTATACAATAAACAATGTCACTATTCACTAGTCCACTCCATTATCCTATTATGAAATTTTTAGAAAGTAATGAGCAAAACAACACTGATGCCCTCAAATACTAAATTACTAAATCAACCTAAAATGATTTAAAAATTTGAATAGGATTAAAAATGTAACTGTATGCAATTATAGATTTAACTGATCATGTGAAGAAAATAATCTGGAAGTAAAAAGAACCACACAAAACTGCCAAAAATATTTTGCATATCTGAATTAACTAAGGAATTCATGAAGCTGACTATTCAAGTTTTTCAAAATTGTCTAACTGGTTCAAAATAATCTATAAAAAAAACCCCAAAATAATCTATAAAGTACTGCCCTGGTTATATTTGGAACCAAAACCACTCCCTATTTCTTTAAAACCAAAAGAGCAGTTTTATTCACTTACTTCACTCGATCTTACAACCCACAATTACTGAGTAAATATTACAAATAAGGGCAACTAGTAAGTACTTACTAAACCATAAATATGCCAAGTGTTTTACAATGACTTCCATTTCAGTCCAAAAGCAGGTACTATTATAATCCCCATTTTACTAGAGAAACTGAGGTAAATTTCTTAAAGTCTTCATGGCTTACAGAAACAATCAATTCTGGCCTTTACTACTACTACATTCAATTGTGCCAGAAATTGTATAATTCAATTTACTCTTTTCACTACTATTTAGGTCTTTTCTAAAAGAGAATTTATCTTTAGAATTTTTATGCTATATTAAAAAAATAAAAAATAATTTAGGATTTTCTTTAAAAATACTTTGTTGTTTTAAATGATCAGAAAAGTTGATCTCAATAATAATATAATTCAAAAGAAAAGAAAACCACTCAGTAAGTCAAAATATATAGGCATTTATTAAAAAAATAACAACCATCTTATATAGTTGCCTCACGGTCTGTAATACGTAGAAACCCAGAAATGAAAATCTGTCTGCCTGATCACCTATGGAGAAAGCAGGAAATCCTGTGAGTTTTAAAACACTGCCTAGTCACAAGGATAAAGCAGACATATCAGTACAGTAAGAGAAGTGCTACATCCATGCTCATGTCACATGTATGTATATGTACCTGTACACGAAACACAGCCAAAGGTCAAACTTTTGGCCAACCTACCTTGCCAGAAATTCGTTATATAGAATACAGTTCCTTAAGCAGGGATCCAATTAATCAAAAAAATGAAGGTTGGGCAAATTATTAATATTTTACCTAGCCAAAGTAACCATATATTATGAAAATTTCTAACAGATAAAAATCAGAAAATGGAAACTAAGGAATCTGGAAAATCATGTAGAGATGGAGATATATATATCTATATATATATACACACACACACACACACACACACACACACACACACACACACACACACACACATATATATATATATATATATATATATATATATGTGAAATATGTTTTTGGTTACTTTTGCAAGTATGCCATTTAAAAATATATTTTAAATGAATCCAAGAAAGGTAAATGAAGTATCTTTCCAAATTATCCTGTCTCTTAAATTAGGACAAACTATAAATAGCAATTAGTTATTATTTAGATAGAATTTCATTTTTCTACCAGAAGAATTTCACACTTATTTTCCATTTTAGGAAATATAAATAAAGTTACTAATAATAATTTAATAAAAAACACCTCATAGTACTTAAATGAAGTTCAGTTTAAATAAAAACTAGGACATTTCTCTAGGTCAGTGGTTTGGTAAACTCATTAGTCAACAGAGCCAAATATCAACAGTACGATTGAAATTTCTTTGGAGAGCCAAATTCTTTAAACATAAACTCCTTCTAACGCCACTTTTTCAAAATAGACCGGCATTTTGTGGAAGAGCCACACTAAAGAGGCCAAAGAGCCGCATGTGGCTCTCGAACTGCAGTTTGCCGATCATGGCTATTGGTTGTCATTGAAAGCCTTTTTTCTGTGTTGAAAAATATATTTAAATGATTCATTTATTTAAAGAGACATAATTTTGCACTATAATCACTAAATCTGAACTACTTGTCTTTAGTTACCCTTTGCCATCTGTTTAACTTAAAATAAGGGTGTGTATGTGTGTGTGTGTGTGTCAACTCTCTAATGCAACTGAAATTATATTTTGAAATTCTGTTTTGCTCATTATTAAAATATCTACATTGCTGGGAGATTTTGGCAACTTAACATTTCCTTATAATATTAGCTTTTTTGGGGGGTGGGGAATCAAAACATTTTATTGAGGGCCTTTGGGGGAGGGTTGAAGGCATGAGAGGACAATAAGGAAATCTACGGGGAACAGCGGAGTCTGGTCCCCATACCTCGCTAACTCGGGCCTATGAACAACTGAAATTGTTACACTCAATAAGCTGCCTTTTCACCACTGTGCTGTACTGCCTGGATAGTGCGTGCTGTAGAGCAGGCCTTGAATAATTTGGGTTTATTTCTTGCATAAATACCTGTCAAGACTGTAGACACATTTTAATTACTGTTCACTTTTTAAAAAACTCTTACCAGCTAAAATATTAAGATTTCTAAACAGTGTGAATATTTTCCAGCTGTTTTCAGAGGTCAACACATCTAAGAGACATACCAAAGCAAGTTTTATAAGGAACAGACAAGTCTTTACAAATAAAAGAAGTAAATTGCTCAAACATATATTTACCCTCCTTTGGAATATACTTAGTTTTCTCTAGAGATCTACAAAGTAGCTTGATGTAAAAAATTCAAGGTGATTGTCCCCATTATAACAATTACTGATTAAATGATTAGCAAAGTAGCAGTAAAACAAAGTTAAAAGTATTTTATGAAATATATCTACTGACTATTTTACTACTGTAATTATTTAGAATTATAATTATTAAAATATAACATTTTAAAGCAACTTAATTATTCCTCATTTAAATTTAAATTTTATAAGAACTTTACTTACTTGTTTGTACCTAAAAAGTAACTACCTTGGTGTCCTTGTCCATATTCCAGTTGTAGATCCTAACAGCATAAAATAAAACATTTAGTAAAACAGTAGTATCTTACAAATCACGATGCAATAATGCACATTTGTTTTAAAAGAGAAACCCCAGACTTCAAATAAATCTGTATTGCTGTGTGTTCTTAAAAAGAAGGCATGGTAGCACTTCCAACCATAAAAGGTATTCAATATTTTTCTGGGAACTCAGTTAAATAATATATGCAAGTTTCATTTAAGGATATTGCTATTATAATTAACATTTGTAAAGTCAGCTTTTAGAAAGAAAAAGTTCAAATGTAGTCTTTATTCTCAAGCTCCAGTGAAGTAAAAATGATTACAGGAGAGAACAAGTGACAAAAATCTTGGTCTGTCTTTGTAAGAGCTGCAATAATTATGTCTATCATACATTCACACATTGCTACAATTGCTTTATACAAGTAATAGTAATTTTTTAAAATAAATAAGGTACTCTTTTAAAGTAAAAAAAAAAATATATATATATGGATTTGAAAAAGATTATAAGTTGTATGTTAGGACTTTTAATATATTTTAAAGAGTTAAGGGTAAGTAGCAAAACTTCAATATTATAAAGGCAGTTCATCAACTATTTAAATATTCTCACTAAATGATGTATGTTGTAGAGTTGAGAATTGAAATTTAAAGGTACAAACAATACTATATGTGCTTGACTCAAACACCTTCTTGAGACAAAAAGGAAAAGAAAAAAAAAGAAGATACTTTTCAACAATAATGGAGAGCAGTTTCCTTTCTCCCTGCCTTCCTAAAGCCTATGTATCTCAAGCACTCTTTTAATAATAAAGGGGGAATTTTTAACATTTCAAGTGAATTTTATTTTTACTTGAATATAGTATACTTAAGAGTGCTGCAAGCAGCCTTGCAAGACTGTCAAATAAGATAGCTGCAACCTTCTCCAAGTCTCCAATGCATTAACACATAGTTCTTCTCTAGCAATTTCTCTGCATTTTAATTAATTTATTTACAAGTCTATAAAAATAGTTGCCAGGCTGTGAGCTCTCAAACAAGGAGAAATTGTTAAATCCATCTTTCTTCCCTACAGCCCAGGGACTAGCATAACACCTGGCACATATTAACTAGGCCCTAAATAAATGCTTGTTCAGATGCTATTTGTTTATTTTCCTATAAATAGTCTAGAGGCCCAGTGCACGAAATTTGTGCACTGGGAGGGGGTCCCTCAGTCCAGCCTGCACCCTCTCAGTCCGGGAGCCCTTGGGGGATGTCGGACATCTTTAGCGCTGCTGCTGAGGTGGGAGAGGCTCTTGCCACCACCGCTGCACTTGCCAGCCATGAGTACACTGACTACCAGGGGGCAGCTTCTACATTGAGTATCTGCTGCCTGGTGATCAGTTTGCGTCACTGTGACCAGTGGTTCCTCTTTTCAGTCGATTTACATATTAGCCTTTTATTATATAGGATAACTAACACTTCAGCCTCCTCTATAACAATAAAAGTGCAATATATACTATTTAGGCTAGATGTCTTTCCAGATGAAGTCAGGGCTGTGAGGGTCGAGCCCCTTGCACAAATTCGTGCATCGGGCCTCTAGTTAATATATACATGAAAATAACTCTAGGTCACAATATTACTAAGCCTAGAATCTCCAGAGGATTCTAAGCAATATATTACATTTAAATGGAAAGCACTTTAAGATACATTACAAGACCTGTCAAAAAAAAATTTGATAAAAATAAAAATCCAATTTTGTCTTTTTTAATATTTGTGTCTTCCATGCATAATAAATATTCTTACTAGTGAGAGAAAAGACAGTATATCTTAAACAAAAGAGATTACTCAACTGTCACACTGGTATCACATGAAATTTTGATGAAAAGAGATAGCTATTCTCTAATTAATAATGATAGATCTTAATACAATAATGATAGATTTTAATAGAATAAAATCATGCAAATTGACCACCAGGGGACAGATACTCAATGAGACAGTCACACATTATTATGCTGAACAATTTAATTGGTCAAGACTGTATACAGAACTTTTAAATGTTGATAATAAGTAAAGAGAAGTACTATCTCAATGAATTCACTTTCCAATTCAAGTTTGTTTTCTTCTTATTATCCTCTTTGTAGATAACTGGGCCCTCCACAGACCAGCAATATCTTTAGCCAATAATCTCTTAAACCTTTAATCAAAAGACAGCTTCCCAAAGCATCAACTACTAAGTTGATGATAATGACTGGGGGAAAAACAGAGACCATCACTGTATTCAGAAGGTAAGAGAAGAGTCTAAAAACAACTGACATCATTCAGGTTGTAGACAGACCCAAGTCTGGTGATTCACTGGGCCATGTGTGAAGCCCTCCCAGGAAAGCTAAGATTGAAAGGGGCCTGTTCTTTATAAATTCCTTCTCTGTAAATCAAGTTCTGTTATGTTTTAGCAAACATGGAATATAAACACGGTACTGGCCATGTCATCAAGTTAAAAAAATTATACTAAGTCCTTCTAATAATTATCTAATCCTCTTTAATTCTGCTATTATTTACCAAGCACCTATTATTAAATAGTAGGAATTCAGATGGTAAATCAGACAAGAAAAATGAAAAGAAATAGAAAGGAAAGAAAAAAAGTGAAACCTGGGCATAGTAATGATTTATGTTATCTTTAGGACAGTCTAAGAAAAACTGATCTACATCCCTTTTTAAAAGGACTTGAGGGCTATTCTGTAACAAATAATGCTACCAAAATTATTCTTGCAAAAGCACTCAAAATATACTCTAGATGAGTAAAACATGGGGTAAATAAGCTAAATAAGAATACATTTGAACATGCTAGGACAGACATAAAAATATTAGTTGCATAAATCAGGCATCTACTTATTAGTGAATGACAATAGCATAGTCAAGGTCAGTAAGTAACAACATGGACTGAAAACATGCAATAGCCTCGTACAGATTCAACCCAACAAAAATTTAAGATAGTCTCCCCAGCTCAATTAAAATATCTTTCTGAGCCACAAAGTCCTAATTTCTGTGGTTCATTTTAATGAATGGGGATGTATTCCTAAACCTAGGATAAAGGCTCTAAGAAAATATGGTGCCAGAAAAAAAAGAAAAAAGAAAAAGGATAAAAGAATGTGATGAGAACACTGGGAAAAGAAAATATATGATCAAGAAGACATTATAGATTTTTTTATTACCCCCCCAAGGAGATTATAAAGTCTATCTACCTGATGAGAAAACAGCAGGAAGTTAATAGAATTGATACAGTTGGCTACAAAAACAGGAAGTACTTCACCAATTTATTTTACCCAAGAAAAAAGAACATAGCCGAAGAGGAAAACGTTTTTTTAACATAAAAAATGAGAGATCTGGAATAAATAAAATCGTTAGATACCTTTTAATGTGGTAATTTACAGAAGTAAAAAGGGATTGAATCCTGGGTAATTAAAAAAGATTTTTTTTTTTTAAACTCAGAAAAGCAAGTGGAGTCAGAATACTGATCAAGCAGCCAGTATTCTGACTAATAAAAGCAGAAGACTTTTAAGGAAGCTCAAACTGAATAACAATGACTTCTGTAAAACAAGCCTGGAAATGAACACTAGCAGGTTAGATTTGACATTCTAGAAAATATCCTACTATTGAGCAATTATGAAATGAGGTCCCTCAGAAACTGTCTTAAATATTAGATAAGAAAAGTGACCACACAACATATATTTTGTAATAAGTAACTAGAGGCCTGGCACACGAAATTTGTGCACTTGGGGGTGGGGGTGGGGAGGGGGAAGTCCCCCCACCTGACCTGTGCCCTCTCACAGTGCAGGAGCCCAAAGAGGTAGGCCCCACCCACCCATCTGGGGCTCCTAGTTGGGTTGTCCCAAAGAGGTAGGCCAGAGCCAGGACCCGCCTCCATGCCACACACTCAGAGTCAAGTCCTGCCCACCTGTGTACCCCACTGTGCATACAGCCTCCTGGTGATGGGTTGAGAAGGTGTGAGGGCATCACGGCATGAGGGCATGATGACCACCTAAGCCAATGGTCGGCAAACTCATTAGTCAACAGAGCCAAATATCAACAGTACGATTGAAATTTTTTTTGAGAGCTCAATTTTTTAAACTTAAACTTCTTATAATGCCACTTCTTCAACATAGACTCACTTAGGTGGTGGTATTTTGTGGAAGAGCCACACTCAAGGGGACGAAGAGCCACATGTGGCTTGTGAGCCGCAGTTTGCCGACCACTGATCTAGGCTATTATTAGTATAGATAGTTTAACAGACTTAAAATAAGTAAAGTTGGCATTTACTATTTCTTTTATAGAATAAATATAACTTTATAGACTTTAATTTTGACCTAATTCAGGAATAATTTCAAAGTACTTTTATTATAATTATTGATAACAATCAATTGGTTATTATCTTCCTAACATATTTTTAATTTTAACTTACTAAATATTTTATTTCCTTAGGTAGACTAAGTTTCTTCAGAGTAATAATTATATGATTATTCATGTTGCTCATAGCAACTAATATAGTGCTTCACATACAATTAACTTTAGATATATTTTTCATTATAATGGGCCAAAATATACAGTAAAATTAGGCAAAATTTAAAAAATTAGCTTCAGCTGAATAGATGTATAATATTATCTTTTAACTTAAAGACAGATCAGGTAAACACATTTGTATAGTTATGGGCAAAACTGTTACTATTTAATTATCACATTATAATGAGGTTTTTGTTTTTAACTTGGCCATGTTTTAAAATTTAAAGAACTTTTTTATTCACTAACAATCCTAAAAATTAAGCTCTGTTCTTCTGGTCCCATGTATTATAATTGCCTGATTTAAAAAAAATAATTTTATTATAGTAATGAAAATTGAGGTGTTACATTCAAATTTCACTTAAAAAAATCATAAAATAAATACACTTAGCATTTAAAACACCCAGAAAGCACCGATGACACCAGGCTTTCAGGCAGCAGGCTTTTTGTAAGGGAGTAAACGTTTTTTCCTGGGTCCTAAAGAACTTAGGGCTGAAATCTTGGTGGCCACTGCCCACTAAGACGACAGCCAAACGTTCTGGATTCATGTGGTTTCTAGGCGCCAGCAACAAGTATTTGTAAGACATAAAATCTTGTCCGCAGGGCCAAAATTTAGGACTGATGAAATTAGGGGACTGAAATAACTAAGGACAGGCCAAACTCATTAGGATGGCTATTACTTAAAAAACAAAAACAAAAACCTCCCTTTCTCCTGCCACACAAGAACAAGTGTTGATGGAAGCAGAGAAATCGGAACCCTTGTGCACTGCTGGTAGAAACTGTAAAATGATGCAGCTGTTATGGAAAACTGTATGGCTGTTCCCCAAATATATTGATATTAAATGTAGAATTATCATGCGATCTAACAAGTCTCAATCTAGTTATAAATCTAGGAAAGCACAGATTTGATAGATATTTGTAATCAATGTTCACAGCAGTATTATTCACAGTAATCAAAGAATAAACAAAATGTGGTTTATATGTACAATAGAATATTATTCAGTCTTAAAAAAGGAAATTCTGACAAATGCTACAACATGGATGAATCTTGAAGACATGATGACATTTTGCTAAGTAAAGGGAGCCAGTCACAAAGGGACAAATGTACTACGGTTCCAGTTATATAAGGTAACTGGAGTTTAAAGAGACAGAAAATAGAATGATGGTCGCCTTGGCCTTGGGTAAGGGAGAATGCGAGTTCTTGTATTAATGGGTAAGGAGTTGTAGTTTGGGAAGATGAAAATGTTTTGGAGACCAATAGTGGTCATGGTTGCAATACAGTACCTATATAGTGGCTTAGGTATGAATTACTAAGCCAGGCTGCTTAGGTCAAATCCCAGCTCTGCTATTACTTAGCTAAGTGGTAAGACCAATTTCATCTTCTTTGCACCTTAAATTCTCTCATTTGTAAGACATAAGTTAATGTATTTAAAGTGTTTAGAATAATGTCTGGCATATAAAAACTTCTTAGCTAAGTGTTAGCTTTCATCGTCATTAGAAGTACATTTAAAGGTGGATTTTATAAATGTCAGAATCTGACAAATATTTCATTCACTCTCCTACTACAAGTTATCTGTCCCTAATGCCCTCCTCTGTCACAAGATCCCATCAACTGTTCCCTCGCTCATAAGAAATTTCTGAACAGAGGCATGATAACTTACTCAAGTTACTGGGCTAGTTCAGCACAGGTACAGAAAATAATATTGAAATTCTAAGTATTGTGTTTCTCATGCTACAATTGTCTTACCTGGAGAATATTCATCTAAACTTTGGGTTCTGTAATCTTTTATTTCCACAACAAGTTCTGTCTTTCTAGCCTACTTATGTCGAGGTCTAGAGAAATTTTCAATCCAGAAATCATTGATAATGTGACTTGTTAGATCACATGATAATTAAGAATTCCTTCTCATTTGCTTCCTTGGACGGTTAATTCTCAATCCTCACACTTTCTGGCCTCTCTGGGCCATCTGATGCATCTTTCTTTCTTTTGTGACAGTGCATCTACTGACTCTTCTTGCTTTTCAACTGCATCTTCCCTACCTCCAATGTTGGTTCTACCTCTGACTGCAAAACACAGACATCCACCTACAGCGGTAAGCAGTTTTTACCCTTTTTCTTTAATCAGACCTAGCTGGGGAACACATGACACCTCATGGTTTCATCAATCATTTTCTCTTTGATTACTTCAGTCTCCCTCTTTTGAGCTAATCCCACAATTACAGCAGGAGTATGACCACTTCATAATTTCAGCTACCTGCCATCTCTCAAAACTGTGTCAATGACGGTCTCTACATTAGTTCCCATGAATTATTACACAGGCGATATTTATATATCCACTTTCTTACTGAAGAACTTAGAATGGCTCCTACACAATACTGAAATCCATCTTAGTCCCTCCCAGAAGCCAAACAAACCATTAACCCAAAAGCTTTTCTTATTCTCTGATGTCTATTATACCAGATATGTTAGCCTCTCCCTCATTGACAGTCACAAGTAGGTTTCTAAAATCTTTTATGTTCTACAAATATTAGAGGGCACAGATTTAAGAATTTATGTTAAGAATCATTTAAAACAATCAGAATTGAAAAAGATATGTTACTGAAGCAGAGAGGAAGAAAAAAGATAAGGAAAATTTGACTGAAAAGGCAGAAAAGTGAAATCTAGAAGTATAAAGGCAACCTGGCCAGCTACAGAAGTAGAAAAGAACTATTTACTTAATAGCAACTATTAAAAGTATTATTTATTTAATATTCACCAGGGCTAATGTCCCATTTTTTCTTCCCTAATGGTAAGATAGTCTTAACATTTATAACTTCAAGGGGGCTTTATAATCTAAATTGTGGCCTGAGAAAAATGGATATTACATAATGCTACCTACCGAGCTGTAATTTTATTTAAGACTGTTTTCTTTGTTAATAAGGGGCAAGTTATTTCTTAAAATGATATACATACATAATATATGCAATATGTAAATAATTGCATATATTATGAATGAATATGTACGTATATACAGGCAGTCTTCGGGTTACGTCAGACTCGGCATATGTTGTTTCGTGGTATGTCACCATCTCCCATTTATTTATTAAAAAAAAAAGTTCTGTCATTTTGACGTATGTACACATGTGCTTTATGTTTTTTATTATTTATTTACCACAAGTAAAGGTCAGGAATTGCTGTCTTTTAAGTTTTTTTTTTTTTTTTACTGTTTCACTTCATTGCTGCTGTGCTGTGTGTCTGCTCCACGTGTGACGCAGGTGCTTATGGAGGTGGGTTCTGACTTGCAGTGAAAATCGCGTTCCATCCGCCGTAGGAACGGATCACAGAGGTAACCTGAGCACCTACTGTATGCAGATAGGTCCTAGTTTATTAAAACTGGAGATTTTTTACAGGGAAATGTAATTAAAACTCATATTTGAGTCAGAAAATGAAATGTTTTTCATAAAAAAGAAAAATATTTTTATTTTTTTATTGTAACATTATATATTTGAGTAAATGTATTTATTTAACTTGTTATGGAAAAAAAATTGCTATAATCCTTAATATAGCAGGATCTTATAAAACAATGCTAAAACTGGTTCATTAAAATCTGACAAAATGTTTGATTAAAAAAAAATAAAACAAACAATGAAGACTAAAACAATGCTGACAAGAAAATCAGAAGATAAGAAATACCAGATTAGATCTTGCAGTGTAGTATATTTCTTCTGAACTGTCCAAAAAACCATCACTGTCGGGCTGTTTAGCAGAGATCAAGAAACCCAAGTTATTTACACTTACACTAACAGCCACAAATTCACAAAGGGAAACTTTCTTAACTGAAGTAAGTCCTGCTAACATAATTTTGTTAAGGCAAATGCAAAATCAAATCATATTAAAAGGTTTCTAAAAAAGCAACGCTGCAATTAATTTGCTCTACAATGCAGTTCCTAAATTAGTGCAGAGCTCAAATACATGCAATGCCAACTTAAAGAGAGAAAGATTAAGTAAACTGCCTTAACAAAATACAATTAGCATTAATAAACATCATGACTACTTTTTCTTCTTAACCTGTTTCATCTTCTACATAAATGTCAGGCTGCAGTATTTAATATGGTCATTTTAAGAATTTTTCTTTAACATTCCTTTCTCCCATGCTGGTATACTGAATTAAAATAACTCCAGAAGTTCAAGGCTAAATACTCCATCTGTGTGCCTTTAGTCAAGTGGGTTAACTTAAATGTAAGAAGGAAGTTCCCACTTCAACCCTTAGTACTTATTTTTTTAAATTTTTTAATTAAATTATCTCTGTACATATACCATTGGCCCCCCGCCCCCAATATATGCCCTCCCTCCCCAGAGTTTTGTCCTTAGTACTTATTAACAGTTTCTTTCTTCTCGTTATTAAAAAGAAAGAAAAAAGTAACGTAATCTGGAGCTCTGGTAAAGTAATTAGGATTAATTCTATTTATTTTTTAAGTCTCATGTTTTATTCTTCCACAGAATAGTAACATCTCAAATATTTGCAAAGCATTTTGCTTCTAAGATTACATCTAATCTATCATGTACCTGGAAAGGAGTATAACACATTAAAAAGAATCATGAAAAGAAAGTTCATACAGTCAGCAAGCCTTAAATGAATGACAAACTTGATTTACTCTGTATGCCTACTCTCTCCTGAGCTTTAGTGCTCCAAACAGATGCGACTCAACTCTAATGTTTAAAAAACTGGCTCACACTCAAAAGACTGTCCAAACATTTAGTGAGAAGATGGGCTTTTATGGACCAAACATTTTAGTTTAATATTTATAGCATTTATGCTAATAAATACATACACAAAAGCTATTCAAAATGAGAAACAAAAATGAAAAAAATTAAAGAGCCAGCATTAAAAACACTGATCTAGAGACTGGTAAAATTCGTTTTAAGTTTCTCCTAAGTAATTTAGAAAATATTCAATCTCAGCAACACAGATTTATTTATTCTGAATTTCAGAATGACTTACCTTTTTATTTCCCCAAATGCTTTAGAAAATATTAATAACTAACTTTCTAAGTCAGTTCCAATATATTATAAAGACAAGTTAAAACATTTACTTTAATGTTAACATTCCAAGACTACACTACTTACAAGTTCATGATGTGGTTCTGTCTCTTTCCTTAAGGGTGGATCAAATTTTACTTGGCCAACTAAAAAAGAAAAAGAGTAGAGTAAAGCCATGATCTGTTTCTTTATTCTTAATGATACACTAATTTTAAAAGTTACTCCATGGCAAAACACATTTAATTTTATTATCTACCATACTTTAATCACAATCCAAAAATTTAAATAAAGAATATATTAGCCAGAAAAAGTCCAAGAAAGTCTAAGCAGTTAAAGCTTACTCTGCTAATAGTAGGTCTTTTCCAAAAGGAGGGCAATATCAGAAAAACTGGGGTATAGGTCTCGAGTTTCAAACAGCCTGGAGATGCCTCTGCAGTTAGGAACTGAGAACTCACTGACATAAATGAGTAAAAAATGATCCAGAAATAACTGTACTTTGCAAAAAGGGCCTGAAAATATAATTTTTAAATAGAATCAGGTAACAAGATAAAAAGTACTTTAAATTCGATTTTCAATAGTTTTCTAAATCAACTACAAAGACATCTCCAATCACCTTTTGTATTATAATTAAAGACATGACAAAGAAATCCTGCATTTAATTTTGTATATTAAAAAATAATGGGGAATAATCGTATACTAAAGTTGTCATTTCTAGACAAAATGCTTTGGGAGGCAATTAGAAAATTTAAATCATGTGGCTTCACAGGAGCTTTAGGGTAATTTTATATGGTCACACACACTAATCATTGATAAAATGCCAAATCCCAGCCCTGGTTTTTTTCACAATGCATTGTGCTTTCTTTCAAGAGTTTCCTCCTTCTCAGAGCATTTCCAAATAGCTCCAGCACAAATGTTGCCTAATAACTTAATATACAGTGCGTGGCCCGCCAAATTTCCTGCGCGAGGTTCACAAAGGACTTCCAGTTTGTAGGCCTCACCAGTGTTCTAAGGTGGTTTCTGAAATGGAGTGTTTGTAAAAGACCACTGGGCTGGAAGCTGAGATCTAGGACTTGCTGTTAACTTGGTGTATGACTCCGTCCCACAGGCAAATCTATTCATCTCTGCAGTTCTTTTTTGTTTTAAAAATGGTAATAGATCCTGCATCTACTTACCTCACTTAGCTTTTAAGATAAAGAGATGGATTCATCGTAATTAAAGGATAAAATGTATTATTGTTATTGTTACTAACCTAGCCAAAAAGTGGGAATAGTTTCTTGAAGGCAGTTTTCTGAAGTTACCACATTACTTGATTTCCCTAAGGTCATTCTGGAGTTTAGGTCCCTAAAGAATAATCTCAGCTCACAGAGAACTGTTATCACAAGCCTGACTGCACTAAATTAGCATTCTAAGTCACAGGGAATTGATGCTTCCAAGAAGAAAAGAAAAGTTCAGGCATAATTATTCCCGAGATTCCTGTGGGCAGCTTATAATTGCTAAGTTGATGATACTGGGTCCCATGAGGCTGGTCTACCCGAGGGAGCCCATAACTTGGCTGTCCATGAGAATTACATGGAGAGCTATTTTATTTTATTTTATTTATTTTTTTGAGCTTTGGAAAACATTTATTTATTTTTTAAAATATATTTTATTGATTTTTTTTGCCCCCCTCCCTCCCTCCCATACATACCCTCCCTCCCCAGAGTTTTATGTCCATTGGTTGTACTTATATGAATGTATACAAGTCCTTTGGTTGATCTATTATCTCCCCCAGATCTTCCTCCCCTCCCCACTGTAATTTGACAGTCTGCCTGTTACTTTATTGTCTCTATATCTGTCTCTTGGTTCATCAGTTTATAATGTTCTTTATCATCCACAAATGAGTGAGATCATGTGGTGTTACTCTTTCATAGATTGGCTTATTTCACTCAGCATGATGTGCTCCAATTCCATCCAGGTTGCTGCAAATGATGAGAATTCCTTCTTTTTATGGCAGCATAGTATTCCATTGTGTAGATGTACCATAGTTTTTGGATCCAATCATCTGCTGACGGGCACCTAGGCTGTTTCCAGATTCTAGCTATTGTAGATTGTGCTGCTATGAACATAGGGGTGCATATATCCTTTCTGATTGGTGTTTCTAGTTTCTTGGGATATATTCCTAGAAGTGGGATTACTGGGTCAAATGGGAGTTCCATTTTCAGTTTTTTGAGGAAACTCCACACTGTTCTCTACAGTGGTTGCACCAGTCTGCATTCCCACCAGCAGTGCACGAGGGTTCCTTTTTCTCTGCAACCTCGCCAACACTTGTCATTTGTTGATTTGTTGATGTTGGCCATTCTGACAGGTGTGAGATGGTACCGCATTGTTGTTTTGATTTGCACCTCTCGGACAATTAGTGACTTTGAGCATGTTTTCATGTGCCTTTGGCCTTCCTTCTGTCTTCTTTTGAAAATATTCTACTTAGGTCCATTGCCCATTTTTATTTATTTATTTATTTATTTATTTATTTTTTTTTTTTAAATCAATCTTTATTGTTCATATTACAATATTACACAGGTTCCTCGTTTCTTCCCCCCTCCACCAGGTTCCCACCCCACCCTCTGCCCCCTCATCCTCATCCATTGGTGCACAGTTTATGTTCAGTCTCTTCCTCCCTCCCTTTCCCCGATAGTAAATCCCTTTTCAGATAGCAAATCTGTTACTTAGCATTTTCTCATATCAATAATACCTCCACATGCCCAATGATACACTTCACACAAAAGACATTTCCAAATAGGACAACCAGCCTCATCCAGGCCCCACCCAAGGCACTCACAAATCAACACCCCAGCACTATACTAACTCAACACATCCAGATATAAGCCTTCATCACTTGATTCAGCAGACCCTCAAGTTCCCGCAAAAGTTTCCAGCCATGTCTGAGAGGCAGCCGTGGGGCAGGGGCAGGTGAGGAGCGAGCTGTTTTGGGCCAGGCTGCTCCGGGCCTGGCCTCTGTTGCTCTGGTTCGTTCCACAACCAGCTGCTCCGTGTCTGGTCACTGCCGCTCCCGACCCAGTTGCTCTGGACTTGGCTGTTGCTGCTACAGGCCTGGCCACACCTGACTCGGCTGCTCTGGGCCCAATTGCTCCGGGCCCGGCCGCTCCGGGCCTGGCTGCTCCCAGCCTGGCAGCCGCTGCTCTTAGCCTGGCTGCTCCCAGCCTGGCAGCCACTGCTCCAGGCCTGGCCGCACCAGACCCGGCTGCTCCGGGCCTGGCCGCTCCCAGCCTGGCAGTTGCTGCTCCGGGTCTGGCCACTGCCACTCCCGACCTAGTTGCTCTGGACTTGGCTGTTGCTGCTACAGGCCTGGCCACACCCGACCCGGCTGCTCTGGGCCCGGTTGCTCCGGACCCGGCCGCTCCGGGCCTGGCTGCTCCCAGCCTGTCAGCCGCTGCTTCTGGCCTGGCCGCACAAGACCCGGCTGCTCTGGGCCTGGCCGCTCCCAGCCTGGCAGCCGCTCATTGCCCATTTTTTAATTGGATCATTCATCTTCCTTTTATTTAGTTTTATAAGCTGTCTGTAAATGTTGGAGATTAAACCTTTATCAGTGGTATTATTTGCAAATATGTTCTCCCACACCGTGGGCTTTCTTGTTGTTTTGTTGATGGTTTCTTTTGCTGTAAAAAAGCTTTTTATTTTGATGTAGTCCCATTTGTTTATTTTCTCTTTAGCTTCCATTGCCCTAGGGGCAGTACGTCTGAGATTTTGCTGCCTGTGGATGCTTCTAGTATTTTTATGGTTTCCCGGCTGACGTTTAAGTCCTGTATCCATTTTGAGTTTATTTTTGTGAATGGTGTAAGTTGGTGATCTAGTTTCATTCTTTTGAATGTGTCTGTCCAATTTTCCCAACACCATTTATTGAAGAAACTGTCTTGATGGAGAGCTATTTTAAAAGATAGAGTCTTGGGTTGACCCAAGACCTACTGAGTCAGGATCTGTGGAAAAGTGGGACTTCTGAATCCATTTTTACTTTTTATTATTATTACTTTCTAGAATATATTTTGATTGATTTCTAAGTGGAGGGGAGAGAGCTAAAGAAACATCAATGATGAGAATCACTGCTTGGCTGCCTCCTGTGTGCCCAAACAATAACAACACACCGCCCCTGGCGCTGCCAAAAATTCCTTAGAAACAGGAGAATAAAATCCCCACTGCCTTAGAAACTCTTACCTTTAAAAGGTTTAGTGAAAAAGAACTACTTGGAAGAAAATAAAGCAAAAGTATTGTAACAAAACCACAACTTGAGATTTTCTTTGATAATGTGAAATTGTGAACTGTGTAGAGTACATACTCACAGTTGATCTCCGAGCGTGTTTTTTCTTCTCTCACGTTTCTACTTGTTGAGGGAATTCTATGTGGCACGACAACAAGAGGCTAGGAAACAACAAAATCAATGACATGTGGCATTAGATATCAAGTCACAATCTGGCCCACAAAATTAATCAAATATAAAACAAACACTTCATTTTATGTAAAAATGGGAATGAAATACAACCACTTTGTCAATATTAAAAAAAAAAAAAGGCAACCACAAAATGGAATTCTTTGGTCATCACTGGGATATAGTCTCAAGATTAGGAATATGTTTTATCTACAGTAGGTTCCCAGTAAATGTTCTCTGAGTTAAATATAAATATTAAAAAGCCAACATTTCAATAATTCAATAGCTCTCCAAATGCTGCAGCTGGCTTTCCCTGCTGCAGAGAAAAACTGTAATTAAAAAAAAAAATCTGCCTCAACTTCTATTTCAAAAAGGATAAGATAAATGAAATGAAATAATGCTAAAAGTGTTAATGATTTATGGTCCTATTACTTAGTAAACACAACTTTCTCCCTTTATGTTTTTTCTTATACGAGCAGCCCTCTATTTTCTTTCCTTTTTACTTCTAAAATCTTTCTATGTGATTGCCACTGTCGGAGAAATATTCTGGGGGATGGATGGGGTGAGGATGAGTTCTCCCGACTGTGAATTCACATCACTTCTTTTAAAGTCTGGTGGCCACCGAGTGAGGGACACTGCTATTCACTTCACGCACGAACAGCAAAGTGTGAACTGTGTTGCCTCCTTGTCTCCCAGTGATGATAATACACTCGTGACATTTTTACAAAAATTGGTAACACAAAGCAGGAGTTGGCCAACAGAGATAAAAGTGCTGCAAAGAAAAAGTGCTAATCTTGGGTGGCATTGGAAATGAAATTTGAATAAATGGAGTTATGAAAGAAAATAGCTGACTGTGAGAATGTTGACATAACCACTGTTCAAGAAACTGCAGACAGTACAGCCACAGGAATTTAGTAAACTAAGTTCTTATTGACATGAATGAATCAAGTAGCTGTCCTAAGAAGGATGCAGATATCCCAGAAGAAGTGGAACCAGCCAAAACTTTATATCACAGAGATATTGAGATAGTTCATGCATCGAAAATGCAAAGGCTAAAAATGTTGGACCCATCCAACTTAGGAAGAAATGGCATTCACCCAGGCACAGAAAAGATACTTACTCTGTGTCATAAAGTTACATGAAAAAGGCCAGCACTGTGCAATCTACTCAAGATTACTGGATAATTAAACATGTCTATAGATATCTGTTGTATATACTAGTTAGTAAAAACAGTTCCTACCTCAGGATCATCATCATCAAAATCATGGTAAGTGGAATGATCAGGATTATTCACTTTATCCAATAGTTCGATTGCCAAAGACCGTGTCAAAGGTTGTGTGACAAACGGGTGCTATACAAATCAAGTAACACAGTACAGAACACTTATTAGAAACTTGACTGAATGACATTTTACTTTTTGAAAACAAGACGTAGTCTGGGGTAAAGGTAATACCTGTAATAACTTTTCAGCTGTTGGTCTTTTTTTGGGGTTTTTGGTAAGTGCCATTTTCACAAAATGATGAAAACTATTTGACCTAAGAAATTTTAAAATGAGAGTTTTAAATTTCAATTATTTTTTCCTCATGGCTATAAAAGTAAGTAACACAAAGATACTCACCACTTCAATTTATCCTTTAGTTTAGGAGGCTGAAAGTTGCTTTTTGTCATTAGAAATAATGCTCTGAAAAATCAACAACAAGCCATTACACAGCATTTTAAGATTTAATATTAATCTATAATGTAAATCCTATTACTCTTATTCACAAATAAAGTAAAGCAAGAATAAGTATATTATTTGTTCATGAAATAATAAACAATACTGGAGTGGAGAACCCCTTAATTAAAGTATAGGATTCTTCAGCTACAATGCACTGACCTCATCGGGTGTAAGTCAAACATGGGAGGCTGGAGCTCAGCAAGTTCAATGGCGGTGATCCCCACTGCCCAGAGGTCACAGAGCTGATTGTACCCCCCTTTCCTCTCGACGGCTGCGACTTCTGGAGCCATCCTGAAGAAAATATCCCAGAAAAGAAAACCTTTTGTTTACTGTATTTTCCTTCATATTCCCACCAGAGGCACATGGAGCCACCATGAGATATACATGCCTTGAAATCTGAAAAATAATTATGCAGCATTTAAAAGGCCCATTTCTCCTCCGATCTCATCATCTCATAAAACCCTCTATCCCAAACCCCTACTGACGATTTATTACTTTGTTATACTACTTCCTATTAAGGTTTGTAAAACTTTACAACTATGACAGAACATCAAATCCCAAATTTGTCCATACCCAAATCTCTTTTCTTCCGCACAGCAAAATTCCAGAGAAATAACATCTTGCAATATTCTACAATTTTTAGTTTTACCTCCTTACATACTTTATTGATGTCGTTTAATCAATAAACGACAATCTGGCCTCTGATTGTTTTCACTTGACCAAAACTATTTACTGGGGCACCAAAAATCTTCGTTTAGCACTTAACAAAGTAATTCATATTTACTTGTCATTTCCCCCCCGTTTTATTGTAGTGATGGGGAAGTTATAAGTTTCTAGTTTAAAAATATATTTATCCACAGACTAGTTGTCTGAACTATTGTCTTTTGTTTCTTTTAATTTTCTTATAGTCTGATTCTAATTATATCTGTATAAATTTATATTTGACTAATTTAAATAATTACATTAATTTTCAAATATTAAAAATTTCAAACCCTAAACAACAGTTTTAAAAGTAACTGAGACAGACATCTCAACTCTGACATATCAAAATAGTGATTTAAATAAGTAGCCTTATATATATGCACATTTGTCTTCTTGGTATTATTTCAGAAAGTTAAGTCAGTGAAGTTAGAAAAACAAAACAAAAAACAAACAAAAAAATCACCCACTTTCAAACACTTGGTCTTAAAATCTTGTAAAAGTATCTCTATGAATATTCAAATTATTATAAGAAAAGTAAACATTAAAGTATATCAGTTATTACTTCATTGATGGCTACATTACAGCCAGCTGTTTCTTAGCCCCTAAGACTCCCAGGAAGGCTGACAAATTAGGGTTATAAACTTATAAAAGTTGGGTTGAGGTTGGAAACATATGTATTAGAAAATGTGGAGTCTAAATAACGATGCTAGTCTCCCAGATTCCTCCTTTCCGCCTTCAGGGCTCAGCAGTTTCCAACTGGATAAAGACCAAGAGAAATGAGAGGGAGGCCTCAGACCCAAAGGCAGCAGAAACAAAGAGCAGGGGTCGGGGCAGCAGAAGTCTGTGTCTAGAGCAGCGGTGGGAAATGTCCAGCTCCATGGGCGGTATAACACCATTTGGTCTGGCCCTGCCATGGCATTAGGGGTGAGTTAATTAAATGTTTGACCAAACAGACCAGGCAAATTTTAAAGTTGATAATTTCGGATGGCCTGTGAAGGATGTTATAAGCATCCAAATGGCCCCTGGCACAAGAAGGTTCCTCACCCTGGTCTAGAACAATGTGTCTCCCCAAGCCCCTCCCAGTTTCCTGCACTTGCTCAGTTCTCAGTAAACACCAGGCTTTCATGGGGCCTCCGTGCATACAAAGCTATGAATCAGTTTTTAGAGCCTTGCTCTTCGATGTGAATCAGAAGATAAGGATTACGAGATAAGGAAGCCTCCATCATGAAAGTATAAAACTACGAAGTTGAGAAAAATCTTAGAGAAAGTAGAATAAAAAATAGAAAATTTAAAAAAGTTAATGGATTAGTCTAAGTGTCCAAGATATAACCAATGAGATCCAGAAAGAGAGAGCAGGATCAAGTATAACAAAGAAATTGTCAAAGAAGTAATACAAGAATATTTGCCAGAACTGAAAGACATGAATCTCTTGATGAAATGGCAAGTACAACAAATAAAAGTAAAAATGACAGAAAACCTAAAACTTTCTGTGATACATCATCATGGAATATCAAACCACTAGAAATGATTCTAGGGGGAAGGGTTACATTCAAAGACCATGCATCATCATGGCATCACACTTCCATCAGCATGAGAGAAAAGGAGCCTCTAGAGCAATATTTCAAAAATCTTAGTCTAAAATTCTAAATTCACCCAAATTGTAAGTCAGGTGTGAAACCACACATGCAGTCTCAAAAATTTTACTCCTCAAATTTCTCGAGAAGTTCGTAAAACATGTGTGAGGGAGTGATTAATGAAAGAGGAAGATTTGGATTCCAGGAAATAAATTTCCAAGCTGATGATGAAAAATTCCCAGGGAGAGAAGATATGCAAAAAGACCTAGAAAATGAGCAATTCAGATTGGAATAGGAGGGAAGAGGACTAAAAAAAAAAAAAAAAAAAAAAAAAATATATATATATATATATATATATATATATATATATATGAAAAGAGACAAATTAAAACAAAGCAAAAACCAACAAAAAATCAGGACAAATAATTTGATAGGCTTTATGATGTGGAAAATTGTACAGAGGCATGTTATACACTGCAAAATGTGAAAAGGTATACAAGTCTCAGCCAGGGATTAAAAAAAATACCTAAGCAGCCAGGACCGGTTTGGCTCAATGGATAGAGCGTCGGCTTGGGGACTGAAAGGTCCCGGGTTTGATTCCGGTCAAGGGCATGTACCTTGGCTGCGGGCATATCCCCAGTAGGGGGTGTGCAAGAGGCAGCTGATCGATGACTCTCTCTCATCGATGTTTCTGACTCTCTATCTCTCTCCCTTCCTCTCTGTACAAAATCAATAAAATATATTTAAAAAAAAATACCTAAGCAAACTAAAAATGAATAAATTGCTCAATATAGAAAAAACATTTCAAGTTAGCACATGTAATAATATAACAATTGACTCAGCAAGTACTCTGCAAGGATAAGGCTGGATGATGAATGAAGAGAGATAAAATCTTCTTATCGTAACAGAGTCTATAAACAATAACAGATAATACCAGAGATGGCAGAATACACAACTAGGTAAGTTTTTATAAGCCCTTTAGGACTAGCTTCTAAAATATACATCCACTTGATAAAAAGAAAAATTGATACAAAAGTTGGTATATGTCATCATCTAAATCTGAAAATGAGTCACCCAGGTTAGTGCCATCCCACTGCTGATGACTTACCAGGGCATCCGGGGAGTCCTGGCACTTAAGCTGGAGAAATGTTCAGAATTCTGAGGTGCTGTTACTTTACAGTAATGGTGTGAACAAGAAAGCTCTACACGTGTCTACCACCACTATATCCACAATGACTAAGAGCATATCTAGCACATAGTAAATGGTCGAAACAATTTATGGAATAAATTAAAAAAATTTTTTTTTATAGAATGGTTAAAGAATACTAGCAGACAAATATGGCTAGAAAGAGGGATCTTTGAAGGCAACTGGAAAGATTTAAGATTAATGAGGCAGAGAGACGCCACACTGTGGAACACTCTAAATGCCAAGAAATATGTATTTGATCTTGTGTGCAAGCAAGATATGTAAAAAAGTCTTGAGCAAAAGGATACTGTGAATAATGTAATGTTGGAAGACTAGTCAAAATATGGACTGGAAATGGGGGTGAAGAAAGACATATGAAAACATCTGTGAAAATACATGAAAGGTAGAAGCAAGGGTTCAGTTTTTCCAGGAGAGTTGGAAAAAGTTCCCCAAAAACATTAATCGTTAGTCTTTTTCACTTTAATGAAATTAACACGGTAGAATGTTTTTTGGCTGTGTAATCCAGCCACAAGCATCTGTGCCTAAATTACTTAACTTGTTAGTGAACTTCTTAATGTTTTCATCCTAAATTGTCTTACTATTTTGCTATTTTTTTAAATGCTGAATTTAATAATGAAAAAAACACACATCAAAAAATTAATTATCAATTAAAATACAATTACCAATATGGTGTACCAATGAAAGACTTCCGTTTGGCAATGGTAGCTGTTATTTGTGCAGATACTCCAAAATCAGCTATTAAAAAAATGAGAAACATTTAGAAAAGAAAACTGAAAGAAAGTAATACTTAAGGCAACATGAGAAGAATCTTTATTATTTTCATTCAACTATCTTTAATTATCTCCATTAAACTAATTTTGCAGGAATAGGAGATATTCCCTAATACCACAGTAAATTTTTAACTTTAATGGGTGAGCATTAAAATATTACAAAGTAGTCAGCATATATCACAGCCACACAGATTCCCGTATATCCCCACATGAATCAAATGACAACAGATGTCAAGATCAAATCATCTTTATGAGAGAGGGCAGAGATCATCTGAACAGGAGAATAGAAATTTACTAGTTTTGGAATAAATTTACATGACAAAATTTTAATTTACTCACCTAATTTCACATGACCGTTATCCGTTAACAGAATGTTAGCTCCCTTCAAAGTGAGAACATTGTAGTTAAAGTAGGAAACATTTTATCAGACAGCACATATAATAACTGTACTTATTAAAATAATCACAAGTGGCAGCCTTAGACCTGGAAATATTTAGCATGTAGTGTACAACCAATTAAATGTAAAATTATTATATTCACAGAAAAGTTTATTACTATTTACTCTTTAAGCAATTTGCCTATGCTTATAAAATGTTCTGCCTTGCAAAAGCTGCTATTAATGTAATATGAATGTAACTATGAAAGTGATGTATTAGTTTTCATCTAAATGCTATCTTCTTACTGATCAAACACTGTCATGGTACTTAAATGTCACCTTATCCTGGCAATTTCAATTCTTTGTATTATATTGTATTTTGGACTTGATTGCTATATCCTGTTAAAAAAATAAAAACAAATCTCCAATCCATCAGTTGAACCAGTGCTGAGGTATAAGACTGAATCTTGCTGCTTAGTATGTAAGGCCGTCTATCCTTCATATGTCTGTCCGTCCAGAGTGTAGGACCGTTCAGGCTACAATTAGCCACCGGCCCACAGGATTAAAATGTCACCTATCTCCGTGATTGTGAGATAACAGGGGGAAAATATATTTATTTATATATGTCTGCGCCTCCAGTTCTTGGACAAAACTCCGGAAACCCTAACAATTGCTTTAGTGGTAAGAGCACTAGGAGCATCTTCTGTTCCAATATCTGGTCTTTTGCCCCAGTTCTTGACACAGTACACCTGAAACTTTGCATGATTTCCTGGGAGACAGGCGTGTCCTGTTCTAAGGAAGCAACTCTAGGTGAACTCCTGGATGGTTCCTGGGTGAGGTGAGGGCTGGGTCTTCCTGGGAAGACCACGCCGTGATTGCAAGCCTGGGATTTTCAGCCTCACCCCGTCCCCTGAAGGGAGCGGTGCCAAACACGGAGTGAGTGATCGATCGGCCACGCCTATGAGGAAGCCTCCATTGAAATCCCAGGAGTACAGTTTGGGGGGCCCCTGAGCAGGGAGCACGAGTAGGTGCTGAGACAGTGGGGTGCCCTGGGAAGCACGTGGAAGCTCTGTGCCCCTTTCCAGACACTGCCCTATGCATCCCCTTCGTGTAGGTCAGGATCCTTTTTGTTGTTAATTCTCACCCAAGGACATTTTTTCAATTGATTTTTTTTTTTTTTGAGAGAGAGAGAGTGTATGTGGTGGGGAGAGAGAGTCAGAAACATCAATGTGAGACACATCAATTGCTTGCTTCCTGCATGTGTCCCAACTGGGGCTGGGGATCTAACCTGTAACCCAAGTGCATGCACTTGACTGGGACCCGAACCCGTGACCCTCTGGTGCACTGGCTGACACTGAGCAGCACTGGCCAGGGCTATCGCAGCCCTTAATAAACTCGTGAACATCGGTTATTTCCCCGAGGTCTGTGAGCTGTTTCCACAGGACCCAAGGATGGGGTCTCTGGGATCTCTGATCCGTAGCTGGCTGGTCGGAAGCACAGATAACCTGGGCTTGGGACCGGCATCTGGAGTGTGTTTGTGTTGGGAAGGGGCGGGGCGGGAGGCCCAAAGGTTTGAGGGGAAGTTGTGCGGGACCGAGCCCTTTAATCTGTAGGATCTAACTCAATCCGAATTGAGTTAGATTGTAGGGCATCCAGCTGGTGTCACAGAGAAGTGCTTGTGGTTAAAAACCCCCATGTTTGGTGACCAGAAGTGTCAGAGGGAAGTGTTTTGTGTCTGTAGTAAAGGAGACTCACAGTAGAGACACAGTAGGGAAGAACTGGGTTTTTCACTAAATGGAAAGAAAAAAAACCTGAGTGTTTTCCATTACAGTGACTTAGTAGCATTTTAGCTACTTTTGCTTCTTGACCTAAGTTCCAAGATATTAACCACTTTATTTTCAATAAGCTCAAACTTCTGAAGGAGGAAGAAATACATACTGTCTCCAAAAGGAACTGCAGGCTTTTATTTATTTATTTTTGTATTTTCTGCAACTTTTTAATGAGCAAGCAAAAGTAAGCTGCCTCTTTAGTCCAGGGTGCCATCAATCATGTAATTATAACCTCATGAGGGGAAAATACTAGGAAACCCCTCCTGCTCCGAACAGAGGGGTAAATAACAGAAGACTGCACATTAACCCACAACTGTACACTTCAAAAGGGTGAATTTTATGGCAGGTGAATTGTATCTCAAAGTTGCTATAAAAAAATAAAACTTTTAAAAGCAATATTCAATTTTATTATAATAACATATTGTAGATAACAAATTCATCCAATAGAAAAATCCAGACAATTTTGGTCAACAGTTTGATCAGTGGATTTAAAAATGAAGAGAGGGACAACAGGTTAAACATATAACATGTATGTACCTTTATATCTCTGTGCATTTTTCCTTTACTGTGAAGATAGTATAGTCCCTGGAGTTTCAAAAAAAACAAAAACAAAAATTAACAAGATTTTACTACAGAGCTCTTTGGGATTTAAAATGATCCATGGAGTAGTATTCTCCATTTTTTATTTACTCATTACAAAAAGTCTTATGGTAATCAATTTATTTTACTGATTTATCTTAATAAACAAAAGAATCAAGAAAATGAAGAAGGCAAAGTTCAATTGGAACCATTCATTTTCCTAAGATAAGTAATTTTCACTAAACTCTGCAAATAGTTTGAAATAACTTAAAAAGTATCTGTGCAATTAATATCAGAATGAGTTTCAATTACCATAAAAATGCTTAATTTTCAAGCCTTTCTTTGGTATTAAAAGTAATATAAAAACATAAAGTAATAAATCCACAGCACTTAAAACTTAGGAGTTCAAATTATCACACTGAGGCTTTAAAGTACTGATATGCAGATGTTACTTGGGTTTATTACAAAAACAATTAAAAATGTATTAATATTCAAGAGTTTACCAAACTAGAATATTTAATCCTACTTTACTTAACAGGAATTAATTGCACAATAATTAAACATTAACTTCAATGACTTTTTAATTAGCATTGGATTTACCTGTAGTGTTTCTCGGCTAACATATGCAATTTGCAATTCTGACAGAGGTCCCGTTACTGTCAGAGAAGAAAATAAACATTAGTAAAATTAGGCAAAGCATGTTTTTCAAAACTGACAATGTTTTACAAGTTCCACTAAGCTACAGGTTTAATGTTTAATAAATAACTCTAAAATGTAAGCTTCATGAGGGCAGGATTTTAAATAATCTGATTGATTCATTGTTGTATCCCATGTACAGAACTGTGCCTAGCATGAAAAAGTTGTGCAATAAATGTTTATATAACGAATAAAAACCTGACATAGTCTCTGAAATTAGTTATAATTTCATACCTCACTAACCAATATTATTCCTTAAACATTATAAGAAAGAAAGCATGGGCAAGAGGTTTAGCTAGTTTTAGGAAAAGCTTTTTAAAAACTTATGTGTTACATGTATTATGGCTCATTTAAAGTCAGTATTTCCCCCCAACAATTTTAACTTTATAGCTATAAAATTAATGTAAGTTCACTATAAAACGTTTCAATCAACAGGGAAGTTTGGAAAGCATAGGCCTCTTCCTTATCTAACTGTTACCTATAGTTCGGCCTATAGATTACCATGCAATTTTACGCCGAGACATTTCATATAATATATGTATGCATCATACACAAAAGCATAAGTGGAGTCATATCACACATACAGTTCTGGATCCTGCCCTTTTCACTTATCATGACCTCCTTTCTGCATCAATAAATATAGCTTAATCATATGGTAATATTTGAAAAATATTTCTCCTTGTGCATCTATCCACTATGGAAGATATTTCAATAGTTTTTTCTTTTTCACTAGTCATCATTTTAGAGTAAAGAAATTTGTTGGGAGAGACTGCTGAAAATCAAATTCCAATGATCGGAAATCTCTGCTAATGACTTTATGCCAAGATACAGTGAAGTGAAACAAAATCAGTATTCTATTCAAATAGGCTTTCAACATTTCCTCTATTACCATCAGCCCCTAAAATTACATAAGCGGCCCCAAACTACATATATGAGCTCAAGTTCTATATATGAAAAACTGAGAAAATTTTTTTCAAACTATTTTCTCGGGAAAATTGACATTCATCACGAATTACTGACATAATTTTATTTATCAAAAAGCACACCTCCAGCCGAAACCGGTTTGGCTCAGTGGATAGAGAGTCAGCCTGCAGACTGAAAGGTCCCAGGTTAGAATTCCAGTCAAGGGTATGTACCTTGGTTGCAGGCACATCCCCAGTAGGAGTTGTGCAGGAGGCAGCTGATTGATGATTCTCTCTCATCGATGTTTCTAACTCTCTACCCCTCTCCTCTCTCTTCCTCTCTGTAAAAAATCAATAAAATATATTAAAAAAAAAAAAAAGCACACCTCCAGCAAAAGTATAAAAGCTCCTCCACAGTTTGTGACAGTAACCCATTAATAGAACTGTTACAGAAAAAAAAAGACAGTAAAAATTGTTTATTTTACTTTAAAAGTCTCTCTTACATATTACTTTATTGAAATCCCAATAAAAATGTTCTAATAATTTTTAATTCCTCATTATCTAGCATCTAAGACAACATTCAATTGCTGCTTCTTGAATACATGAGAGCAAAATCGACCATCTTTTCATTAATACTATCCACTTATCAACTCGATATTCTTTTGGCTTAGTATTGGCCATCAAGACCTTTGCATGTCTTCCATAAGTCTGAGTTCGAAATTTCAAGAACTAATTATATATAATATTCCTTCTCTAGAATTAGCTAATAATTCAACTGCATATAATTTTCCAACTTATAAAGCAAATGCTCCTTTCATCCATATAGTATCTTTATGTATCTTTATGTATCCAAATACCATAATGACAAAACATACTTTGCTCAAAACAACATTGTTTTAATACAGTCCAGTTACTTATATTAAGGAATTCTATTTAATCTCTATAAAATATAACTTTGGTCTTACCATGATAAATATCCTGTAAAGAGCCCCCTCCACAAAACTCCATGCATATCCAAAGTTTATCTCGCCTATAAACAGAAAAAAGGCATATATCACAGTTTCATGATTAAAATGATTTGTGCAACCTGATATTTTAAAGTTGTTTGCTATAATCTTGAAAAACCATATAAATACAATGTGCTAAGAAAAAAAAATACCTAATTTCTATGAATATATGAATCATCCAAGATTTTAATCCTTAAAATATACCAATTGTAGGATATAAAGATGACCCATCCAGACGAGAAAAAAATTTCCCTTTAGTTAAAAACTTCCCTCCCCCAGTTTACCCAACTACCAGATGACAGTGTCATAAAAGTTCAATGTTAATCTGAAGGTTCACACCAAAATTACGTGGAAGAATCATTACAGAATGGCAATACATCTCTAATCTCCTTCACAACACTCTCACCGACAAAAGAGATAAAATGTAAACCTTATATCTAGACTCAACAAAGATCTTTCCAAAAGAATGTTAAAATTTTTCACTCACTTACCTTTAGATAGCATTTCTCACACTTAGATTCTAAGACAACATAATCATATAGTCATTAGAGAAATCATTTGCAAAGATTTAATAGATTATCCCTTTGTTCATTCCTCCATTATTTCATCACAAAATGTATGAAGAAATGCATTATTCTTTTTTTAAAAAAATATATGTTTTATTGATTTTTTACAGAGAGGAAGAGAGAGGGATAGAGAGTTAGAAACATCGATGAGAGAGAATCATCGATCAGCTGCCTCTTGCACACCCCCTACTGGGATTTGCCCACAACCAAGGTACATGCCCTTGACCAGAATCGAACCCGGGACCTTTCAGTCTGCAGGCTGACGCTCTATCCACTGAGCCAAATCAGTTTCGGCAAGAAATGCATTATTCTTGGGGCAGAGACGGAATAGAAAGTCTCTGAACTCAGCAAGCTGAGTTTAATGCAGAAGAAAGTCTCTGCCTTAATAATATGTCTGTCTCTCTCATCAATGCACTCACAAAGCACAGAATCTGGCAAATGAATATTTGTTCCATACGTGAACAAATGAGTGGCAGAAAGAATAAACAGGTTAGAAAAGGGGTCAGCAAACTATGGCCAATGGGCCAAAGCTAGCCTGCTGTCTGATTTTATACAGTCCAGGAACTAAATTTTCTTTCTTTCTTTTCTTTTTTTAATTTTTAAGTGGTTGGGAGGTTGGGGTGGGGGTGGGGTGGGGGGAAGCGAGGGAGGGAGAACTTTCTAAAATGTCTCCCAATTGAATTTAGGTAGGTCATTCTGTCAGAAACAGTAACAGTAAAACAAAATGTTTCATGTGGTGATTTTAATATATTTAAGCAATCAATTATTTGTCTCATGAACTTAACTATCTGAAGAGTTTTTTGTTTGTGCTAGTATAGTATAGTAACTACCTGAACTGGGTTTGTTTCATAAAATAAAAATTCATGCAGAAACTGTGCCCGGTTACTATTTGAACCACTCACTATAAAGTAATTTTAAATTGCCTATTGAAGAACCCATTTAAAACGTCTAACAGTCATTGACCTGGGGGGTAGAACCTATCCCTACGTGAACTACAGTCTCCATTTACTCCCCCCCCCCCCCTTAACCTTAATGAAGGTGGGGCAGTCAAAGCTGCCCTGGAGTGCTTAGAACCAAGACAAGCTGGTCCCCAGGGCTTGCCACAGCTGGAAAGAAGAGAGGACAAGAATTGCCCAATGTCTTCTACGTGCAGAGTTTTGTACATGGGTCATGAGAATGGGAGCTGCAAGAACTTACATCCTTACACATCGTATAATATATCAAAACAAAACTGGATAGTTTTTTAAATACACAAGAAAACATTCTCTGATGCTCCCTTTGGAAGGAACCTTATAAACCGGATCGCAGTATTGAACTCAGCTGCATACAGAAATGAATGGAAAAATGAGATTTGACCCTGAGGCCAACCCCTCTGGAATATGACCTGGGGAACCCGGCCTGGTCCTGCTAAATCAAAATAAGATGGCAGCCCTAATCAGTTTGGCTCAGCGGATAGAGTGTCGGTCTGAGGACTGAAGGGTCCCAGGTTTGATTCCGGTCAAGGGCATGTACTTTGGTTGCAGGCACATCCCCAGTAGGGAGTGTGCAGGAGGCAGCTGATTGATATTTCTCTCTCATCGATGTTTCTAATTCTCTATCCCTCTCCCTTCCTCTCTGTAAAAAAATAAATCAATAAAAAATATATATTTTTTAAAATAAGGTGGCAATTTCAGTCTTTCTAAATTCATTCCAAGACCTAGAAAAATAAGAAGTCAATGAAATAATTATAGTTCCTAGTCCTTTGGACAAAAATGAAGGAAACAGATGATGCAATACTCTGAGGCTAAAAGCACAAAAGAAGAAGAGTTTCTAATAAAAACATAACAGGAAGAAATGATCCTGACTTTCTAAATTCACCCACGACTCGAAGAAAGGGGCAACACAATGGCGTATTTGGAGCTCTATTCCATTACAGGAAGACTAACCGTGAAAGTAAGTTTTTTTCTGCCAGCTTCCTCACTGAAACCACATCCAGAATTCCCAAGAGTACAACAGACAATTGCAGACTCTCATATTAGTTACAGAATTAGCATAAACATTGTAAATAAAAATTCCATTAATATAATCCTATCTTCAAAGCATGGGGGGAAAAAGTACAAAACATGGACTAGAGCTAATTTTATTTTGTTAAATATATTAGGTGCTGGAATCATGATTGTTTTTCAAAAAGGAGACAATGTACCTGAGATAGCTTCCAAAATAAGCAACAATATTTGGGTGTTTACAGTCTTTCATCATAATAATTTCTTGCTGCACAACTGCAAAGTCTTCACCTACAATTAAAAAAAGGCATGTTGAATATTTAATAGGTTAAATAAGTTCCAAAATGTTCACGTATTTCAAAACATTATTAATGTTATTGATAATGCTTTTAATGACAATTTCAGTCTTTGTCTGACAGAAAGTAAAATACAGTGACTAAAAGCACACACTCTGGTCCCAGACTTTCTGGACTCAAATCCCAACTATGTTTTGTTTTGTTTTTTACCGAGAGGAAGGGAGAGGGATAAAGAGTTGGAAACATCGATGAGAAAGAAACATCGATCAGCCGCCTCCTGCACACTCCCCACTGGGGATGTGCCCGCAACCAAGGTACATGCCCTTGACTGGAATCGAACCCAGGACCCTTCAGTCCGCAGGCCAACGCTCTATCCACTGAGCCAAACCTGTTAGGGCAATTAGGTCCTTTACTAAGCTGTGTGATTTGGACAGGTTATCTGACCTCCCTGTGCCAATTTCTTCCTCTATAAAGTGGTGATAAAAATACCTGCCTTTGTGGGCTATCTGGTAACCCAGTATTGCTAGAGTGTAGGCCTCTTGGCCCCATGAAGAACATTTGACTCTTGGTGTATGAGGGTTCCTGCCCTAGCTTCAAAAAGGATGAATTCTTTGTGCTCAAATCACATTGTTATTTGGTAAAACGGAAAAAGTAATGTATATCTTCTAGTGAATTATCTGATGATTATTTCTAAGGCATAATAATAACAATAGCAAATGCTTACTGGTAATTCACGAACCCTAATACAGGAACCCAATACACTCAGAGTGTCAAATGTGCCTCCACAGGCTCCTGGGGGCCAAGAGGCCTGCACTCTAGCAGTACTGAGTTATCACCTGGCCTGCAAACCCAGGCTTAGCCTGTATTCCAAAGCCTTGTTCCAACTGGGCTGAGCTGGTCAGACTATTAGCAAATAATCTCCCTTCTCCGACTCCCTCCTGCCCAAATTCTTCAAAATAAGATATGGCAATGCTATAGCCGGGTCACATGCCGTGGCTCCTGAATGAACACTTGTCATAGAGAGAAAAAGAACTGCAGGGAATGCAAATGTGGTGAGCCAGAGGCCATGCGAAAAGAGAACAAACGGAGGTGCTTACAGTTAAGTTAAAGTAGCTTTGCATCCCTGTTCCAGTTTTTAAAGTATGAGATGCTGGAAGAGCCTGATTGGTTGTATATTAGGCAAAGTAAAAAACAGAAGTCTTCCAAGGTGTTATGCCCAGATTTTGTGATCCCCAAAGACCACCAGGGAGCCAAGACTGATGCAAAAGCAAGTCTTTTTATTTCAGGCTAGCCCGGCTCACCCCCCACATACCGACGCAGTGGCAAGGTGGAGGAAGAGGGCGGGTTTCTCTAGAACAAAAGATTTATAGAGGTGGTGAGGTCACTGCTTTGGCTGACCCCAATTGGTTGGCTGAGGGCTAGGGTTCAGTTACATAGTGACATAGTTATACAAAAATGGAGGATGCAGCACAAGATAGAGTCAGGAGTTAACCTTGTCCTGCCCTCTCACAAAGTGTCCTTCAAATTGTATAAGTATGAGGTTGCTAGGGCAAGCCCTGACATTTCCGGCCCTGGTCTTTTCCTATTGTAAACGTAACACGGGTATTGAAGTAGCCCAACCATGAACCACTGGACCCCATTTCAACCCACCTCACCGCCGTGTTACAAGGAAAGGAGTAACGGAGAACAGACTGTACGTCAGGTTCTTAATCTCTGCAATGAAGAGTACACAAAACCGAAGACCTCCAAAGGGAGAATAGGAAATTTTTATGCCTCCAAAATTTCAGAAGAAAAATCACTGGACTGAACTCCTCTTATGAGTTCAATTGCCACCAGGAAGAATCCCTATATTTTCAATACATTAAAAGAAATCTAAGTTAAAAATAATAAAGCCAAAATGAGACTAATATCAAGTTTTCAGGATTATATTAAATTTTTTTGGAAAATTCTAAATTTTGCTTTCTCACCTGCCTCTTAACAATACTTTCTCCCAATTTTGTGAAAGAGTTACAGGAGATCAAAGTTGTCCTAGTCAGAGTGAACTCTAGGACTTTAGTTTGATGGTCAGATAACAGCTCTCTTCCCATGAGTAGCCCTGAGAGTTTAGCAGTCAGGGCACAACCTCAAAGGGAACCAGCTTTAGGATAAAGTTGATCTGCAGAAAACACTGAAGAGAAACAGAAAGACTGAGGAAAGCACATGATGATGTAATTGAGCTACTTCAGCAGCCTCTAGATACACCTGTACCTATCTATAAAAGCCTAAGCAACCAACCAGTCACTATGACACGCACTGACCACCAGGAGGAAGATGCTCAAGGTGGTCAGTGTGCTCCCACAGTCAACCTCCCATGGCCAGCCAACCTCCTGTGCCTGGCCAATCTCCCATGATCCCTCCCCCTGGCTGGGCCCATCAGCCTGGATCTGGGCAGCTGGCTAACCTCTCCCTGACCCCCCCAGCCAACCTCCCGCAGCCTCAAATGCCGGCCAGGTTGAGGGACCCCACTTGTGCGTGAGTTCGTGCACTGGACCTCTAGTATAATCAAGAAGTTCCCTGCATTCTTTAAGCCATCTTGAGTTGTGGTTTCTGTTGCAACTGTAAGCATCACAACTTCTGGTTATCTTTGCACATATCCCTGCCCTAATGACACTGCAAATGTGCCTGCATGTCTCCGTCCTCACTACAATATTAGGTCCTCTAGGACAGGATTATGCATGCCTTAATCATCTTTGTATCTCTAGCACCTAAAACGTGATTAATAAAACTGTTGCCTGAGTGAATGTACCATTCCTCATTATTCTTCTCCATGATGACTCTAAATCAGATATGTCTGCATCTAGTTTAATTTCATCCAGTTATGTAATTAGTTACTTATGTGCTACTCTTGAGCTTTCTACTGAACCCTCTGAGTGGCTTTAAGCCTTCAACTACCTCTTTCTCATTAAATGTTGTTGATCCAAAGTGCATTGTCTTTTTCCTATTAAGTCATTTCCACGTGATTACAAGAATAGCCAAATTAAATTGAAAATTTTTATGGGTGGAAAGGATCCAAAGAAATAATTTGAAACTAAATTTTTAAAGTTAACTGGTAAAAGCAGATTTGGGTAGGAATAGAGAAAGCAGAGTTTAATATATCAATAACACAAAGGAGTCTAATGGTAGATTTAAAGAGCTTTCTTCAAAGCTCAAGGGAAAAGATTCCAAAGAATAAATTAATAAGCTCCCTCCCCCAACTCCAGAATACTTCATAGGATACTATAGAACAGAACGATTAGACTACATAATCTAAAAATTATTCCCAATTCTGATATTTTTTTTAGACATTAAAGTGAAGAGTACATCCTTCCAGAAGATGGCAACCCCCCCACCCCCCCAAAAAAAACCTAATTAAGAAAAACAGGCAAGCCTACATATAGAACAGATAATGAATAAGCCAAGTAAACAGAGAGAAAAAATATAAACTAATACATGCAAAATTCTTAAGCATGACATTATTAAGCATTCAATAAATATTAACTGTGAAGTAGACCGAATAATGACCCCAAAAGTATCTAGTTCCCAATCCCTGATACCTGTGAATGCTACTTTATGGCTAAAGGAATTTTGCAGATGTGATTAAATTAAGTATCTTGGGATGGGGGATTATCCTGACTTGTGCATTTATATTCATAGAGCTAAATCACTAAACAGACCCAAAGAATTGGGAATGAGGAAGAAACTGCAGATATACTAAAAAGTCCTTTGTTTTTTGTTTATTTTTGAGCATTATTATCTTTAAATGTGTAAATTCTAATTTATCCAGCATAGTCAGCCTCAAGCCCATAATATGGCGCATATATATATACATATATATATATATATGTATATATATATATATATTTTTTTTTTAATTTATTTAATTTTTATGTTTTGACTCAGATATTATAGTAAAGTGTGGCTAAGCAATCCATGATTAACCTTGCAAAGTAATGATCATAAATGATGTAACACTAGTTTTCTTCGGCAATAAACACAGAACAGCACTGAGAAAACAACTGGTGGTAAGGGAGCTACTGAAGTACTCCAGGGAGACAGGAAAGGAGCCGGATAAATCATTACCTGGTGTCTTGCCACTCGAAGATAAAAATAAAGGGGAGAGAGCTCCTCTCCTGCCTCTCAGGACACAAAAAACTAATGTGAAAAGATTTGCAAAGAAGGAAAGAAGATTTATAAAATACTAGCGGCCTGGCGCACGAAATTAGTGCATGGAGGGGGGTTGGTTTCCCTCAGCCCAGCCTGCACCCTCTCCATTGGGACATCCCTCTTGCTATGAATTTCCTTCTGGTTAATCTCAATACATTTAAATGAAGCAGGGTTAGAACAAAGCAGAGTCTAGTCCTAAAGGATTCTACTTCAAAAGTGAAGCCAAGGTCCTCTTTCCTCAGGAACTGAGAAGTTAAGATAGATGTAGGTGTTTTCATTGTTTGAAAAGGAATGAGTTTCTCTGACAAGTTGTTACTTAATCAGTTATCGGGTTTATATTCTACCTTTAAAAATATATTTTATTGGTTTTTTTACAGAGAGGAAGAGAGAGGGATAGAGAGAAACATCGATGAGAGAGAAACATCGATTAGCTGCCTCCTGCACACCCCCTACTGGGGATGTGCCCGCAGCCAAGGTATATGCCCTTGACCGGAATCAAACCCAAGACCTTTCAGTCTGCAGGCCGACATTCTATCCACTGAGCCAAACCGGTTTTGGCTATATTCTACCTTTAATAACTAATACTGCAACTGGGTAATAATAAGCAATCTAATTATCAAAATTTTAGGGTAAAAACTATAGTAAAGAACTATGGGCCAGGAATCAGAGGAATCAGATTAAAAAAAAAAAAATGTGAGTCTTTGGGCAAATTATAAATACTGTGTCTCCTTTTCTGCAATATGAAACGTGAGTGTTAGGCTTAAGAGAATGTCCACAATAGCTCCCAGCCACCATTATTTTCTATGACAAACGTTTTGAAAGCTGTAAAACATCTGACAACCATCTAGATAAATGACCTAAAGTTTCTTAAGTCTCTACAATTCCGACTTTAAAATGTAGGAATAAGAAAAAAGAAAAAAAAAGACTGAAGAGATTTATAATATAGAGAATTATAATCCCTTGTAAGAACCTGAAAGTGAGGCCTGAGAGTACACAGATGTGAGTTCTATTCTATTAGCAAGTTCTCTCCATCTTTAATTTTCCCTTAAAGTAAGTCTCCAGAGTTGGCAGGGTTCTGGTCTAAACAGCTTGAAGACCACAAGATCAAATCTGTAATCTGATAAAATGAGGTTCACTGACCCAATGCAATGAGAAAGACCACACACCAGAGAAACTTCTAGCCAGCTCACAAAACAAAATTTGTAAGAGTTATACAAGTAAGATTCCGGGAAGAGTGGGGTTTAGGTGACAAAAAAGCGAAGCAGCCTCTTAGTAGGGTTAGAGCAAAAGACTACTTTAGGACTAGACTGCCTAAAGTGAAGCCCAGGTCCTCTTTCCTCAGGAACAGGAAAGTGAAGACAGGTGTAGGCGCTGTGTCCAGAAACCCCTATCTGAAGCTGTGCATCTGGGCTGTAAATCAAGAGGACCTCTCTATGTAAAAAATGACAAGGAAGAGGGGGAAGTCTGATTCTTGCTGATATAATTACACACAGCCACGTTTCTGGTAGTCTACGATTTTCTAGAACAAAGTTTCTCAGAGAGTAAGCAAGCCACAGTCACTCAAAGACAGGAGTTGGTAGGACACTTGCCAGCTGCACCATTCTTGGGAGAAATGCTGTTTGTGAGACTTTATCTGTCCGACACTCCAGACTGATACATGGCCAGGCAGCTTTTCACTCTCTCCATTAGCTACTTGAGATTACTATCTCCACTGGACTGCAGAATGTGAAGAACAGCTTGCTAATTAAACTGATTACATTATACTCTTCATAAAGATGTTTATTTGCTGGTTTATCTTCTGGTTTGTTTATTATGCATCAATTTTGCCACAAAAGATGTCCAACTTGAGCAAATATACTGGTTTTGAAGAAATACTTAATCTTACCCCAAGAAATTCATTTAGTACTCATTAAATGTGAATAAAACTCACTTAGCTTGTTAAGAGGTGGCACTACCTCTATAAAGGTTTTTCATATACTACAGTAGTTCTAGGAAACTGTGTGTGTGTGTGTGTGTGTGTGTGTGTGTGTGTGTGTGTAATTAAGTAAACATCCAACTAAACCTGATAATACAGTTCCCACACCGCTACCAACTTCTGAGAGTGGTGAAAGAGTAGGCTATATTGCCGGGGTTCAAATCTCCGCTTGACACTAATTAGGGCAAGAAACTGGCACATTCAGTGCTTTGTTTCCTTATTTTAAAAAAGAGAATACTGCAAGGATCAAATGAGTCAACAAATGTAAAGCACTTAGAACAGGGCCTGGCATGTGGTATTAGGTGACCCTGCTAGCGGTTCTCAACCTGTGGGTCGCGACCGCTAGCAGGGTCGCCTAAGCCATCAGAAAACACAGATATTTACATTATAATTCATTAACAGTAGCAAAATTACAGTTATGAAGTAGCAACAAAAATAATTTTATGGTTGAGGGTCACCACAACATGAGGAACTGTATTAAAGGGTGGGTGGCATTAGGAAGGTTGAGAACCACTGTACTAAACTGATTTGAAGGATGATGTATGTACAGACTACTTCTGATTACAGACTATTCCCATCAAGTAACTGTTTACTAATAACTAAAAATGAAGGCCCTGATTCAAATGCCAAATTTTTAATTTTTTAAATCCAAGATTTCACCAATTTCAACTATCCCATTAAATTCCTTATAATAAACTGAAGCGTAGGGGACTCAGAGAAAAGAAAAAAACTACTTTGTGATGTTAGAATAAAATTAGACTATATAAAATCTGTAAATACGTATTAACTGAAAAAGCATTTTTTAATTCATTATATTTGTGTGGTTTGATCTATCCTTCCAATTTTATCTTAATGGCACTTCTAAAAGGTGTACTGTTAATTTAAATCAGGGGTGAGCAAAATACAGCAGCAGCAGGTGGCGTGCTTTGCTGAGAGTGTTTTTCCACTTTAACAGGGAGAGAGGCAGGAGAGGAGAACTATACACAGAGACCAAGGGTGGTCCACAAAGCCTAAGGTATTTTATGACCTGGCCTTCTGACAAAAGAAGTCCTCCTCCCTTCAAAAATATTTTGAGTGGATTTCTGTTACACTGAAGCTAACACCTAGTTTACCAATAAATTCATATGATCAGTTTGTAGTGGAAGAAGCCATCAGAAAGGCAGCGTCGTTGCTCTTGAACTCAATTGTGACACTAACACAATTACTTGCTGATGACAGGAAAGAGAAGGAGAAATGGGGTTTTTAAGAGTGGATAAACAATAGTGTATAGTTAGCTCAGAAAGCTATTCAGGGGCAGAATAGAGTTGAAACTGACAAAAAACATGGAGTAGTCCTAGAGACTTCACAATAAAGTTGGAAAGTAACTTCTAAGACAAAAGGTGAGAGCTAGGTCTATTGAGAAAAGTGAGACTCAAGAAGTGACATTACTTGCCCAAGTTCACAGAGAAGAGTGTGGGACACAAAGAACTGGACTACAACCACCCAAATCTCAGCTCACCTCTTTCCACTGCCCCACTGCCCGCTCCCTGCAGGACAGTTCACCGGGAGCACACCACTGTCAATCATTGACAAGTTTGCTCAACTGAGTTCAGAAGGAACAGAGTCTCTTAAGGAGTTTCCCCTTTCCCCCAATTATTAATTATTTTTTAGGGACAGGTTGAACAAGACGTCTTCAAGTCTCAAAGAGGTGTAGGAAAGAGCAGATACCATTTCTGTTTCCCAGAAAATACTGGGAACAATAACAGAACGCTAATGAAACATCATTAAAATAAGCCTTAAAAGACATCTAGTTGCATACAGCAATAAGAAACATCAAATTTCAATTAATTTACCTGGTTCCAACTTTATTACTTTAATTGCTGCCAATTCACCGGTGTTAACATTCCGTGCCTAAGAAAAAAAAAGAAAAGAAAAGATAATTGTGGAAAAAAGCTTTCATTAAAAATTTTATAAGATATCATTAGCTGTTTATTTTCAAGTACATGGAAATATTTTTAAAACAGTAACTCAAAGGTGATTTACATTTACAAAACAAACACTATATACTTTACAATGCATTTCATTATTAATTTAAGCATACATTTTACAATAACAATAATAATAGCTAAGATACACATAAGCCTTATTATGTGCCAGGCAGTATTCTAAGTGTTTTTACATTAATTCATTTAATCCTCAAAACAATCTTATGAAATAGGTACTACTCTTATTCCCGTGATGCATGTGAAGACGGAAGCACGGAGAAGTTAAGGAACTTGCCAAGGCCATGGCAGCTGGGTCCCCGGCCCAGGCAGGCAGCCTGACTCCGGAGTCTGAGCTTTAAAGCATTACACTCTATCTCCATTCCTTCAGCCTGGTTAACATTTTGCATTTATTAACTATTTTTAAACTTGTTAATTTAAAAACCTTGGAATATGAAGAGCTAACATAATTATATAACCATGAAAACAGCCCTTGTGTATCTGTTTAAACACGCCTGATGGCACAATCAAATCACTGCGGTTCAATGCAAACCAAATGTATTTTTATAAGCCACATATTAAAAACCACTTTAAAAATTACAGACAGAAACTGTCTTTCAAGTTGTATTAAATGGCAGCAATTCTTTGACAATTTAAAATGTTCTTTAATTGTGTAAGAACTTTTAAACTATGGTAATGTACAATATTTGAACTATAAACTAAAACTTAATAAATTAATTTTCATATCAACCAATGAAGACCAATACATGTAATTCTCTGATCACAGAAAGATCCATTCATGTGACCAGAATTATTCTGAGTTGAAGCACTCATAATTAATAAATTGGTGAAGAACAGTGGGTCACTCACAAGGGATGATAATAGCACCAACAGTGAATGCTAAGAATACTGAAGCATCAGAAATATCAGCCAAGGATATCGAAAGGCAGCTGGATATGGGACACAGCCATTGCTGAAATGTGAAATTTAACCTTTTAACTCAGAAAAGAACAAAGATACTAAAAGATCTCCTACACAAATTAAGAAGAAAATTAAAATAAAATTTGCAGGGAAAATTAATTCCTTAAATTCCCATGATTAATAAACACTTATGATGCCAGCTTATGACAGGCAGTGCAAAGCAGATATGAACTGTTATTTCAAAGTAAATTTAATTTCCATTAAATGAGATAGACATTTCAAATAGATAGTGCTAGATAAGTATTTTTTGCCTTCCTTAGGATGAGAAGATATACATACACACTCGTGCGCGCGCGCGCGCACACACACACACACACACACACACACACACACACACCAATAAAAAAGAAAATCCGAGCTTTTCCTGTGGGAGCCGCCGGGTAGAAAGGAGCGTGGCCCTCTCCTCTCTCCGCCATGGCGTGTGCTCGTCCACTGATATCTGTGTACTCTGAAAAGGGGGAAACATCTGGCAAAAATGTCACTTTGCCTGCTGTGTTCAAGGCTCTCATTCGACCAGATATTGTGAACTTCGTTCACACCAACTTGCGCAAAAACAATAGACAACCCTATGCTGTCAGTGAATTAGCAGGTCATCAAACCAGTGCCGAGTCCTGGGGTACTGGCAGAGCTGTGGCTCGAATTCCCAGAGTCCGAGGTGGTGGAACTCATCGTTCTGGCCAGGGTGCTTTTGGAAATATGTGTCGTGGGGGCCGCATGTTTGCACCAACCAAAACCTGGCGCCGTTGGCACCGCAGAGTAAACACAACACAGAAACGATATGCCATCTGCTCTGCCCTCGCCGCCTCAGCCTTACCAGCGCTGGTCATGTCTAAAGGTCACCGTACTGAGGAAGTTCCTGAACTTCCTTTGGTGGTTGAAGATAAAGTTGAAGGCTACAAGAAAACCAAGGAGGCTGTTTTGCTTCTTAAGAAACTTAAGGCCTGGAATGATATAAAAAAGGTCCATGCCTCTCAGCGAATGAGGGCTGCCAAGGGCAAAATGAGAAACCGCCGTCGTATCCAGCGCAGGGGGCCTTGTATCATCTATAATGAGGACGACGGTATCATCAAAGCCTTCAGGAACATCCCTGGAATTACTCTGCTTAACGTAAGCAAACTGAACATTCTGAAACTTGCACCTGGAGGGCATGTGGGCCGCTTCTGCATTTGGACTGAAGGTGCTTTCCGCAAGTTAGATGAGCTGTATGGCCCTTCGCGTAGAGCTGCCTCCCTCAAGAGTAACTACAGCCTTCCCATGCACAGGATGCTCAGTACAGACCTGAGCAGAATCTGGAAAAGCCCGGAGATCCAAAGAGCCCTGCGTGCACCACGCGAAAAGATTCACTGCAGAGTCCTGAGGAAGAATCCACTGAAGAACCTGAGAATCATGTTGAAGCTGAACCCATACGCAAAGACCATGCGCCGGAACACCATTCTTCGTCAGGCCAAGAACCACAAGCTTCGGCTGGATAAAGCAGCAGCCGTGCTAGAAGCCAAGTCAGATGAGAAGGGGGTTCCAGGCAAGAAGCCTGTGGTGGGGAAGAAAGCAAAGAAGGCTGTGGGCCCTAAGAAGCAGAAGCAGCCTGTGGCGGGGAAAAAGGCTGCAGTTACCAAGAAACCAGTAGCTGAGAAGAAGCCCTCAGAAAAGAAACCCACCACAGAAGAGAAGAAGCCCGTGGCATAAACTTAAATTGTTTATTCCACAATGGTCAAGTCACTTTGGACAGCTAATTTTGAATAAAAATATGATCAAAGGCAATGAGAGAGAAAAAAGAAAAAAAGAAAATCAGAATATTATTCTGGAAACATTTCATAAAGGGGGCAGAGTATAACTGTAAAGTATTCAGGTATATCACATCAATGTTAATCATAAATCTTCTTAAATTCAATCAAAACTACTTGCCTTTTCTTACACTTCATTATCTTTTCTCTATTAGGCTCCTCCCTGATATTAATACATCGTCCTTCAATCAATCTTTTTTAGTACTTGTCCAAATAAAATAAGACAAGATACTACTCTCTCAAATTCTTAATTCTCGATTTAAAAATCCTGTCATGGATTTGTTTTGTTTATGAAAGAAAATTCAGAATGTGAGTTATTTCATTATGAAATAGCTGAGAAAATGTGAACCAATAGAAAGCTAGGATTATTTTTATAGATGAAATTTTGTTCCCAACTGACCACAAGAGGGCATACTCTCTATCGACAACATAAGTTACAAAGTGTGTCTGTCCAAAATGGTTGCTGTACACACTACACTCTTCTAAAAATGGATTTATTAATAGTTAACACCAGCACATATTTAACAACAGAAAGAAATTATGACAGTTTATTAAAGTTAATATTTGCTATAAGACTGACTTTTGAATTTTTAAAAATTTAAATCTGTCCAGAATTTTTCTAAAGGATAACAACAGTTTTAAAATTATGGTTCTCTGGTCAATCAGAAAACAAGGCAGCTAAAATCTTTGCCTTCTGAAATGTTTTCCAATATGTAACTTATTTGACAGAAATAAGAATATTCACAAAAAGAAGGGAAGAATAATTTAAATGCTCAGAAAACAAATTTGGCCTTTTACACATCAAAATCCATATGCTTATTAATGAAAGGTCTTTAAAGCACAAGAGTCATCAAGAAACTTGCTCTTCTGGCTAAAATAAATCATAGTTAGCTGCCTCTAAATTTACTATGGTCAAGGTGCCACACTGAGGTAAACTTCAAAATATTATCTCTAATACCCTGTAAAACTACTAGTCTTTTAAAAAGTCACCTAGAGCAGTTTATTAGAAAAAAAGAACATGAGCAAGATAAATCTGTAAAATATCACCATGTGTAGAGTTATAATTTTTTAATTCAGTGTCAATAACAAAAGTTTTCAGACTTGTTTAGGGCAGAAAGCTGAAGATAAATATTCTTAAGGACCTAGACCGCTTCTGCCACCATCACAGACTGGTCCACCATTCCTCACCAAGTGATGTTCTTTTAAAAAATATATATATATTTTATTGATTTTTTACAGAGAGAAAGGGAAAGGGATAGAGTTAGAATCATCGATGAGAGAGAAGCATCGATCAGCTGCCTCCTGCACACCCCCTACTGGGGATGTGCCCGCAACCAAGGTACATGCCCTTGACTGGAATCGAACCTGGGACCCTTGAGTCCACAGGCCAACACTCTAGCCACTGAGCCAAACCGTTAGGGCTCCAAGTGATGTTCTTGAGTTTAAAATGCTTCAGGCATACACACCAATGCTTTAAAGACAAACATTCAAATTCCTTGTCAGAGAATTTAAATTTTTCACTAAATTTAACACTTTCATAAAACCGCTATTTGGACACTCGGGGCCCAGTGCAGGGAAATTCGTGCACTTGGGGAGGTAGGGTCCCTCAGCCCAGACTGCACCCTCTTGCAGTCTGGTACCCCTTGGGGGATTGTCCACCTGCCGACTCAGGCCCGTTCTCTGGCAGTCAGACAGCCCAGGAGCCCTCAGGGGATGTCGCCTGCAGTTTAGGCTGCTCCTCATGAGGAACCTGCCTCAGCCGCGGTTGGACCACCTTAGAGCTGGGAGAAGCTCCCACCACTGCGGCTGCGCTCACAGTGCTCAGCCCGGCTTGTGGCTGAATGGCGCTCCCCGTGGGAGCGCACTGCTCACCAGGGGGCAGCTCCTGCACTGAGTGTCTTCCAGCTGGTGGTCAGTACGCGTCATAGCAACCAGTCGTTCCACTGTTCGGTCGATTTGCATATTATCCTTTTGTTATATAGGATAATTCACATATCATAAAGTTCACTCTTTTATTATGTACAATCTAGAGGTTTTTAGTATATTCACAGTCATGTAACTATCACTACTATCTAATACTTAGAATGTTTTCATCGCACCAGAAATCTGTACTTAAAGCTATCAAGACACTTCTGATGTTCAGCCAGATTTTGGGATCTTGTCTAAG